TTCATGCCAAAAATTTAACTCTAGCCCTTTTTTTTTTTTAAAAAAAATACTTTTTACTATATATACAATTTAAAGGAAAATTAATGACCCCATGACTGGACCCTATCCCCGGGGGGTTTTATTTTAAAAAACTGGGAGCACTTATTAAAATGTTTATGCAAATTCAGAGCTTACCCCTTTTGGGTTTCAAAAAAAATTTTTTTTTTTTTTTTTACTAGTACATAAAGGAAAATCAGTAACCCCCCGGGGGGGGGCCTTTTTTTGACCCAAGGCTTCTTTTAAAAAAACTGGTAGACACCACTAGAAAAAGTTTCATGGGAAATACTTAAAAATCTGTTTTTCTGGGTTTTTTTTACAAGAATTTTTAAATTTATTAAACAAAAAGGAATCTGACCCTGACTGGCAAATTTTTACCCAAAGGTTTATTTGTACAAAAATTTGGTAAACTGCACTGAAAAATTTAAAATGCTTTAAAATCAGCTCTTAAAGTGGTGGAAATGTTTTTTTTTTCCCCCGTTTTTTCTTATACATATAAGGAAATTTTCAAAAATTATTTTTCCCTGACTTTTTGGGGTTTTTTTCTCACTCAAATTTTAAAATTTTCCCGAAATTCCCTGCCCTTTTAAAAAAATATTAGTTTTTCCCTAAATTTTCAAGTCTGCTGGAAACCTTTGTTAAAGAGGGCCCAAGGCCTCTTTTTCAAATTTTTAACGAATTGAAAATTCTTTTCTTTTCGTTTTGTTTACATTAGAGGGGCCTCCCCCTATTCGGTAGTGGGGGACGGGACGGACTGACAGAAAAAGGGCCTTTCCTAAAATTTCCGGGGAACTAGAATGAAACCCCTTCAAAATCTGGGAAAAATTTTGGACAAAAATTTTGTCAATTTTTTAAATCATGCAGTTTATCTTTTTCTCACTAATTTTTTTTTGGGGGGGGATTTAAATAAAAAAAGAAAATTTTAAACATTTAATGTTTTAATATAAATTAAAGTAAAAACAGTGAAAAATGGTTTTAAAAAACATTCATTAAAATAAGAAACATAAAATTTTTAATAAACGGGCCCATGAGAATAATGACATAATAACAAAATGTTATGAAAATGCATACAAAAATCCTATCTAATTTCAACAAGTAAGTGCAAGAAAATTATTTTGGTACTAAGCCAAAGAACAATCATGATTGTAACAAACCCAAGGATAATGAAGCATAATTAAATTGGTACCTTGCTTATATATAATTTAACTTGGTGGACACCTAATCATAACCTAGCGGGTACCTTGCCTTTAATATAATTTACCTTGGTGGACACCTAATCATAATCAAGTTGGTACCTTGCCTTTAATATAATTTAACTTGGTGGACACCTAATCATAACCAAGTTGGTACCTTGCCTTTAATATAATTTACCTTGGTGGACACCTAATCATAACCAAGTTGGTACCTTGCCTTTAATATAATTTACCTTGGTGGACACCTAATCATAACCAAGTTGGTACCTTGCCTTTAATATAATTTACCTTGGTGGACACCTAATCATAATCAAGTTTGTACCTCAATAAAGAATTATATACTTGATACCAAGTCTCAAGAAAACTTAACTTGATTACGAATTAATAACTTTGTAAATAAAGATCGGGAGTAAAAATCTCCGCATTAAAAAGACATAAATTTTGTATAAGTTACGTGAAATATTGAAAATATCTCACAGAAAAGCTAGGAATATTAAATGATGTCAAAGTTTTACTTACGAAAATGAATTCATTTCTCATCAAAAAAGCCTTCCTTTCATGTGCGATTCACAACGGTCAAGAAAATTTTCTTTCACATACATTTATATGCAATAAGTTATAATGATAAAATGATGGGTGACATATGGTAAAGAGTAAGATTTCATCTTAATTAGCACATATCAGGCATACAATATAAAAACCTTGATACACTGATCTGATTACTGTCTATATATAAAACAAGCATACAAGAACATTTTTCAACTTTTGTATATACATGTACATAATCTATATTTATATATTCACTTCTCTAAACCACTTTCATTCATAACCATGTAAATTTCCTTGTATAAATAACAGTCAATTATCAACTGAAAGTACATGATAGTGTAAATTAAGTCAATCACATAGAACCTGTTTACACTGATCAGATGTTCTAACTGGCATAGTATTATATCATTAATGACAAATAACTTCACAATTTGAACATTGTAAAAATTAAAACTGTGCTCATGTTATAAAATATTTTATATGAACTTGATTGTTTAAGTATTTCATTGCCCAAATTCAAATAAAACCCTGTCAAATACTGAATAAACATTCAATTTAAATTAAATGAAATTTGGTTTTAACAAGAATATGTCACGTTATACACCCCCCTACATAAAATCATCATTACACAGTTACGTTGATTACACTACACAGCATATAATTATGCTAACATATTGACAGAAAGATAAAAGGCATCTAAGAAGAGTGTAGTGCACATAATAAAAAGTTGTACATACAAAAAAAGAGGTATTTTTTGAAGAAAAAAAAAAGCTTTTCATTTACAGCAAGAGTAAGTTTGTATAAGCACTACCTAATTTGAGAGAATATTCAAAGTTAGAACATCATGAATGTTGTTTTTGTAATGCCTTTCTTAACCAACAAAATGACTAGTACATGTATATCCATGTAATACACAATCTATTCTTCCATTAGTATACACATATACACATCAATTAATTAACTGATGGAAGGAAATCTAAGGACACCATTAACCTGGTGTAAGGTGTTGAACATATTGATCTACATCAAACTTTCCAGTATCAACAGAAGCTGTTTAAACATAAAGAATCAAGACTTGATAAGCCAATGGAATAAAATGTTGGTAGACAAGACAGTTCTGTGCAAAGTGCATCTACATACAAATATTGAAGGTCATTATTGAAGATAACTACATACCAAAATTGAAGGTCGTTTGTTGAAGATTGTTATTTAAGATCCAAGTTACCTTTTGATCTGAAGTGTGGCAGGTAAAACTCATCAAAATGCCTCAATAAATTTCAATATAATAGTTTTGTTGGTATTAAAGTATGATCAGAAACAGAAAATTAAACAAACAAAAAAATTAACAAGTGCCAAATCTTTTATCTATATTTTTTATCACATTCTGTCCATTAAAAAAAGGAAATATATATACATATATATTTGTAACATAGCTATGAGACCTTTGTGATGTTAATGTGTTTGAGCCAACATTGTATGAGTAACCTGCACTATAGAAAACAAACTATAATGTTGGCTAGAGAGTAAAACTGTTGAAATTAAAATACATTTTATTCTTTTATCAGACTTAAAAAATAAATTCTGTCACAAATTTCCAAACTTTGATAAAAATGGATTTCCAAAACTTATATTATACTGTTCATTTCTTTATGAACAACATTCAATGTGTCTGTCAATGCACTTATTGAACCTACTAGATGACGAGTGATATATAACAGAGGAGATAGGCAAGTCATGTAACAAGGTTTACAAGCTCATAGATTAGCTCATTACATTACATACGACAGTGAGAGGAAAAATATTTTATATTTTTGCTACAACACAAAACAGAAAAAGAACATATAAACACTTGGCTATCAGTTTCCTTCCCTCATAACAAAATAGAGAACATGATGTTTTTAGGGTCTCTCTATTTCTTATACAATTGAAAATAGAAAATGGAAAGAAATGTATACAAAAATTTACAAATATGAAAAATCACATAATTGCATTGATATTTTTTCAACATACCTGTACATTAAATATTTACATTACCGTAAAATTCCTTATCAACGTCCTTCCCTTTACAAATGTATACCTCCAATTTTATCAAAAATGATACTACATTAGGTTGGTAAAAGGAGATTTTTTTCTATCTCATTTAGTAATAATACTTAGTCCTGAATATATAACGAACATGTACAACTATGTAATGAAACACCGTTACACCTTGAACAGTTTCTTAATTATAGCCTACATAACAATATAGAAAGTAACACATTAATTAGGAATTTCACGGTATAAACACAATCACACTCCCATGTTTTCATTAATTTTATGTCACAAATTTCATCTTATAATTGAAATAAAGATAAATCAAAACGTTTTATAAAAGCACTGTCAATTAAATACATGATTAAAATATGCAGAAATATTATGCAGACCGACTTGTACAAATACAGACATACATGTATATAACACTGCAACACTTTGGCATTTACTATATCACGGTTTGACAATAACACAACATTTGGTGTAACTATTGGTTACACTAAACCTTCTGATGCTATATTTGGTGTAACTATTGGTTACACTGAACCTTCTGATGCTATATTTGGTGTAACTATTGGTTACACTAAACCTTCTGATGCTATATTTGGTGTAACTATTGGTTACACTGAACCTTCTGATGCTATATTTGGTGTAACTATTGGTTACACTAAACCACTAAACCTTCTGATGCTATATTTGATGTAACTATTGGTTGCACTAAACCTTCTGATACTATATTTGGTGTAACTATTGGTTACACTAAACCTTCTGATACTATATTTGGTGTAACTATTGGTTACACTGAACCTTCTGATGCTATATTTGGTGTAACTATTGGTTACACTAAAACTTCTGATGCTATATTTGGTGTAACTATTGGTTGCACTAAACCTTCTGATACTATATTTGGTGTAACTATTGGTTACACTAAACCTTCTGATGCTATATTTGGTGTAACTATTGGTTACACTAAACCTTCTGATGCTATATTTGATGTAACTATTGGTTACACTAAACCTTCTGATACTATATTTGGTGTAACTAATGGTTACACTAAACCTTCTGATGCTATATTTGGTGTAACTTTTGGTTACACTAAACCTTCTGATGCTATATTTGGTGTAACTATTGGTTGCACTAAACCTTCTGATACTATATTTGGTGTAACTATTGGTTGCACTAAACCTTCTGATACTATATTTGGTGTAACTATTGGTTACACTAAACCTTCTGATGCTATATTTGGTGTAACTATTGGTTACACTAAACCTTCTGATGCTATATTTGGTGTAACTATTGGTTACACTAAACCTTCTGATACTATATTTGGTGTAACTATTGGTTACACTAAACCTTCTGATGCTATATTTGGTGTTACTATTGGTTACACTAAACCTTCTGATGCTATATTTGGTGTAACTATTGGTTGCACTAAACCTGCTGATACTATATTTGGTGTAACTATTGGTTGCACTAAACCTTCTGATACTATATTTGGTGTAACTATTGGTTACACTAAACCTTCTGATGCTATATTTGGTGTAACTATTGGTTACACTAAACCTTCTGATACTATATTTGGTTAACTATTGGCTACACTAAACCTTCTGATGCTATATTTGGTGTAACTATTGGTTGCACTAAACTTGCTGATACTAATATACAGGACACAAAAGTTTTACGTCATCAATTACTTACAAGATGATGTTTTCTTAATAACATTTGACAATAATTAAAGTAGAGGGACATACACAGCAGCAATTAAACAGTTTTAAAGATCTAGTCCTAATTAAGAAAAGCACTTCATCATTGTATAGTTTACTGAATCAGAACCCTTTTACACAAGCCAGATAAATAATTCTTTGTATTACAAAAAACAAAAACAAAGAAAAAAACTTTATAAAAACACTATCTGTCTTCTTGTATCATACATACAATGTAACTCTTTAATATCATAGAAAATATACATAAATAAAATCAACAGTAAAGTATTCAACAACAAAAAAAATTATATAAAAATACACTTAAATATATCTGTAGTTTTCATTTGTTGTTAGCTGGATAACAAAGTACATCTTTTCTAATAATACCCGAGCATTATTTCACTAATATTGTGACAGTACTGTGACCTATTTAATCAATGGTATTCATTATGATGTTATAAAACAGTGAAAGAGTAAGGGGGTAGCCTGCTCGGTAGCATTTTAAAGTCTTATCTAGTGGTCATGTCATGTATAAGATTTTAATCTATATTTTACACAAACAATTTGGCAGTCCATATCGTAACACTAAAAATCTTATTTTAATCCTATATAGTCTGTGGATTATCGTGACCCTCTTATAATATAAGTTATAAAGATTTTAGACACAGGTTATATGGCTCTATTTAAACGGTTGTTTGTAAATATAATCCGACCCGCTAGGCAAGGTTTATATTGCAAACAACCATTTATATATACGGTCACATAACCCGTAAAAATCTTTATAACCAATTTTTATAATACTGCAAACTGAGAAAGTTTGATTTCTTCATGAATTGACAGAAGCCGTGTGAACATGTATAAAACTATATAAACGTCACTATTAACCAATTGAAAGTGACGTTACAAACATGCAGTATTATAACTCTTGATGTATGGTAGAACTAGCCAAAGTGAAGGGGAAAAAAACAGGTCTTATTAAGGAGTGAATTAATTCTGTCCTTTGTACTTAAATGCAAATTTTGCAATTAATTTGACGATTTACTCACTTTTGTAATTTTCTTTTTTAAACAGAATGTATTTTATTTTTATTACAAAAGGAAGCAGCTATAAACAAATATTGTAAAATATTTAGAAAAATCTAAGTAACATTGTGTAATTCTCATCTGTATTGTAAAACAAATGAGCCGTGTCACGACAAAACCAACATAATGGGTTTGCGAACAGCATGGATCCAGGTCAGACTGCGCGGATGCGCGAATTTTACGGTATAAACACAATCACACTCCCATGTTTTCATTAATTTTATGTCATAAATTTCATCTTATAATTGAAATAAAGTAAATCAAAATGTTTAATAAAAGCACTGTCAATTAAATACATGATTAAAATATGCATTTTAAAGTCTTACCAATTGGTCATGTCATATATAAGATTTAATCTATATTTTACACAAATAACTTGGCAGTCCATATCGTAACACTAAAAATCTTATTTAAATCCTATATAGTCTGTGGATTATCGTGACCCTCTTATAATATAAGTTATAAAGATTTTTGACAGGTTATATGGCTCCATTTAAACGGTTGTTTGTAAATATAATCCCGACCCGCTAGGCAAGGTTTATATTGCAAACAACCGTTTATATACGGTCATATAACCCGTAAAAATCTTTATAACAAATTTATATAATACTGCAAACTTCCTTTTATAGAGAAAAAAGTTTGATTTCTTCATGAATTGACAGAAGCCGTGTGAACATGTATAAAACTATATAAACGTCACTATTAACCAATGAAAAGTGACGTTACAAACATGCAGTATCATAACTCTTGATGTATGGTAGAACTAGCCAAAGTGAAGGGGAAAAAAACAGGTCTTATTAAGGAGTGAATAAATTCTGTCCTTTGTACTTAAATGCAAATTTTGCAATTAATTTGACGATTTACTCACTTTTTTAATTTTCTTTTTTAAACAGAATGTATTTTATTTTTATTACAAAAGGAAGCAGCTATAAACAAATATTGTAAAATATTTAGAAAAATCTAAGTAACATTGTGTAATTCTCATCTGTATTGTAAAACAAATGAGCCGTGTCACGACAAAACCAACATAATGGGTTTGCGAACAGCATGGATCCAGGTCAGACTGCGCGGATGCGCGAATTTTACGGTATAAACACAATCACACTCCCATGTTTTCATTAATTTTATGTCATAAATTTCATGCGGATGCGCAGGCTGGTCTGGATCCATGCTGGTCGCAAACCAATTATGTTGGTTTTGTCGTGACACGGCTCAAATACAGAATTGTGAGAGTTCAACACACAGCACTTATTATTCACAAAAAAAATGCCCTGAAAAGTCATCAAAATACCAGTATAAATATTCTTCACTAGTGCAGTTCACATACAATATTTAATTACCCCAATATATACAGATGGTACTTTGGAGCTGAAAGTTTCTTACACCTTATTTATATAAAATCATTTTGATCTTTTACACAAATTCATAATTGATTTGTAAGGCAATATAAAATTTTCAAAGCATTCAATAGGCTGAAAACATTGAAATTACGTGGAAATAGACCAAAAGCTATACAACATTTTAAAGACTTACATGTACTTTCTATCACTTTTGACTGATTTTAATATAATAATTTAATATAAAACTAGCAATTAGAAGATGCTGGTGGGCGTCGTAGTTTCCCTGCTGTTGTACAATGTGTCAACTGATTGGTCAATGTTGAGCCTAGACATAGTTGAGACGGAGCGTTTACTCCACCTGGTAACTTAAACACAACTGTTCCGATCGCAGCCACACCATCGTCCGTTGGCTCAATAGCAATTGGAACAATATTTAAACTGTCTCTCACTACGATGGGTGATGTTGGAACACCTGTTTCACTAGGCAATAATGGAGTTCTGTCTGTAAGTTTTCTACATCGGCCCCGAAGGTTCGGTGATATATTTATTGGTGTTACAGGATGGTCAATAAGCACAAGTACTTTTGCAAACGGTCGAGATGCCATATGTAACATCTCTCTCGCACGCTGTTGACGAGTCCGACGTGCATCGAAACCCTGCTTTGTTTTCCACAACAACACACACATGGCAAGAAAGAGAAAAAAACACGAAAAAAACACAGAAAAGAAAACAAACAGATCTATATGTGGCTGGTCTTGCCTGAAGTACAAGTTCCCAGTTGATTCATTCAGTGATCTATCACCCGTACTTAAAAACACCATATAAAAACGCGACGTCTTTAAGTTAAGTTTATCATTCGGTAATGTGATCACAAGTCTACCCCGTAAATTTTGTATCATTAAAACTGTTTCTGGATCATGTACCGTGATAAATGTATTAATATCTCTAGCCTCGATCTCTTTGATAGGGGATGTAGAAGGATTTCTAACAGTGATACTCGAGCTACGTTGATAACGTAACCTGCTATTTATATTCTGGTGGTTTAAAATAACTTTGTGCATATCTGACATTGGATCAAGTTGAACTTGATATTTGTCTATATCACTACGCCTATGTCTCAACACGTGATCATCTAACTTCACCTCGTGCGTCCAAGTCTCCTTGTTTACTTCAACTTGGAATGTATCTTCACGTGGTGAGAAAAATACATCAATACCTGTAATATAAATAATTCTTTTACCATCCTTTCAACATACACGTATATTTGCAGTATATTCCCAAGCTAAAGTATTAGAAAAGTGAGGGATTTAAATGTGTTTTCCCAACCCAGTATACGTATATCAAATGACTCCCAGGGCAGGGCCGATTTTGACATGGGTGGACATAATTAATTTTGACATGGGTGGACATAATTAATTTTGACATGGATGGACATAATTAATTTTGACATGGGTGGACATAATTAATTTTGACATGGGTGGACATAATTAATTTTGACATGAGTGGACATAATTAATTTTGACATGGATGGACATAATTAATTTTGACATGGGTGGACATAATTAATTTTGACATGGATGGACATAATTAATTTTGACATGGGTGGACATAATTAATTTTGACATGGGTGGACATAATTTAGGTAGAGTACTACAAGGAGCTGATTCCTGCCAAGTATGAAAGCTCTGGGCATTGCAGTTTCTAAGATTTCATTTTAAGTCTATTTTAGCTCCTGTGGCCCTTTTAAACATCAGACGAAGGATTTACAGTCAACTATCGTTATCTCAACAATGCTTTTTCTCATACATAAATTTTTTGGACATAACATTGGTCAATAATTACATACAAGAGTTTGATATAACAACAGGGAATAATTAACTCTGGGTGAAACCTTTAGACATAACAGTGGGGAAGAATTACAATTTAAAATATACAATAACAGATTAGAATAACCCATAAGCTTAATGTATAGACATAACAACAGGGAATAATTACCTCAAAATGAACCAATTAGACATAACAGTGGGGGAAGGATTATCTCCAAAAGTATCATTTAGACATAACAACATGTAATAATTGCCTCAAAATGTATCATTTAGACATAACAAAAGGGAATAGTTAACTCCAAGTGTAAAATTTAGACATAACAGTGGGGAATTATTAACTGCAAGTGTAAAATTTAGACATAACAGTGGGGAATAATTAACTCTGAGTGTTGAATTTAGACATAACAGTGGAGAAGAATTAACATCTAATGTAAAATTTAGACATAACAGTGGGGACTTATTAACTCAATATGCAAAATTTTGACATAACAGTGGGGAATAATTAACATCAAGTGTAAAATTTAGACATAACAGTTGGGAAGAATTACCTCCTTGTGTTACATCAACTGTAACTCGTATATCAACATTCACATATTTAGGCTGCACCACAAAGAACACGGTCTTGCCCAGATGAAGTGGTGTAGGAATTCGAGAACATTCTGCTTGAGTAATTGGGTCAAAGCAATAATCTCTGTTTACTGTCATCTGTCTATAACAGTGATGGCCGTCTGTCGGGGTGCCAAGAAAATATTCCTTACACTTTGCACACTGCAATAGAAACATATATTTAACTATTAGCTATAAACAACAGCTGTCACACAAAAGTTACGAATGCCCCAGAAAAGGTTTCGTAAATATTGCAGATAGGTATAATGAAAAGAGAACAAAAGTAACTGATTCCATGCAATGACTATTTTATAGCAACTTTATCACTTTGACCTTGGAGGTAGGGACATGGGTCAAGGACCCGACACTTTGTCTTGATGCAAGACATTTGTGCAAAGTTATTTTAAAATCCTTTAATGCATGACAAAGTTACAGTCCGGACACAATTGTTGTATAAGTTGGGGGGCACAGACCTTGAGATTTCAGTATGCCGCTCTTTTGAGGGCAAAACATACAATAAACATACAACAAACATACAACAAACATACAATAAACATACAATAAACATACCTGAGACTGATGACATTTCACCTCTTTGTTATCATTACCATTACATTCAGTAGCTGTATTATTTTGACATCTACAGTTGAGACCACTGTCACTATCACAGTAATCACTGTGACCGTTACACATACACCTGTAATTATAAACACAAATTACTGTGACCATTACACATACACCTGTAATTATAAACACAAATTACTGTGACCATTACACATACACCTGTAATTATAAACACAAATTACTGTGACCATTACACATACACCTGTAATTATAAACACAAATCACTGTCACCATTACACATACACCTGTAATTATAAACACAAATCACTGTCACCATTACACATACACCTGTAATTATAAACACAAATCACTGTCACTGTTACACATACACCTGTAATTATAAACACAAATCACTGTGACAATTACACGTACACCTGTAATTATAAACACAAATCATTGTGACCATTACACATACACCTGTAATTATAAACACAAATGAAAAAAAAAACCTGCAATCTTTTACTTTAAAAGCTTTTGAATGATTAACTGAATCCAGGGTTAAGTAAATCAAACACAACATATTATGACACAGTGTAAACCTTGTTGGTGATCCAAAAAACATTACATGACTCGATTTTCTGAACAAAATAAAATGTGCAAAATTTGATAAGAATCATCCTTACATGCTAGAAATTTGATGAAATTGATAAAAATTCAATAATTGATACTTTTTTCAAGCATAAAAATGTGTAACATAACTTACTTGGTACATGGCTTATTAGGTAACATGTCCTGTAGTCTGAAGTAACCTTGTACACATTTCTCACAGCGATTACCAAACGTATTGTCTGAACATTCATAACACTGTGTACTGTTTGTCTGTACAGGACCAATAGGCTGTATGTCAGCAAACTGTAACAATTATAATGTACATGTTATCACGGATTGTGTACAGATGTTATAATCTACATGTATTAACACTGTAAAGATAATAGTTATGCTGACTTTCCAGCTTCTATACTAGACAATACAGTTGTATAACCACCTATTTTCTGTTAAAACAAGAGCTGTCACAGAATGTGACAAATGCCCCTCAAAGGATTCTAGTTATAAACCATCTATTACATGTTAAGTGTGGTGGTAAAAATTGACAAAGTTCAAACCCCAGCAGTGACCTTTAAGTTATACAAAGAAACCTGGGTCGTGTTCACAACACATTGACCATCTATGGTGACTTTATATTTTTTAAATAAAAATTGAAACTTTCATGTATATGAAAGTTACAGAGCGGACACAACAACCACCATTTATATGTATATAACATAAATATTGAAAAAGTTTAAACCTAAACAGTGACCTTGAACTAAGGCGTTGGAACACGGGTCTTATGGGCAACAAATCATACATGTAACACAACGGTCTCTGCCTATATGTATATTAACATCAATATAGTATTAATACGCCACCCTTCGGGGGCATAAAAAACCATCATTCTTCTGTTAGCTAGCTGCTAAAGTTTAAACCAACTGTCAAAAAAACAACAACAAAAAAACAACAAAACAACACCAGATTTTCTCAATGTAAAACATTTAAACCACTTACCTCCTTTATAAATTTTTGCGAATGAGTGAACGGATTTCTACGTATGAGGGCGTTTATTTCTTGTTTCTTTTTCAGGAAATCATACGAGGAGACACAAATATCGGAGTGAGTATTACAGAAATCTTTACATGACACACATCGTCCACCATTCCTCGGATCTCCAACAAACAATGGCTGGCAGTGCTCACAATGTATACCCTGTAATAAAATAGACCAATGTCTAAATGTACACCATGTTTATAATAACAATATCTATATCAATAAAGTACATAGACTATAAAGTATTGTATCAATAAAGAATAATTATGAGCTATATAGTATTTTATCAATAAATTATATGAACAATACAATAAATTAAATACATGGACTATACAATACTGTATCAATAAAGTACTGTCATTTTGAAATGTTGGATGTTGATAGTGTTACTAATAAAATTTTTATATTAAAAAAAAAAACAAGCTGAATCACGTCCTCCAATAAGGGAAGCCTTCCCCTCCCACACTCAACCCTGGAGAATTTTTTCCAAAATATTTTCAAGAATAAATCAACTAAGAAAATTTACAACACAACATTGGAGACCCCCTTTAAAAAAAGAAAAATATTACCGAGAATTTATCAATTAAAATATACCTGTGTATTATTCCTACACTGTAAACAAACATCTTTCCTTTCAACACTGGCACAGTTACTGTGTCCATTACACGCACACTTGGTCGAACAATTCTTGCCAACATAGCCGAAATTACACACACAATTCTCCGGGCTTATACAGATACCGTTCTCACAGCCTTGATGACAAACTGGTGTACACACTCTCTTACCACTATTACTGTAAACAAAAAATACCAGTAATTAATTAACCACATCAATCAATTAATTAATTAAAGAGATTTTAAACATCATAACATGTAAATCATATAATCTATGACAAACAAAATTTTATGTAACATTTCTTGACCAAAATTCTTCTGTTTAAAGTTTGAAAAAAAAAATCATTATTAATTTATCAAGATAAAAATGTTAAAGTCAAGTATGTCAGACTTAGCCTGTTGAGTTTGACTTAGCCTGTTGATTTTCAAGCAAAATCTTCAAGGAGTTTTTTAACTTCAGAATTCCTTACTGAACAACTAAAAATATCATTATGAAATCATAACTACACATGAACAAGGTTTACTGGTACATGATCATGTACATATTTTGACTTGTATTTACTTTTAGTCTATTACACCAAATAACAACCAAGCCCCTATTAAGGCCAATTTTTCAAAAATACAGTTAGTTACACAAGAGTCTGCAAAGTGCACCAGTTCTCAGAAGTGTTTAATTCCATAAAATTCAAGGTATCATATTTGAGTCTCTGACAATGAACTCTAGTTATGAAGCTTTTTGTGAAAAATGTTCCACGCTTCTTGAGATATTAAATTTGTATAGTGTTACGATGACACCAGGGTGAACATAGTACTATCACGTAATTCTATTATTCTTTCAAACTAAAATGCACACTATCTAAATGTTTTAAATGTGACCATATTAGAAATGCAGACATTCCAAAAAGTATTTTGACATTACTGGACATTCGGTCCAGCAATCTTTTCTTGTAGTCTCGAAAACAAACAATTTTCCACCTGGATGTAAGTATTTGTTCACATGCCGTAGTGTAATGGGGACGTTACTAGACAGTCGGACCGGCTTCGGAAGAAATTTTACCCCCGGTCTTACATAATTTTACCAGTCAGGTCCGTCGGACCGGCACTTTTCCGAATGCCTGGATATGTTCAATAAAACAAGTGTTACTGTAAAGAAAATATACATACTCTTTGGTTTTATTGATATATCCCTTCTTACAGGTACAGCTAAATCCATTCAGTTCATCGTTACAGTTCTGTGTTTGTAGGTCACAGTTGTGATGACCATTCAAACATTCATCTTCTGGTGGACATTTAGCGTAAGCCCAGGTATGTGTATCTACATCTGTAAAACAATAATAATAGCGTAAGCCCAGGTATGTGTATCTACATCTGTAAAACAACAATAATAGCGTAAGCCCAGGTATGTGTATCTACATCTGTAAAACAATAATATCTGGTGGACATTTAGCGTAAGCCCAGGTATGTGTATCTACATCTGTAAAACAATAAGTGGACATTTAGCGTAAGCCCAGGTATGTGTATCTACATCTGTAAAACAATAAGTGGACATTTAGCGTAAGCCCAGGTATGTGTATCTACATCTGTAAAACAATAATAATAATAGTGTAAGCCCAGGAATGTGTATCTACATCTGTAAAACAATAATATTAGTGTAAGCCCAGGTATGTGTATCTACATCTGTAAAACAATAATAATAGTGTAAGCCCAGGTATGTGTATCTACATCTGTAAAATAATAATAATAATAGCGTAAGTCCAGGTATGTGTATCTACATCTGTAAAACAATAATAATAGCGTAAGTCCAGGTATGTGTATCTACATCTGTAAAATAATAATAATAGCGTAAGCCCAGGTATGTGTATCTACATCTGTAAAATAATAATAATAGCGTAAGCCCAGGTATGTGTATCTACATCTGTAAAACAATAATAATAATAGTGTAAGCCCAGGTATGTGTATCTACATCTGTAAAACAATAATAATAATAGTGTAAGCCCAGGTATGTATATCTACATCTGTAAAACAATAATAATAGTGTAAGCCCAGGTATGTATATCTACATCTGTAAAACAATAATAATAATAGCGTAAGCCCAGGTATGTGTATCTACATCTGTAAAACAATAATAATAATAGCGTAAGCCCATGTATGTGTATCTACATCTGTAAAACAATAATAATAGTGTAAGCCCAGGTATGTGTATCTACATCTGTAAAACAATAATAATAGCGTAAGTCCAGGTATGTGTATCTACATCTGTAAAACAATAATAATAGTGTAAGCCCAGGTATGTGTATCTACATCTGTAAAACAATAATAATAATAGCGTAAGCCCAGGTATGTGTATCTACATCTGTAAAACAATAATAATAGTGTAAGCCCAGGTATGTATATCTACATCTGTAAAACAATAATAATAATAGCGTAAGCCCAGGTATGTGTATCTACATCTGTAAAACAATAATAATAGTGTAAGCCCAGGTATGTGTATCTACATCTGTAAAACAATAATAATAGTGTAAGCCCAGGTATGTGTATCTACATCTGTAAAATAATAATAATAATAGCGTAAGTCCAGGTATGTGTATCTACATCTGTAAAACAATAATAATAGCGTAAGTCTAGGTATGTGTATCTACATCTGTAAAACAATAATAATAATAGCGTAAGTCTAGGTATGTGTATCTACATCTGTAAAACAATAATAATAGCGTAAGTCCAGGTATGTGTATCTACATCTGTAAAATAATAATAATAGTGTAAGCCCAGGTATGTGTATCTACATCTGTAAAACAATAATATCAAAATATACATATAATCATAATTTTTTGATTGACAGGGACATACTATTTATTTGTATAAATACATCCGTAAAGCAACAAATTTTAATATAAACTTTGACATTTCAGAGTCCCTTGTTCTACAGGGTAAGAAACTGCTAAATTCTACGAGTAGGTTATTACTATTCATAAGTAATTCAATCAATTTTTACAAAATCTACCTGTAATTACAAGTCAACATGTTGAATGTTCGGTCCCTGACAGGAATATGCTGGTTGTTTATATATAAACCATCTGTAATTTTTCAGGAGACCAGAATAAGTAATAGATATACCATTGCTGCCTTGACGATTTCTGGGTTTGCGTAAATTATACCATAATCACGTGACCTTTCTTATGCCTTGACCTCACAAGACGAAGTCAACGCCAACGCACCAATGGTTATCTGTTTTAACCTATAGCTCCGCCCAGAAACACTTACTCCTTCGATCTTAATTTGCATAGCAGAAATGACGTAAAATGAGCTGTCAATCAAAATAACATGACGCTACTGTTTTAACCTGTTGCTCAACCCAGAAAAACTGAAAATTATACCATAGTCTGGGTATGGTATAATTTACGGTTATTGGAAATTAAACTTGGAAGAATTTTACATAAGAAGCGCTGAAGAGCTTTAGGTTAATCCCTGGATGGATAATTACTATACATCAAAGCCTGTCATATTGTCAACATTTGTGCTCTTTGACTGACCATACTGTTTCTGATATATCATGATACGTAACATTATATACAATCTCACCAGTGATTTTCTCCAGGAAAGCTGTACTTTTTTGTGCACACTGTTCTCTATCTACAGGACCACTACGAGTTCCAGGTAGACAGATCCCTTTACCATTTTGACCTCCGTTTGCACACCAACCACACCCCTGGGCCTGGCGACAGTCGGCACACTTTGTGTTATTTGAACACGGGGCGGGACATTTCTCTTTTGGTCCTTGTAATAGTGTTCCACAAGTCCCGCCTACACAATGTAAGGATACATACGCTGGAGGCATACACTGAAATATAAACATAACAAATAAAATATATATCTTATTCTAGTGACTAGGGAAAGGTGGCTGGCATTATATTTGCAACCATACAATTCTATCAATATATTTAGTTACTATGACTTTACTGCAACATATTTAAAGGCCCATTATGCTTTAAACTTTCACTCAATCATTGTTTTACAGTGAAGAATATAAACATTAATGCCTACCTCCTTTAAACTTTCACTCCAGTAACATTCCTTGGATCCACCTTCCCCACCATGAGAACTCAGACACTCGGTACATGCGGTATGAAGGTAGCAGGGTCTGGGACACTCCTCCTCCAACGTGTAATATTCGAGGGATTTGGCGAGGTTTTCTGGTACACAGCTCCAGTCATACTTCTTGCTAATACTACGATGTCTAATGTTTACTATAAAACAAAACTTACAGTTACAATACAAAACAAAACTCATGGCTACAATACAAAACAAAACTTATGCTATGTGAAAATACCTGGATTCACATGTGATAGTGAAAATACCTGGATTCACATGTGATACTGATAATACCTGGATTCACATGTGATAAAGATAATACCTGGATTCACATGTGATACTGATAATACCTGGATTCACATGTGATAAAGATAATACCTGGATTCACATGTGATAAAGATAATACCTGGATTCACATGTGATACTGATAATACCTGGATTCACATGTGATAAAGATAATACCTGGATTCACATGTGATAAAGATAATACCTGGATTCACATGTGATAGTGATTAGGTGTAAAATAGACCACTATTCACTTTATAAAAACACGGTCTAACTTGCCCATGTCACCAAATGTTAAAATGACATTTGTCTTTAGCTACCACTGTAATTCCCCCCCAATCATTTCCTCTCTGTATCTTTTATGTATTAACAGACTGCTCAATGCGACCAGCGATCGCTAATTAATTAGCTTATTGAGATCAATCTTTTAATCAAGCAACCACTTTTACCTGTCAAGTGTTTTCCTTTTAATGGAGTGATCACAAATTTTTTTAAGTGATCACAAAAATTGTAAGTGATCATAAACAATTGTAAGTGATCACAAAAAAATTATAAGTGATCACAAAAAATTTTAAGTGATTACAAAAAATATAAGTGATAATAAAAATTATAAGAGATCTTAAAATTATAAGAGATCATAAAAATTCAAAGTAATTATAAATGTTCAAAGTGGATCATAAAAGTTCAAAGTGGTCATTAAAGTTCTGAAACATTGAAAATTAAATGTACAGGTACTTGATCTAACACTCAGTTTTACTAAAACTGTAATTTTAAAACTTAAAATTATCAAAGATTTTCAATCATATAGTCTTACCGCCATTGCCAGTGGACTCTCTTTTAAAGTATTGAGTCCACAAACAGCCAAGTTTTTTGCATGATGAACAAGTTGAGGCCTGGCACGAGGGCACAATACACGAGGAATGTTCCTTGGCCTCGAGGACTGTGTGATTTTCCTGACGGATCCGGAAACCTTTAGCTACACACATGTTGATTATACAGTTTCCACACCAATAACAAGACTAAAAATATATAAAAATAATTCCATCATTTTTGTATAAACTATATGGCAGGTATACACCATGTACAACTCTTTTCTCCTACATGTACATTCTTATTATCTAAAATCTATTAAGCTTCTTAAAGGCCCATTTAGCCAAAAAAACGTTATTACTTTCATTTCTCAAAAGTTTTTGATTTTTGGTGTTAAGTTACAATAATGTTCCTCATGTACCATAAATCTAAACCATATTTTACTTTTGGTCCATTAGCAAAGTTATAGTGGTCATGCATTTTTCTCATGATGTCATATTAGCAACATTAAAGCTTACCAGTTCAGCTGTCTTGAATGGTGGGTAAATAGCAACATTAAAGCTTACCAGTTCAGCTGTCTTGAATGGTGGGTAAATAGCAACATTAAAACTTACAAGTTCAGCAGTCTTGAATGGTGGGTAAATAGCAACATTAAAACTTACAAGTTCAGCAGTCTTGAATGGTAGGTAAATAGCAACATTAAAACTTACCGGCGCAGCTGTCTTGAATGGTGGGTAAATAGCAACACATTCAGAACAGTTTGTTATATCTCTACACTTTATTTCTGTCACCCATTTCAAATCACAAACTGGTCCTTCAAAATTGGCAGTTTCGAATCTACAATCATAAATGAAAGCTTCATAATGCATAGATCACTTACCTATCTGTTATTATCAGATTAGTACCTTCAGACAATAAGATTTTTAATTTTTTACTTTATGACATAGTGGCTGAAAATAAAACCATGCATCACATAAAATTACATTTGAACAATTCACCTGCTGAAACCTTAAGTAATTAGTCTTTGCCACATGTATAAAGCCAGACCAGCTTCCTCATTGATGAAGTCTGACTTGAAACTCTCAACTAAGCTCACATATTTATGGTTTCCATCTTGATATCCCCAATGAACTGATAAATGGACAGTTCCAAAATAGAAACTGGACAAGTCCATTTAAGAAATTCCTCAGATCAAGGAATAATTTGATATGACATCACTTACTTCAATATGAATTAACTAATTGTTCAGTCAAAGAGCAGACAAGGCCCTTGACTTTATTCTAAATTCCATCAGCATTTTGTCATATTTCCGTTTAATATTTGTTTGCCTGTTTGTCTGTTTTTTTACTCTATTTTTCACACATATTAGGTCATATTCTGGCAGTCGGTCCGCCTAACTAGGTTAACTCGAAGGCTTGTTTTGTTTCATGTGAGGAAGCTATGCAGCTAGCTTATAGAACATCGGTGGTTCTACTCAGGTGCCCGTTTGTGCTTGAAATAATGCACAGAAGGGTAACTGAGATCTTCCTCCCCCAGTAAAGCAGGAATGTCGCCATATGACCTATATTGTGTCCGTGCGACGTAAAATCCAATCAAACAAATAAACAATCAAGCAAATCTGATGCTGTCCCTAATGAGATAAGTCAGCCGTCTGGTCCAATAAAATGTCTGTAAATGTTACATACCCGGATGTCTTAGATCCTTCTTTATTACTGTAACACATTGTGATATTCACACTAGTACTGTTTCCACTGGCACCATTTGGCAGAATTAACCCGGAACATCCAGGTTGTTTACACATCTCTTTGCTGCTATAAATGGAGCAAAGGTCTGGCGGGAGAGTGATGCGGTAAAGGGCATTGTGATCCATACCACTGAATCCACCATGTAGGTACATGCTGTCTTGATAACGTATGGACCGTGCAGCAATTAATGACGCCACAGCATCCCCACCTTCGTGATCTGGTGTAACAAAAACAGACAATAAAATAGTGATTCTACAAATGTACAGTATCCACATAATACTCTTCTTATATTATTGTAAACATTTAAAATCATATAAAAAGTACATTTAGACTTTATTATTGATATTCAAACATTATATTTGTATAAGTTGACTTGTCCCTATGTTGAAGGCATGTCCCTAAAATCACTACACTTGTAAACAATTGACAAGTATATCAAGAAAAGATATAAATTAAGCATAGGCTTCGATTAATAACGGAACAGCTTATATACCAATGTAAAATACCAAACAAAAAAATTAATTGTGTAACTTAGATATCTTATAAAATTGGTCTGTGCTCACTTTCCAAATCTACTATCTTTCCATTACAAACCAGTAAAAAGATGAAGATTTCTGATTTCTCCATGTCACTGCAATGCTTACTTTGTCTGATCCCTGTCATTGCAATGCTTACTTTGTCTGATCCCTGTCACTGCAATGCTTACTTTGTCTGATCCCTGTCACTGCAATGCTTACTTTGTCTGATCCCTGTCATTGCAATGCTTACTTTGTCTGATCCCTGTCATTGCAATGCTTACTTTGTCTGATCCCTGTCATTGCAATGCTTACTTTGTCTGATCCCTGTCACTGCAATGCTTACTTTGTCTGATCCCTGTCACTGCAATGCTTACTTTATCTGATCCCTGTCATTGCAATGCTTACTTTGTCTGATCCCTGTCACTGCAATGCTTACTTTGTCTGATCCCTGTCATTGCAATGCTTACTTTGTCTGATCTGCTTACTTTGTCTGATCCATGCAGTGATTTTCCTACTTATATAACAGACTCCGAAAAAAGGCCTCTTCCCAATTGAAATTTTCTTTAAAATCATGCAGTTTTCCCAAAAATCTGAATTTAAACCAGCTTTTTTACTTCCCAAATCAGCAATTTTAGCGATAATTTTTCCCAAAATCAAGAGGCTAAGGCCTCTTCCCAATACACCCATAAACACTTTTCATATGAACTACGTAAATAACCGAGCTATATCGAGTGAAAAAAGTAGGAGTTGTTTCCTTTATCTTCGAGTAAGATTGGTATCTCTTGCGCTAAAACAATACAAATTAAGCCATTTTTAAACGCTAGTTTGTTGTGATTAAATGTCCGATTTTAAAAATTATTACATCATTGGAAAGCTTGGGATCTAAGCTTTGTCAAAGTATATAATTTTATATATCTTTTGACATCAAATTATTTAAATTAACTGTTAAACCTACCATATGTCAGACCATGTTACATACGATTTATACAGTGAGATACGCAACCCGTTATCTTTACTCGAAAACCTACTGATAAGAATAGCCTGTCGTCTGCTAGTTGGGGAAAGTGTTTATCGGTGTATTAAGTGAGAAAAATCACTGCCATGTCATTGCAATGCTTACTTTGTCTGATCCCTGTCATTGCAATGCTTACTTGTCTCATTCATGTCATCAAAATGCTTGCCAGATCCATGTCAGGGTAACGCTTGACTGTCTGATCCAAATCAATAAATGCTTGTTAGTCTACAGGAAGAGGTGAATTATACCAAAGTTATAAAATCATATGATATATAAACAATGATATTATATTTACCTGACAAATCTAGCCTAGTCCAGAAGTTACATGTATACTTGTATATTAGAACATTAGAGCTGATGTTTCTGCCATGAGTGAGACCTCCTATTACTAGCATATAATCATCAAAACCTACAGCTGTATGAAAATATCGTCCCTCAACCTGTGTAATATTTAGGTTCATATTTATATCATATTTTCTATACGTAAGACACAATTCATTACAAGGGTTAAAAATCTTGATAATTTTTTGACAAGAATCATGTTACAGTATTGTCAAAGTGTTACAAACATTTCATACTAGAATAATAGCTACAACTTTTAGAAGATACACAATTGAAAATGAGAAAAAACTTGTTTATTTACACATTATTGAACCTACTCAACTTGTAAATATTGATTTACTTGAGTAATTAAACAGTAACCCTGAAGTCACTCTCACTTTCTTTAGACAGATTTTGTATACCTACTTTAAGTATATTTTTTATCATATAAAAGGGTATTCTTCACCGTGACATTATGTGGAAAAGTTGACACTACTCATTTATAGCTTATTTGAGTCTGCATCCTTAATGTTACTGACCCATACAATTGCAACAGTTTCAAATTTAACCAGAAATGTAAATATGTAAAACTGTGGCATATTTTTATCTTTTGCTATTGTATAATTTTCAAAATTGCTAAAAAAAATCCCATGAACTGGGAGAGAAGCTTCCAATAAGTTTTTATTTTATTACACAGCTTCAAATATCAGACATCTTCTATATTTATTATGTTCTAACTGTGCTTCTCTCATTCACATGCTATACTTTTTTGTTGTAAACAATTGAAATATAAACCTGATTACTGAACCAGAACTTATATCTAATCATTCATTATGGCTTGTGTCAACCCTAACCCTACTATAAATATAAAAGCTTCTGATTGGCCACAGAAAACCCTACTATAAATATTAAAGATTATGATTGGCCATAGAAAACACTACTATAAATATTAAAGCTTCTGATTGGCCACAGAAAACACTACTATAAATATTAAAGCTTCTGATTGGCCATAAAAAACCGTACTATAAATATTAAAGCTTCTGATTGGCCACAGAAAACACTACTATAAATATTAAAGCTTCTGATTGGCCATAAAAACCCTACTATAAATATTAAAGCTTCTGATTGGCCATAAAAACATACTATAAATATTAAAGCTTCTGATTGGCCATAAAAACATACTATAAATATTAAAGTTTCTGATTGGCCATAGAAAACACTACTATAAATATTAAAGCTTCTGATTGGCCATAAAAACATACTATAAATATTAAAGTTTCTGATTGGCCATAGAAAACACTACTATAAATATTAAAGCTTCTGATTGGCCATAAAAAAAACCTACTACAGGTATAAAAATATTAAGGCTTCTGATTGGCCATAAAAAATAGCAACACTTGCTCATTAACAAAAATTGTTAGAACATATAAGCAGTGTTATGGATCCAACCATACAAATTTTAGGTCAATATATTTCACATAAATCTAGACAAATAAAATTACAAATCTAAATTAGAACATACCATATGATTTGAACTTGAGGTTCTGGGTTGTAACAGATTCCAAGATGTGTTAGTTACATCAAATGTGAACAGATAGTGAGATAGCTCGATCCTCTCATCCTTGAAAACATGGCCTCCAAATAAATATATCGTCTTATATTCTGTGTTGTACACTGCACTGTGTCCGTATATACCTATTTGTTATAGAGGATATTATTCAATGAGTGAAGGTTTAATACTAAATTTATTAAACAAGTTGAAGTAAAATCATATTATGGGAGCTTCTGGCGAGCATTATATTGTTTTATTCAACGAGTTCAATGAATTTGTTATGGAATCTACAAGAATATAATATTCTATTTATCACATACATTGTATATAAAATAAGAGTAAACTGTCAAAAAGAGTCATTTTTCATTGACACGCCAAAAGTGTAACGCTTATATAAGAGCGCTTTAACAATATGCTTATAAATAAATTATTACACAAATATCACATCAAAGTGTTATTACACTGGTGTAATATCATTTTTATTAAATGGCATTATTACATTCCTGCTTCGTGGTTTATGTGATAAATAAAATACAGTCTGAACCACAGAAACATTGTCAAACATCTGATGTACATGACTAACTATACAGAATGGTATCAAAGATTAAAGTGACATTATGTCCATCCAAGAGTAATGTACACGTCAAAGTCAAAACAACTTCAGATTTTGCCACTGTTATGTCAAGTTAATATGTATGATCAATTATCCTCGTGACTCACGGAAAATTCTATACATATTCATTGGAATGTATCCTTAACGTTCAAATGATAAACAGAGTGGGGCAGTCTTTATATATTTTAAGTGTTTGTTATGTTTAATCCTAACAATTTTCATTATCAATTATTGGTCAAAACCCATTCTAATAGTGAATCTTTTGAAATATATAGCCAACTCAGCTCACCTTAACAACGAAAAAATAAGCATAATGTCACTTAAAATGTACATTTTGAACTATAAAATGGTGACATTCATAACATGTTCTTATTGATCTACAAAGAACATTGTCAAACAACGAACATTAAATCATAATTAAAAACATCAAAATAAGGCAAAAATACTTGAAACATTAGTTACTGTTGCAAATGTGATACATTTTACAATACCTGCAGGTTTAGCCCCAGCCCAGTTTCCTTTATCTTTAACACTCCAAGCTGTGATGTAAATTTTAGCATCATAAACATAAACTATGTCATTGAAATAGTTTAACGTCGAGAATCCACCAATGATGTAAAGTTTGGTATCCTCGCCTCGTGTCATTGTGTGCCCGGCTAAAGGTCGTACCCAATCTGGCTCCTGAAAAAATATATTTATATCATTACTTTATCAGTGTTTTAATCTTCATCACAAATATAGCTGAAACATGGTTTTAAAATTTAACGCTGATCTTTGGATATATTCAAATTCACAACTAGTAACATTTAAGCAAGTTCTGGTAACAACCCTTTTTTCTAAGGTTAATTGTTTGATACTAATTTAATGTCTTTCCTTGAAATAGGAAAGATTTCTCTTAAAAACTGTAAGTAGACAGTTTTGAAAATTATTTCATGAAATATCTAAAAGTGTTAAAATTACAAAACTATTACACAAAACTCACAATGAAGTTTGAATTTATTGAAATACAAGTGTATAAAATCTTCATGGAAATACTGATTCATCACCATGCACTATAATATAAACAAAACTTAAACTCACCCTCGGGCCAGACCAATTCTCCGGACCAATATTAAATCTCCACATTTCTTTACTAGCAGTATATTCCCTCTCTTGATAAGGATTTTTTACTAGTCCACCAAATATAAACAGTACCTGCATTATAGGTACACATTCTCCTGCGTGGAAATATCTGTAAATATAAGATTTAAAATGTACCATTATTAACACCTTATGATGTGTTTGGTTGTAGTTTTGTATACAGTCTAATTAGACCATGCAACCACGTTCATTAAGCGACTTTTGTCTTATGCGCTCACTATTATATCCCCCCGATCATTTTCTCTCTATATCTTTAATGTATTAAGCCACTTTTGATCAACGCGACCCACGACCACTAATTAGTCAGCTAATTAAGATCAATCTTTTCATCAATCGACGGCTTTTATCTGTCAAGTGTTTGTGTTTTTTCCAGAACGCTGCCTTGTGACGTTGTGAAATGTTACCCTCCCTTGATTTGGGAAATAATCAACAACTTAACGTTTAACCTTTGACTAGATTTACCTCCCTTGATTTGGGAAATCATCAACAACTTAACATTTAACCTTTGACTAGATTTACCACCCTTGATTTGGGAAATAATCAACAACTTAACATTTAACCTTTGACTAGATTTACCTCCCTTGATTTGGGAAATAATCAACAACTTAACATTTAACCTTTGACTAGATTTACCTCCCTTGATTTGGGAAATAATCAACAACTTAACGTTTAACCTTTGACTAGATTTACCTCCCTTGATTTGGGAAATAATCAACAACTTAACAACTAACCTTGGACTTGATAAACCTCCCTTGATTTGGGAAATAATCAACAACTTAACATTTAACCTTTGACTAGATTTACCTCCCTTGATTTGGGAAATAATCAACAACTTAACATTTAACCTTTGACTAGATTTACCTCCCTTGATTTGGGAAATAATCAACAACTTAACAACTAACCTTTGACTTGATAAACCTCCCTTGATTTGGGAAATAATCAACAACTTAAACTTTAACCTTTGACTAGATTTACCTCCCTTGATTTGGGAAATAATCAACAACTTAAGAACTAACCTTTGACTTGATAAACCTCCCTTGATTTGGGAAATAATCAACAACTTAACATTTAACCTTTAACTTGATTTACCTCCCTTGATTTGGGAAATAATCAACAACTTAACAACTAACCTTTGACTTGATAAACCTCCCTTGATTTGGGAAATAATCAAGAACTAATCAACTAACCTTGGAATTGATTTACCTCCCTTGATTTGAGAAATAATCAAGAACTAATCTACTAACCTTGGACTTGGTTTATCTCCCCTGTCCGGTTTGATCTCCTTCCATACATTGTTCGTCAAGTTATACACCCAGATATCATTAAGGAGACCGTGCTCTAGCGAACGTCCTCCAAACAAGTACATAACATCATCACCACAATGAATCAGGGCGTGTCCATAGCGACTGCTTGGTCCGTTACCACGGAAATCTGTTGTTATAGCATTAGCGTCCCAGGGATATATTGTGATATTGTACGGAGCTGCTCCAAAATCATACTGGCATTGACAAGACTGCGTAGTCTACAAAATAAGTTAAAATTATGTTAGACATACTGTATGAAATATCCACAAATCTATAAAACAATAAACGAGTCTGTACACACTCATATTTTATCTATCTTCCAATAATGTCAAACCCCTCGCCGGGACGTACATATGTCAGGGACATATTTTAGTTTTACCATTCTAAATATGTAAAATGGTCCTGATTTGAATAAAGAACTTTCCTTAATCAATGTGTAGGATTTAAAATATCAAAATACTGATATTTACAGGCAGATCTAACTTTGCCATAGTTTATTATTACTGGCAGCATTGTACTGTTCCCATCTTATCTAAATGTAGTTGCGCTTTTAAACAAAAACAAAGAATGAAATGAACATACAAGTATAATAGTTTGTTTGTTTGATTGGATTTTACATGGCACCAACAAAGTATAAGTCATATGGTGACTTTCCAGCTTTACAAGTGAAGGAAGACCTCAAGTGCCCTTCCGTACATTATTTCAGGCACGAACGGGCACCTGAGTAGAACCACCGCAATGCGTAAGCTAGCTGGATAGCATCCTCACATGAAAGAATCCAAGAAGTCCAAAATAGCCATAGGTTTAATTTTATTTTCTGCCACATTGTGACATTGTAAAAGGAAAAATTTAATACACAGGACTTTGCCAGATATTACCAATTATTGCCAGACAAAACTGGATATTACTGGACATTGCTACTTTTGCATACCTTAATCTACACTCAAGTTAATCTTTTTTATCTGTATTTTGAGCAGCAATAAGGGTAATTTTCATTTATGTATAAAAATACATGTATAATAATGGTGTTTAGTGGCAAGTTTCACATACATAGTTACATTAGAAAATACCTGGTGGTGGACTTTCACGCAGATGTGACTGTAAATGATTGGTTTCAAAAAATCTAATACTGATAAATCTTAAGTTCATGAAATATTCAGAATAAAGATGTATACCTGTTGATAAGTACATCCATGTAGACATCTATGTTTGGAGCAGTTAGGAAAATCTGTGTATCCTTCTTTACACACACATCTTGAGTGGTTACAATATTGGTTGTGTGTCTCGTCACACGTTTCTGGGCATCGGTTGACATAGTAACTACCATTAAAACCTTTTGTTGGTGAATCTGTTAATATATATATAGATGAATAAGTTTATCTAATCATTGTATCACAGTTTCTACTGAAAATGTGTCAAAAGTTCAACAGTACACCCATATATGCACAGTGCGTTAACTGGAGTGTTGGTATTAGTTACTTGCACTTCAGTTACTGCACTTTCTGTTTGGGATAGAACTAGAGCACAGACATTACAAATTAGTCCTAACATATGTTATAATTTCCCATAACGGACATTACAAATTAGTCTCAATTCATGTGAGTATAGAAAAACCATACTGAAGTTTGCTAGTAAACAATGCAAAACCTGGAAATTACTACAAAATCATTTCTTCACTACCATACTTACATTCACCACTAATATCAGCATCAAAGTATACTGTAACTATCCCAGACTTGGCTATCACTTTATTAAACTCTCCCGAATAGAAACCACAAAAAGCTCCCAGTAAAACACCACTTCCTGTACTGTCTATGAAGTCTGGTATGCCGTCATATATATATACATGGTCCTGAAAAACAATAGAATATTAACTTCTTAACAACTTCTTACTAAAATCATATGGTAGTCTCTATTTTGAAAAACTTTCCAATTTTGTAATTTTTGTTTGTTTCTGGTTGGGTTTAAATTTGGACATTCCAGTTCTCTTGATGAAGACCTTAGAGTTTCTCTGTTTGTGTTTTCCAGCACAAGAGAGCATCAATTCAACCTACAGTAAGCCTGACTATGAGAATTGAACTTCCTTACTGACATTCACACCTAATCAAGCTAGAATAACAAAATTTATCACATAAACCACGGCGCAGGAGTGTAATAAAGTGTAATAATTTTATGCTCGCCAGAGGTTCGCATGATATGATTTTATTCAACTTGTTCAATAAATTTAGTATTAAACCTACACTCATTCAATATCCTCTATAAATGTCATGAGAAGAGTTTAAATTAAAAAGTAAAGTAATAATTTGAGGAAAAAGCCGTATACCCGTTCACACTGCACTGCCATATCTTCTACTCCGAAGGTAATAGTTGGGAGAACGGACCATGGGTCGTTGATGTTTGACGATACAGTGAAGATCCACAGACAATATGCTCTCCATGTAGATACACCTGGGCCACTGTATGATCCCATAGATCCCTCGGTGATGTTCTCTATGATAAGTCCGTGATCACAGCTTAGATAACATTTCCCACCATCCCTGTTTATAATAAATATTTCCTTAAAAGCAATTATTAACTCTACTCCTTACTCATTTAAAGTGTGACTAGTTAAATGTTAATTAAATTCTGGTTCGTAAATGTAAACACTTCAATCCAACAAGCCATCAAGGTGAAATGATTAAAGGGGACATATAGCACACCTTGCCAGATAATAGCTGGACATTTTCTTCTTCCTTCAATTTTCTTCTTTCTTCAAAACAGACAAGCTAATAAAAGAATCATTTAGCACACTTCAGTATAAGACTAGATAAAAAATGTTTGTTTGTTTGATTGACTGATTGGGTTTTACGTCACACCAACTCATTACAGGTCATATGGCGACGTTCCAGCTTTTACTTGTGGAGGAAGGCTTCAGATGCCCTTTCATGCATTATTTCAGGCACCAACAGGCACCTGAGTAGAACCACCGATATTCCGTAAGCTAGCTGGATAGCTTCCTCACATCAAGAATACAAAGTCCATGTCGGAATTCGAACCCACAGCAGTGAGAGGCAAGTAGTTTGTAGTCAATGACCTTAACCACTCAGCCCCTTAACCATGTTTATTTAGTAATGGGTTAAAGGAATCTTAAGTTATTTGGCGGACAAGAAAAAACTGACAGAAGCCTGACAGTCGGACGGACAATCTGATTCCAGTAAACAACTTTGTTGTGTGGGGGTATAAAAATGTTTATTTAGTAACTAGGACATACGTTGGATCACCATAGTAACCAGGTTGACACATTTGACACTTGTAACCTTCAGTGTTGTCTACACAGAAACATTCCCCAGTCATGTTGTGACACAGTCCTTTACTCTTATTACCATGTTTATTGCACATACATTCAGCACAACCTAAAGGAAAAATAAAATTTAAATTAATAAAAACATTAGAAATTTTAAATCTTTAATTTTCAAAAATTTAATTAACACACTTTTTAATATCATTATTTAAAATTGTTTTATGGCCGTATACCTTTACAATAGCTAATATGTATAATAGTTCAAGGTTATAAACATTTTGTCTAGTTTTTGCACATAATTACCATGAATATCCTTATAAAATAATAAAACACAAATGACAAAGTAAAACATCATTGTCATCATCGTTATCATCATCATCACTATCACCATCACCTAGAGCTTCAGTCACCGGCATATCGCCGACATATTGATATGAATACAAACATTGACGATACACCAATATATCAATATATCATTTATCTGTATTTCACTTTCATACCGGTATGAATTATTTCAGTAAAAAATACTTTCTGTACATGAACTTATAATGTCTTTTGTTTATAAATATCTTTTGAATGTTTTTTAGGATATATCATGTAAAATTATATTTGATTAAGATATCTTGAATTTTTATTTTTACAAAATAATTTTCAAATTTGGATTGTTCTGTTTATATAATGATTTCATTTTAAACACAAAAGAAATTGGCTGTTTTTATCTGTTTTTATAGTGCGAATACAGCCCCCATACAGTCGTTGTCCATTAAGTAGTGACGGCATAGTTTTAGACATTTCCTTTTGACAGGGCACCTGTTTCCCTTCATGTTTCCAGTTAATTTTCGTCATTTCTAGACTTTTTAATAATAACTGAAAGTATTGATTTTTTAAAATGTGTATCGATAATCAATTGACAAAAGAATATCAATGATACATCGATATTGCTTCTATCGATGACAGCTCTACCACTACCATCATCATCAATGTGAAGTTATTATCTTAGGAAAGTTGGCAGTTCAAATACCTTCAGGTTTTGTTGGGTCACCAAAGCGGCCGTCCAAACATTGATGGCAGAATTTACCAGTTGTACCATTTATACAGTAGTCACATTTACCAGGACCGTTACTACACTCACTGTGTCCGTTACACCTACAGTCAGTGCCGCAATCTTTACCAGTCCAGCCGAGGTGACAGTCACAAAAATAGTCATTCCCCGTGTCGTTCACCATACATACACCGTTCACACATTTATGATAACACCTGTAAATAATTTGGTCACAATATAGAATAATACAGACAAATTTATTATCATAATCAAAACTGATGTCGACTTGCTGAAGAACAGACATATCAAGACATATCTTTTTAACTTCAGGTGCTTTCTTTAAATCAACTCACTACATATATATGGATATAAGTCACTACAGTGTTGGAGCAGTACCTCCAGACGCTTGCAGAAATCATGATCACATAATAGATAAATATCACTCTTTTCGCTGATTTTTACATTTTTCATCCATTAACGTATAAGAATCAGGGTAAATAGACAAATTGGGCATCTTAAAGTGCATATTGGCAGTTGAGAAGGCTAGATTTAAGCATTTAATCATCACGGCGCACACTTTAAACAAAACAATTCTTGTCAAGACTAATAATATATAAAGTCTTATATATCTTACGTTCTAGTACAGGTGTCGCGCCCATTCCCGTTAAAGCCTCTGTTACACTTGCAGTCGTACGATGTGGGCGTGTTTATACAGGTGGCGTTAGGATGACATGTAGCCATGCCAAGTAGACATTCCTCTACATCAGGACACGTGCTGTACGACCAGTCTGATGGTTGTGTGACAGTCATATTCTGGTACATGGAGGAAATCAGTGACGAACAACTTCCATCAGTGTACGGACCTGATAAATATATAACATGGAGGAAATCAGTGACGAACAACTTCCATCAGTGTACGGACCTGATAAATATATAACATGGAGGAAATCAGTGATGAACAACTTCCATCAGTGTACGGACCTGATAAATATATAACATGGAGGAAATCAGTGACAAACAACTTCCATCAGTGTACGGACCTGATAAATATATAACATGGAGGAAATCAGTGATGAACAACTTCCATCAGTGTACGGACCTGATAAATATATAACATGGAGGAAATCAGTGACGAACAACTTCCATCAGTGTACGGACCTGATAAATATATAAACAGTTTATCTCTTCTAAAGGGAAGTAAACAGTCCTTAAAGGGACTCCACTTGAGTTTTTTTGACATGATAGGACTGAAAATATTTTTTCCAGATAAATGTACCATTGAATGTTGGTTTAGACCATTGATCTTTGTGCAAAATTTCAGATCATTAGCGCACTTAATTTTTCCAGAATAATAAATCAAACTGTAAAAAATGACCCAAAATGAAAAGCGTTGGAACACTTTTCACTCAAATCGGCACTTTTCACTCAAATCGGGCTAAGGAAAGGATAAAAATATTATTTTCAATTTATTTCAAAGTATATTTCTTAACTATCTTTGCATATATTGCTGTTTAAAGTGCCCCAGCTCATTAATGTAAGAAATTCAAATGTTACTATTTTAGGCTTTTAAACCTAAGTGGAGTCCCTTTAATTATGGTCAAATTTGATTTCAAATTGAGAATTTGTCACAATCTACAGATTTTATTCGAAATTTCTCACATTAACAAAACCACATTGTTTTTTTTTTCAGTCATACTCATCCCCAGTAAGACTTCCCCATTATTAAAACCCTAATGCCACTATACTCCTATATACAAACAATGTTGTGTTTCTTTTATCTATTTATCATAAATCCAGTTAAATGAAATCAGTTACTGTACATTTATAACTATAACTACAATTTAACCAGAATTAAACTCTACCATCAATTTTCATAGCATATAAAAACTGTCTCTTAAGGCCTCCATTTATAAAGCATGAAGTATCATAATTTAGTAAATTAAATAAATTTAGTTTACCATGAAAATCTCCCTCGTAACAGACACCTATGGTTGGATTTATTCTGTTACCACACCATCCACAGCTAAATGTCTTCAAACACATGGCACATGAATTGATAGACGTACAGTTCCTGCATGTGTACGGATTGTTGCTATTGGTAACCTCACTGTCAATCCATTCTGTACACTGTCCGTGTCGATGACGTGAGACATAGTCGGAGAACGGAAGGCAGGTACGTAAATTCTCGCACCAGGCACACTCGCTGATGTTCAAACATGCACTACAAGATGTCCGTCTGTAAAATATGATTCAGAAACATAAACTCAATGACAGACTCAAAATTTCCACTGTTTCTTCAACACAATAATTAGAAACTGAAGATACATAAGATAATTATCAACAAAATGGGACTTTAACTTATTAATCCATCTATCTTACCATGCTGGACATCACAGGGATTTTTCCATCACACAAAGTTTCTTTGCAGAAAATACTTCTGACATATATAGCTTAAGCTAAGGGGATATTCAGGAAATAACAAGCTTACTGGTGGCAGCTTAGGGGATATTCAGAAAATAACAAACTTACTGGTGGCAGCTTAGGGGACATTCAGGAAATAACAAACTTACTGGTGGCAGCTTAGGGGACATTCAGGAAATAACAAACTTACTGGTGGCAGCTTAGGGGACATTCAGGAAATAACAAACTTACTGGTGGCAGCTTAGGGGACATTCAGGAAATAACAAACTTACTGGTGGCAGCTTAGGGGACATTCAGGAAATAACAAACTTACTGATGGCAGCTTAGGGGACATTCAGGAAATAACAAACTTACTGGTGGCAGCTTAGGGGACATTCAGGAAATAACAAACTTACTGGTGGCAGCTTAGGGGACATTCAGGAAATAACAAACTTACTGGTGGCAGCTTAGGGGACATTCAGGAAATAACAAACTTACTGGTGGCAGCTTAGGGGACATTCAGGAAATAACAAACTTACTGTGGCAGCTTAGGGGACATTCATGAAATTACAAACTTACTGGTGGCAGCTTAGGGGACATTCAGCAAATAACAAACTTACTGATGGCAGCTTAGGGGACATTCAGGAAATAACAAACTTACTGGTGGCAGCTTAGGGGACATTCAGGAAATAACAAACTTACTGATGGCAGCTTAGGGGACATTCTGATACATGTCGTACTACATGATCCTCTTCGGCCCGACCTCGTCTAACACAGTACACAAAATCCTTCACCCATTCACAACGCGGATCCTGTTAAAAATACATTATTTCATTAGCTTTTTACTCTTACATACACTATTTACCTGCTGAACTTACGTAAAAATTGATTGGCCCGACTTTCAATTTGAACACTCCATTCAAAATTTATGAGATTTCAATAACAAAATTATATAAAAAAAGAGATCAACCAGCAGTATAAAGCCTGGTCAGACAACACAGAAACACAGGCTAGCCTGGTTCTATACTTGTGGCAAACTCTTTATCACTTCAGTTACAACTATATTTCTACTGCGTTACTAACGCAGTAAATGCTGTTTATGCATATTTTGACTACTTTTTGGTAATTTACGAGTTTGTAAGTGCCATTGATAATGTGTAAATTGCTTCCTTTTGGTTATTTCACTGTATGACACATTCAAGTACAGTTTCAAAATTTTCATGAAAATTAGCATGAATCTGGAGGCGTGCTGCTTTAATCTTTCCCATATTTCAAGAAATATAGACCAGTCCTAACTTCCTTCAGTAAGCTTAAATAAAAGATTTCAGTCAATATAAGGAGTGACTGATGAAATATTTGAAATAAGCAGTAAGCATAGAGGTACTGCGGAACTCAGAAAATGTGCGTTTGTCCGGATCTAATACCGTGGTACAAACAAACCTTTACAGTATCAACAAGTAGTGAACAGTAATGCACCATGAAGCTATAATGGTAAAAGAATGTTTGTATCCCAGGATAAGATAGGTTTGTTTGTTTGTTTTGTTTCATTTTACGCCTTTTTCAGCAGTATTTCAGTCATATAGGCGGGTAGTTTCCTAACCATCGTTCCTGGAGAGTTACACCAGTACTAGACTACCTTTTTCTGGCTAAACTACCAAAGCATCTGCCGGGGATGGAACCCACACCAGAGAGGTAACTGGATTAGAAGTCATCGACTCTAACCCCTGGACCCCACATAGGCGGTAGGATGAGATAGGAAAAACCAACATTTGCCGAGTTCCAGATAACATCTATTTTAACCACTCTGCCATATTATCATAAACATTAAACCATTACTTACACTAGCACATGATCCACATTCTACAAGGTCAGAACACGTCGGACACATCGATGGCTCTGTTATCATAATCTTGGTCATGTTCTCCCCGACACACGTGTCAACACTCGCATTACGAAGTGTACAAAGATGTGTTGGTTCGCACCAGCCACATAACGTGTCTATCATACACGACATACAGTTAGTATGTTTGCTACAGTTGCCGTTGTTATATGGTTCGAGGAACTCAAAGTGGAACGGGTGGTAGTTCTTGATTAATGGCTTATCTAAAAACACAACCATATAGTAATGTTAAACAAAAACAACCATACAGTGATATTTGGCTATTGAGTAAGGGCCTTACTGGGGCAGTGCCTTGCTATCAACCAAGGTCCTAGATGTCAATGATCAATGGCTTATCTAACAAGAGGGCCATGATGGCCCTGAGGTCGCTCACCTGTATATAGGCCCCCAGAGCGGGCCAGTTTAAACCCCAGGGCTTTTACTTGAACAAACTTGGTAGACAACCATTAGAAGATGTTTAATGCTAAACATCTAAGGTCTAGCTGGTCAAGTTTTTTCTTTACACATATAGATAAAAACAATGACACACCTGGGGCAGGGCCAGTTTTAACCCAAGGGCTTTTATTTTAACAATCTTTGTAGACACTTACTAGAAAATGTTTCATGCTTAATATCTAAACTCTAGCTATTCGGGTTTTTTCAAAGATTTTTAAGTTTTTGCTTTACACATATAAGGAAAATCAATGACCCCTGGGGCAGGGCCAATTTTGACTCTAGGGCTTTTATTTGAACAAACTTGGTAGACACCCATTAGAACATGTTCCATGCTAAATATCTTAGCTCTAGCTCTTTGAGTTCTTTAAAACAAGAATTTTTAAGTTTTTACTATATGCATATAGGGAAAATCAATGACCCCTTGGGGCGGTGCCAATTTTGACCCCAGGGCTTTTATTTGAACAAACTTGGTAGACTGTGACTCACTTGAAGATGTTTCATGCCAAATATCTAAGCTCTAGCTCTTAGGATTTTTCTAAAGAAGATATTTAAAGTTTTTTCTTTCGGTTGCCGTGGCAACCAGAGTTCTACATGGAATTAAATTCTTTGAACAATTTTTAAAGGTGACCACCAAAGGAACATTTCTGTGAAGTTTGGATGAAATTGGCTTAGTGGTTTATGAGGAGATGTCATTTAAGTAAAAGTTTACGGACGGACGGAGGGAAGTCCGGCCGAAATGGAATAAAGGGCCATTTCTTTTGTTATTTTCTATTGTTTGATAGAGGGCCAATGGCCCCTTACTCTATTGTTACGGAATGAACTCTATTGTTCTCCTTTGTTCTGTTTACAGTTAGATGGCCCTCTATCCCTTTTCGGTAGTGCGGAGGGACGGACGGACGGAATGATAAGCCTAAATAAAATATTCAAGTTAAATCATTTAAATATATGTAGTTATTAACCAAAAACTATAATTAGAAATACTGACCTTGCGTTCCATGACCGTTCCACTTCAATTTCAGGTTGTACATTGATTTACCCAACTTCATTTTCTCTGAATACGGGGGATATTTGTATTTGCCAATGATCTCTATATAGTATTTGTTACCACGACTACGGTTTAAGAATAGAAGGGTGCCATCGTCACGGTAATTAAATTCTTTCTCACTTTGCTTCTCCTTAGTTTCCAATTCTGTTAATGTCTGAACTTCCTCCTGTAATTAAATATGAAGTCATTTTTAAAATAGTATCATTAAAACAAGGGTGCCATAGTCACAAAATAAGCCCGTTTACGAAAGCTTTAGATGGAGATGGGGGCATTATTGATAAGTGTTATCTAGCAAGCAAGTTTTTATTCTTGGCACTGTGTTGTTAAATGAACCTTAAAACAAATCAGTAGGGAAGATATGCACAGAATGTGTGACCTTGACCTTGGTCGCAGGGACCTGAATTTTATGCACGGCACTCAGCCTCACAATGATGAACATTTGTGCCAAATTATCTTGAAATCCCTCTATGCATGTAGAAGTTTTGCTCCAGACAAGCGTTTTTCTATGAGCTCTAACTGTGACCTTCACCTTTGACCTAGAGACTCGGTTCATGTGCAGGGCACTACGTCTCATTGTGGTGAACAATTCTATAAAGTAACATTAAAATTCCTCCATGCATGTAGAAAATATGCTCCGGACAACATCTGGATATTTTAATCATCTCCAGTGACCTTGACCTTGCAAATATTAACCTAAATTAAATGTCCTCACACCATTAGTCATGATAGTTACCATTTGTGCTACAATCCATCAATAAATGATGACTAAAATGGTCCTATACACACATCTTTAAATTTTTTATCTGAACTTTGACCTCTATGTGTAACCTTGACTTGGTCGCAGGGATCTGAATTTTGCGTGCGACTCTCAGCCTCACAATGGTGAACATTTGTTCCAAGTTATATTGAAATCCCCCTATGAATGTAGAAGTTTTGCTCCGGACAAGCGTTTTTCAATGAGCTCTAAGTGTGACCGTGACTTTTGACCTGGAGACCTGGATCATGCATGGAGCAATACATATCATGGTGGTGAACATTTCCATAAAGTATTATAAAAATTCTTCCATACATGTAGGAGATATGCTCCAGACAAAATCTGGATATTTCACCATCTTTAGTGACCTTGACCTTGCATATATTGACCTAAAGTACATGTGTCACAGCCGTAGTCAGGATAATGACCATTTGTGTTACAATCCCTCAATAAATGATGATTAAATCGTCCTATACACATCTTCATATTTTTATCTAAACTTTGACCTCTATGTGTGACCTTGACCTTGGCTGCAGGGACCTGAATTTTGTGCGCGACACTCCGCCTCACAATGGTGAACATTTGTGCCAAGTTATATTGAAATCCCTCTATGCATGTGGAAGTTTTGCTCCGGACAAGCGTTTTTCAATGAGCTCTAAGTGTGACCTTTGACCTTTGACCTAGAGACCTAGTTCATGTGCGTGACATGGCTTCTCATAATGGTGAACATTTCTATGAAATTTCATTAAAATCCCTCCATGTGTGTAGGAGATATGCTCCGGACAAAATATGGATATTTCATCATTTTTAGTGACCTTGACCTTATATAAATATTGACCTACATTATATGTATCACAGCCATTGTCTTGATAATGACCATTTGTGTTACAATCCCTCAATAAATGATGACTAAATGGTCCATATACACATCTTCATATTTTTATCTAAACTTTGACCTCTATGTGTGACCTTGACCTTGGCCGCAAGGACCTGAATCTTGCACGCGACACTCCGCCTCACAATGGTGAACATTTGTGCCAAGTAATATTGAAATTCCTCTATACATGTGGAAGTTTTGCTCCGGACAAGCATTTTTCAATGAGCTCTAAGTGTGACCTTGACCTTTGACCTAGAGACCTGGTTCATGTGCGCGACACTGCTCCTCATAGTGGTGAACATTTCTATGAAGTTTCATTAAAATCCCTCCATACATGTAGGAGATATGCTCCGGACAAAATTGGACGCCGCCCGCCCGCCAGGGGCGTTCCCATAATACGTCCCGTTTTTCAAACGGGCGTATAATATGTCACAGTCATCTAAATATAATATCATTAAATATTAAGTCATTTTAATATAATTTCATTAAAAAATAACAACAAACAACTTCCTCAAAATAACAATAAACTTCTTCCATAAAATAATAATAAACTATTTCCTCAAAATATCAACAGACTTCTTCCTCAAAATACAACAAATTCCTCACTAAAAGAAAAAAAAATTCCTGAAAACAATAGCAACAAATTTCTTCATGGAAATAGAAACAAAATTCTCCCCCTAAAAATAACAAGTGACTTATTCTTCAAAATAACTCCAAAACAGCGGCTAACTTCTCCTAAAAAAACTGTCAAATGTAACAAGTGCTGTCAGAAAGATAATGTGTTCGACTTTTCTCTGTGCTAGATAGTAAAATAAGAGCCTAGATAATGCAGAACTTTTCTTATTTAAAAAAGAACCATAATTCTTTCAAAATCAATGTCAGAGTAGTGAACCTTTAACAGTGACCTCCTTTTTATGCTAAACCAAAAAAAGTTGTTGGGAAATTTTTATTCCTTTTAGTAATTTTGGAAATACCACTTTTGGGCCAAAAAAAAAAAAAAAAAAAAAAAAAAAAAAAAAAAAAAAAAAAAAAACAAAAAAATCAAAAAAAAAAAAATTTAAAAAAAAAAAAAAAAAAAAAACAAAAAAAAAAATAAAAAAAAAAAAAAAAAATCAACAGTGCCCACAGTGACATCAACATCTGGATGAGTGCATAAGCTCCGCCTATTCTAAAACATTTTGTATCAACTATGTATACTAAAGGAAAGATATAAGACATTTTGTATCAACTATGTATACTTAAGGAAAGATATAAAACATTTTGTATCAACTATGTATACTTAAGGAAAGATATAAGACATTTCAATGCAAGGTTGACTTTGTCATAAAAATAAGGTAAGCAGAAGTTTAAGGCCACCTTGCTTCCGTACTAATCGTTCAGAACTAAGTAAATATATAGAGGATATTGTTTCACTGAGTGAGCACTAAAAGGTATATTTCACAAGTGGCGCAGCACAAGGTGAAATATACTTCGATCTTACACTAAACTAAACAAATTTTCTTTTTATTATATGCAAAGAAATGTTTTAAAAAGACATTAAACCTAATACTGAATGAAAAGCATGCCAAATAATAATAAAACGTGACGACATTTACGACATCACGTCATTAAGTTAGTACGCATACTGTGCATGCTTGTATTTCACTGAAACAATGTAAGGGGCTTAAATTCAAAGCAGTGAAATTATCAAAGATGTAATTTCACTGTTTCAAACAGTGAAATTACCAGTTTTAAATCACTGATATATTTCTATAAACCACCGAAAAAGCATGTAATAAATAGTACATCATTGTTCGTTGTAAAATATACTTACACAATTTCTCGGATTGTCATCTTTACTAAGCCACATTTGTACGGAGATATCCTCCGCCACAAGTTTTAGACCATACACCACCGAGTCCTGTATTATTTTGATTGTAGCGTTCAAGGGATGTATAAACCCTATCCAACTTATCCTATCTAGATAAATCTTGTTACGATTGACGTAAATATGTCGGAAATCTTCCGTCTCTTCTGTCTCGCGTATAATAGTCACCTGACAGAGAAATATTGATTTCTTTACTAACAATATCAAGTTTTGGTAAAATATCATATCAATTACAACACTTATATAATTGTACTATACGGTTTTTAAGAAATTTTCTGGTTATTTTTTTCAAATTCATTGCAATTTTGGTGGTACGAAAACCATTCATTGTCTAACCTAAAAACTTTGCAAATTGTGTGTTGAATTTAACAGGATTAAATATTGGGGTAACATAAATTTGAACTTTGATGTCCCCTTGACACTTGTTTTTCTTATATAATTTTTTCTGAAAATGTTTATCTTTGTTCAATCATGCTTATATTAGGCTGTCAACTGACTTTTGGGATAAATTTGTGAATTTTTCATGCAAAAAAAACAACAATAATATAGAATTTTCATTTTTCATTTTTTGAAAAGTGTTACTGCAAATACATATCCAATATCTAATATATTAACCTCATCTGGATGCCTTATACCCAATATTGGTCTAATAGCATAGTGTTTTAACCTCTAGTAACATTATATTTTAACCTCATCAGGATATTTTATATCTGATATTGGTCTAGTAACATAATATTTCAACCTCATCAGGATATTTTATATCTAATATTGGTCTAGTAACATAATATTTTAACCTAATCAGGATATTTTAAATCCGCTATTGGTCTAGAAAGATATTAACCTCATCTGGATATTTTATATGTGATATTGGTCTACTAACTTAATATTTAAAACTTCAACTGTAATATTGGTCTAGTAAACTAAACAATATATTACCTCATCTGGATGTTTCATATCTAATATTGGTCTGTATTTCATGGCATGAAGTCCTGCAGGAAAATCTTCTAGACGACACTGATCAATCTGACTCAATGAGGCGCTTGTTCCACCCCACCAACCTACAATACCTGTCACAGTGTTGTGTCTGTCCACACAATTCCCTTCTGGCTCTGAAATAAATGAGAACCATTCCTTCCCTTGTCAATATTTGAGCCGTGTCACGACAAAACCAACATAATGGGTTTGCAACCAGCATGGATCCAGACCAGCCTGCGCATCCACGCAGTCTGATCAGGATCCATACTGTTCGCTTACAAACCCTATTACAAGTAGAGAAACTGATAGCGAACAGCATGGATCCTGATCAGACTGCGCAGATGCTCATTTATACAATACATTCTTACTTTAACCCTTAAACTTCTAAATGTAGGTATGAAATTTGCTCAGCTTAAAAAACTTGGAAGTTGGAACAGGCCTGGATGAGAATTTATCTAAATACATAACTTGAGCTACCAACAGTATAGAGCTAGGCTAGACTATAAGGATGTATTGGCTAATAGGTTTGAGCTTTCAGAAGGCTAGAGGTTAATATTTCAATATTGAAATACTATAATTTACCACTCAACAAAATAGTTTTTTCATTCCATTTTTTATACTGGTGGTCTACTTTTATATTGGTGGCCTACCTTTATAATGGTACCCCGGCTTTATACTGATGGTCTGCTTTATACTCATAGCCTGTCTTTATACTAGTAACCTGGCTTTATATTGGTATCCTTACATTAAAGATTTACAATTTGAAGACACAATGCATTGTTTAAGAATTTAAAACTTTTTGCTCTAACTGGTGAATGAAGGCCCTCTATATTTTTTGTGTTCTTTAAATCAGAAACAGATACAATGATAGTACTGTAAAAATCATCAAAGAAAAAAATGGCAGCGATGTCAAAGTTGTACATAACTGGGTTTAACCAGATCCCTTAATTCTTTCATTAAAACTTTTGTATATATATATATATACTTAGCAATTTTTGGTAAATATATTTCAATATAAAACAGCACTTACTAGATCTTTGCTGACATTTGGCCTCTTTGACACACCAGTTACACGGCTGTATATATGTCCTCTGCTCTAATGATGTGTCTTCCAGGGTCGCCCCTTGACCTTGACTCAGACATTCCAAACATGTAGATAATCTGCCACAGATGCCAGGACAAGCTACCACAGGATGTACTGTATCCATGTTTCTACACATCTATATACACAGATTACATATATTCAGTATGATTAACAATGCAATAATGCTAACAATGCAAACTTAACAAAGCAATAATGTTCACAATGCAAAGTTAACAATGCAATAATGTTCAAAGTTTACAATGCAAAGTTAACAATGCAATAATGCTCACAATGCAAAGTTTACAATGCAAAGTTAACAATGCAATAATGCTCACAATGCAAAGTTTACAATGCAAAGTTAACAATGCAATAATGTTCACAATGCAAAGGTTACAATGCAATAATGTTCACAATGCAATGTTTACAATGCAAAGTTAACAATGCAAAAATGTTCACAAGGCAAAGAAAACAATTCAATAATGTTCACAATGCAAAGTTTATAATTCAATAATGTTCACAATGCAAAGTTTACAATGCAATAATGTTCACAATGTAAAGTTTACAATGCAATTATATTCACAATGCAAAATTTACAATGCAATAATGTTCACAATGCAGTTTACAATGCAATAATGTTCTAAAATTCTTTATCATAGACGTCTTATCAAAATATATAAACAAATATAGCATGAGCTAGACAATAAGAATTTAAGTTTCAAAAATAATTGAGATAAAAACTTGTTTGTTTATATGTACTAACCTGTATATATGCACAAACCTGTCTATATGTACTAATCTGTTTATATGTTATACCAACATGTTTATATGAACTTACCTGTCTACATGTACTAACCTATCTTTATGTACTAACCTGTCTATATGTTCTAACCTATCTTTATGTACTAACCTATTTATATGTACTAACCTATTTATATGTACTAACCTGTCTATATGCACTAACCTATCTATATGCACTAAACTCCTTATATATTAATAACCTGTTTATATGTACTAACATGTTTATATGTACTAACCTGTCTATATGTACTAACCTGTTTATATGTACTAACCTGTTTATATGTACTAACCTATTTATATGTACTAACCTGTTTATATGTACTAACCTGTTTATATGTACTAACCTGTTTATATGTACTAACCTGTTTATATGTACTAACCTGTTTATATGAAATAACCTTTTTATATGTACTTACCTGTTTATATGAACTAACCTGTTTATATGTACTAACCTGTTCATATGTACTAACCTGTTTCTGTGTACGGTGTAAGCAACCTTTAGTATTGGTGGTAGTTACGTTGTTACAATATAAACAATCCGGGTTATACTGACATTTTTCAGGTAGAGTGTAATTACTGCAGTAATCCAAATCTAATGACAAATCAGCCTGTAATACAATGTAAACATTTCAGAGTTTATTTTGTTTGCGTATTTGATAGTAACTGACTCATATCCAAAGAGAACAACTTCAGACCAAACACTGCCCGCTGTGTCAAAAAATCCCAAATTAATCCTCCTAAAATGATATCTTATTTTTCTTGTTTTGTTTGCCTAACTGTTTATGCTGATTTCAACACATTGTTAATATTTCTGTCGTTGGTCGCCAGTTACCCGTTTTCCTAATGGTAAGATATACACAAGATCATTACAGTCAATGTTCGAGGTCTACAGATTGTCCCGCAGATATTCCTAGTAAATGATTGAACCTATCACCCCTGGATAATAAATCCAGTGCTCTCTCTATTGGGTTAAGTTGGTGAACTCTATTATTAAATACAGCATACTGTAGGAGAAGTTGTATTTATAAACTCGGCTCGATGCTATAGAATTTGAAAATCAGAAAATGATTGCAAAACCATTAATACTTTTTACCACTCGGCAACAGAAGCATCTTGTTCTTCATGTCTGACATGGCACTTACTAAATATAAATCAACTTGTTTGAATTAAATAAAATTGAAGGCTTCTACATGGGAGTAAAGAAATCTCAATTACTAAAGGTGGGACAACTTGTTTTTCATGTATTTAAATTTATATCTTAATTTACTGAAAGTGGATCAACTTATTCTTCATAAAACAAAGTTGTGTAACTTACTGAAGGTGGAGCAACTATTGGTGGGAACTTGAAAGCTATAAGATCACTGCGTACATATCCCGAGTATCCCCCGGCAACAAGAAGAATGTTTCCGTAAGCTTCGGCAGCAACATGACTTACACGACCTCGTCTCTGCATCGTCTTACCAGCTTCAGCATATTCTGATAGATATAAAAACAAACATTGTACAACTTTATACAGAAATCATCACTTTGAAGTTTTGTTTGTTACAGTTTTAACCATGTACTTTTTGATTGTTACAGTTTTAGCCATGCAGTTTTTGTTTGTTACAGTTTTAAACATGTACTTTTTGATTGTTTCAGTTTTAACACTGTTAATGCCAGTTAATGTTTGGCCGTATTTGTATAAGGAGGTTGACACATGGTGGGACTTAATCCTATGTTGATATCTCTTATTCAACAGCTTCTGTGTAATTTTGAAGGTTTTATTATATACATGTACTGTTTCAAAATAATCCACTAGTACGAGCCTTGAAATATGTTCAAGCATAAGAAAAGGAAACAAAACTTGAAGGTATCATTTCATACAATTACAAAATAAACTTACTTCCTAGTAAATGTGTAATGCCCACCCAGGTGTGACATCCTAAATGGTAGAGATACATCTCAAAGTCGTAGCACAGCTCTAGGTCATGATGAATGTGTGTGTTACCCCCGTATATAACCATATAATTCCCCATAATCACTGCTGAATGAAACGATCTCTGACTCGGAACGTCAGATTTCTCGCTGTCGGAGAACCGAATTTGAGACCATATGCGATTTTCAACATGAAAGACGTGTAGATTGTTAGTATGGGAACCAAACCGAGGCTGATCCCCCGAGTTGGAGTATCCCCCATAAATAAGTAACGATTTTGATTCTTTGTGATAGACAGTGGAATGTCCGACAAGTCTACGTAACGAAGATTTTCCACCAAGTGGAATCACTTCCTCCCATTGGTCAGGATTGTTGCCATCTATTTTATAAATATTGGCCCAAAACTGACCGTCATTGGTTTTGCCTCCGAATAGATACAGATTATTTTCAACAAGAGTGAGTGTGTGACCAGATAGCTGTAGAGGTGTCACACTGCTGTTTTGCGCACAAAGATTCCATTCTTGTAACGTAGCATTAAAATACCAAAGTTCATTACTGTAGCTCCCGTTACTGAAAATTCCACCAAACATGTAAAATCCATCATGAAATTTGACAACTGCATGCTCATACCGACTGTCTGGCCAGGGGTCAGACTCACTTATAGTCTCCCATCTGTTTGTTTCAAGACAAAACCTTTTAAGATCACTCATTATTTCATTTAAAGAAAACCCTCCGAAGATATATAAACAGTTTGTGAGCGGTAAAAATGCCCCCGCATGTGCCGACCTTGCCTCAAGTCCTGCACCACTCGGTGCAATCTCGTACCAATATTCGCTTCCCTCCGAATCATTTAAAGAAATATTGCACATATATCCCGAATACCCTTTATCACATTGGCAGAAAGACGTTAACGTCTCATTATCCTGAACACACTGCCCGTTACCACTGCATTCATTTGGACAGTCCATGAACTGGCACCAAGCCCCTGATCGACCCGGAAAACAGTGACATTGGTGGTCTATACAGTTACCCTGGCTGGAACAATTCATCGGACAATCTTGGATCGAATACCTAGCCCTGAATCCCTTACGTTCATAATTTCTATCACTGAATAAATACACAAGCATCTGAAAAAGAAAAGAACATTATACAGTTGTACAATCATCTAATTTAGTAACAACTCGTACTCTTAAACTTTTATACTTTGAATTATTCAATTCATGTGTTTAACAATTTTAATATAATTACAGTATTCTAATGTTAAGCAAGAAATAGAATAGGATCTTATCAGCAAGACTAAGTTGATCTCTACAAGACAGTCATGACGGCCCGAGATTGCTCATCTGAGATCATCATTTAATTCTTGCAAAGTTAGTGTCAACCCCTGCATAGAAAAGCAAAGCTGGAGAAATTCATTAAATAGACTTAAATATACCAGTATAAGGGGTTTTAAAAGTTATATTAGTTCACAATATAGAACATAAGTCATCAAGGAAAAGCCTTCTTGAATATTGACAGAAGTGAAATGCAAATGGCATGAACTTATTAGTTATTACTGACATACTTCCTTTAACAAATCTCCATCACAGAACATTTGCCTCATTCATTACTCAAATTTTAGACGGCAAGTTATTGAAAACTATCAAAATGCGTTACCTGAAAACTCACAAATGCAAGTTTTTTTTGTTTTTTTTTATTTTTTGTTTTTTTTTAAATTACAAATAATAGGTTTGTATTTTTTTAAATTTTACGATAATTGTTGAGACAAAATAACCTCCGAAACATGAAATGATTACCTGTCCAGACTGGGCCATTATGGGATCTGGTATATTGTTCCCGCTAAAGCTCGCCACCATTCGGTGTCTGTACGAGTTCCCATCATAGATAAACAGGAAGTCATAGGAACACTCCGTATTCAGTTCATCAAATTCCAGATAGATTGTTTTGTTAGGGACTTGTGCTGAAAATAAAAAGACAATACTAATATTACTAGAATTCTAGTATGGAAACCAAGTCATGAAAATTTATACCATCCAATGGTTTTATGTCCACGTAAAGTTGGTTTGTATGTTAGAATATGTCCTCTTTATGTAAGCAATGTTTATAACACACTTTCAGCTTCCTAGCTTCTATAATTTGACAAGATTATTGAAGATATACATTGGTCATGGTACATACCGTATAATTCCTATTAAACATCCTCGGGTGACTAACATTTTACTATTCTAATTGGTTATTATACTCATTTATTTAAATCTGTAAGTTTATAAGTCCATCATACAAGATAAAATATGTTTCTGTCAATACTGTTTAAATGTTTTAATTTCTATGTTCCAAATAAAGTTTCAATAAACAAACAAAAATCTTGTTTAAAGTGCATTTTGGTTGCAACTGTACTTCAAGCACTTTTAGTTGCAAACATTCAGAGATCGAAAATTCCACTCGTCCGCGGGTAGTTACTGGTAGAATTTTAGAGAACTTGATGCAGGACAAGTAGAAAAATATTGCCTCGGCCCAGCACATTTGATTTAGAAGATGCAGGACTAGTGACTCTGAAAATATTTTTTGATGCCTGACCGAGTGCCTGTGACCAAGTGTAGAATCGCTACATATCCTGCCTGTTGCAGGTTTAACAATACATAAGCTACAGAGACAGTAAACACTATATTCTCTTTTGTACAAACAAATCAGTGGATTAACTATTATCAAATAAATTTCCGACTCAAGATTCAATTAAAGTGACATATTCCCAATCTTAACACATGTTTTGTTTATTTGTTAAGTTTCCTACACAGTGACACACATGTAGAAATGAAAATATTTCTTTTTAACACTTAAAATATTTTAAAAATTAACTCTATACCTTGTTCGGATCTTTATTTAGAAAAGCCTGTTAGTTAGACCAACAATCAAGCAATGACTACAAATGCATTGAAATTCAGGTGAGAATTAAAGACTGACAAACAAACACATAACTATAAGCAATCTACCCTGTCAATATAACTACTACTAGTGTCCGTCGATATAAAATTAACTATAGCATATTTTTGTGCTTGTACTTGATTTTTCAAAAATAACAATGATTAAATATTTTGTTCGGTTAAAAGGTTAGAATTTAGACAATAAATTACACACTATATGAGTCATAGTTCTCCAACAATATATTCTATTCATGAAGTGCAATATTGCAAGAATTATGCAAGATTTTTTCTAAGATATCTTTTTTCTCTCTACTGGATTTGCATTACTATCAGCATGTAACAAAGAAAAGAGAATGGCCTTCCTAATGCAGTTGGGATATCAATTGATTTTTCTGAGAGGGAGGAAAAAAAACTTAAAGCATGTTAAATATTAAGAGAAAGAGCAGGTTTGTGTTTAATTCAGATGTTCCTCTCCTTGCAGTTTAAGTTAATATCTTAGTTTATTATCTAAGTTTATCATCTTAGTTTGCCATCTTAGTTAATTATTTTAGTTTATTATCTCAGTTTATTACTTAGTTAATTATCTTACTTTATCATCTTAGTTAATTATCTTACTTTATTATCTTAGCTTTTAATCTTACTCCATCATCTTAGTTTATTATCTAAGTTAATTATCTTTTATAATTATATCAGTTTATTTTCTTAGTTAATTATCTTAGTTTATCATCTTAGTTGATAATCTTAGTTTATTACTTAGTTAATTATCTTATTTTATTATCTTAGTTTATCATCTTAGTCTATTATCTTAATTTATTGTCTAAGTTTTCTATTCAGACCAAATCACAATACTGTCATTTTGAAGAATGCTTCATTAAATAGTTTGGATTTACATTCTTGTTAATTAGTCTAAACTTTAAATATTTGTCAGTTTCTTCGCTTTTTACAGTTAATTTCTTATATTTTATATCTTAAGCAATAAATTATTCAGAAAGATGTTATAATTGGTGTTTCTTTGATCTCGTTCACAATCAAAAACTATTCCTCCTTAAACAACAAAGCAGCACATGAACTATTCAGTGAAATTAAAGAAGATAAAATATTCACTTTGGATCAGGCTTGTCAGCTAGGGTCTCCCCCTCCTGATACAGTTAAAATGTAGTTAAAGTTTGAATGTTCAAAGCTAGCTCTCTTTAATGACCAAACATCAGGCAATCCCTATATTGTTGTTGTTGTTTTTTTTGGGGGGTTAGGTTTTACATCACACCAACACTTTAAAGGTCATATGTTTAGAGGAAGAATTGAAACTGGTGGGATTGGAACCCACAGTGGTGAGGGACAAAATGCATCATTAAGCAATCTTGGAGAATAATATTACTGTAAATTATCACAATTCAACAATATACCAGATATATTTCAGATAAATCGTTGAATCATGATAATTTCCCTCACGATACAGTATCGTGATATTGTCTAGGTATTGTTTTCTGGGGATACATTTTTCTATTGTCTAGTTGAACTGTTTAACCAGTACTGTTGTTTCATAGACTTGTAATTTCTTTATATCTGAAGCCAGTGGAAAGATGTATAAGTACTCACTATGAGATTTAAAGTTTGTTCTACAGTCAAAATGGATGAGTTGCTATGTCAAACTGTTGCTATGTTAAACTGTTGCTATGTCAAATTGTTCCTTTCTTGCTGATCATCAGTAAATTTCAAAATTTAGATTTTACAAAACGGTCCAATAAATTTTTAAATACAACATTTACATCTTCAAATTAAAGCTTTTTTTCTGTGTGTAATACATTTTAACTTCCAAACTTCGTAAATTGATTGTGTAGAAAGCTTATAGGCTTATAAACACAATCTAAATTCAGTTCCTATAACCAACAAGTACTGATCGATGAGTATAAAGTTTCTCGCTCATAAAAATAATACATGTATCTTGCCCTTACAGGGTTTAAACCCACATGGCTAGCGACCTTTTAGATTACCAGTATGACACATTAACCTCTCAGCCATGGCACACTAGACAAGTTTATTTTGTAAAGCCTTATACAGGTATAAATTTGTTAGTACCAAAAAGTTTAATCAAACCCTGATAAATTTAAAATGGTATTGATTCATAATAGCCATTGGAAAGTATGGCAACCATTTTTATTGTAAAACAGCTCTAGAATAGATTTTATCTATAGCAGTTTCCCCTCACTACATTATCCCTCTAGAATAAATGGAGAAATCAATATGATCATAAAAGCCAAAGGTTGCAAAATTTTCCTGGCAAAACATAACATGATTATTGATACTTGTTTGATGGCCTGTTTCATAAAACAACTTACTACATATAAGAACATTTCACTGTAAAACAGACATGCATTATAAAATTATTTTATGTTTTAAGTGTATTATTGTATATGGTTTCACATCAATTTTATTTTTCCTCGTTCATATAAAAACTCAGGGAACTAATTGTTAAAATAAACTAAATGACATTAATTAAAGTATTTTTTAACTTTAACTTTCTCCTATTGCTTGTTTATAATTTTTAAATGAAAACATTATTTCATTACCAATCAAATTCCTTTCCCTTAGCTAGATTCTTAACCCTTAACCTACTGGAAGCTTAAAATATTATCTTTTTCTGAACACATTTTATTTTTTTAGTTTGGATTTAAGTTGCACACAACACAGTAAAGATAGAGTCAGGCTAGTCTGCACACAACACAGTAAATATAGAACAAGGCTAGCCTGCACACAACACAGTAAAGATAGAGTCAGGCTAGTCTACACACAACACAGTAAAGATAGAGTCAGGCTAGCCTGCACACAACACAGTAAAGATAGAGTCAGGCTAGCCTGCACACAACACAGTAAAGATAGAGTCAGGCTAGCCTGCACACAACACAGTAAAGATAGAGTCAGGCTAGCCTGCACACAACACAGTAAAGATAGTCAGGCTAGCCTGCACACAACAAAGTAAACATAGAGTGAGGCTAGCCTGCACACAACATAGTAAAGATAGAGTCAGGCTAGGCTGCACATCAATGTAGTCTTACAAGTTTCTTTGCTCTTCTTTTTTATTTTTTTTCAATTCTTATGCATCAATAAGAGTCAGGCTAGCCTACACACATCACAGTAAAGATAGAGTCAGGCTAGCCTGCACAAAACACAATAAGATAGAGCCAGGCTAGCCTGCACACAACACAGTAAAGATAGAGTTAGGCTAGTCTGCACATAACACAGTAAACATAGAGTCAGGCTAGCCTGCACATGACACAGTAAAGATAGAGCCAGGCTAGCCTGCACACATCAAAGTAAAGATAGAGTCAGGTTTCCCTGCACACAACAAGGTAAAGATAGAGCCAGGCTAGCCTACACACAACACAGTAAAGATAGAGTCAGGTTAGCCTACAAACAACACAGTAAAGATAGTCAGGCTAGCCTGCACACAACACAGTAAGATAGAGCCAGGCTAGCCTGCACACAACACAGTAAAGATAGTCAGGCTAGCCTGCACACAACACAGTAAACATAGAGTCAGGCTAACTTGCACACAACATAGTAAAGATAGAGTCAGGCTAGGCTGCACACCAATGTAGTCTTACAAGTTTCTATGCTCTTCTTTTTTTATTTTTTTTCAATTCTTATGCATCAATATATTGAAATCCCTTAAACTATGTATGGACAGTTCCTATCTCTACCCATCTTATATTCTAATTATAAATTAAACACAATAATTATTATACAGCAATAATTCAATTTGGGATTTAACTTAATAACAGATGCACAGGCTGGCCTGGTTCTATACTGGTGGCAAAGGTTTATCATTTCAGGTTCCAATATAAACATTAAAGTTCAAACAGTTTTTCTTTATTCAGAGAATTTTGTCTTACAGTAGAAAAGGTCAAATCAGTAATTCCATTAAATAATGGTCCAATGTTAATGCAAGTATCACTATGAATAAATTATGAACAGAAACCTTCAAAGGGAAATCTTTATATCTTTGAATCAGGATTAATTAACAATCAACTTGAATACAGGATAACAGAGTTCATACTGATATATTTTACATTAATTATACAACAAAATAGTAATTTTTCTTGTGTTAGCACACATGCCTGCAAACGTACACACACACACACAACTATTACAAGATCAATATAAATATTAAAGATCCTGTGACACAAATTTTTTTATGGTTTTTATATCATAAATATGATGCTCAAATTAAGAATTATCAATTTTGTAAGTTCTAAAAAAGCATTATTTATAAAGATATTACTGAATTTAACATTTCATGTAAATAAAGGGAGGTAATAAAAAAATTATTTTCTATAAAGTCTAAGTCAATTTTTTTTTAATAAGAAATGAATGCATATATTTTAATGATTACATATAATAGTACAATATTTGCAGTACATATTTTACATATTCTTCGATGTTTGAAAATTGTTTTATAAGCATAATTATATATACATATATATAATTTTACTGAAGTATGGTATGCAACCTCAATTACAATATACAGGATCATTAAATAATAACCCTTAAGCAGCTGAATTTCAAAGTGGACTTGTCCAGCTTTCATTTTTGGAACAGTCCATTATCAAAGCAGACTGGTAGTAAATGCCTATCGTGTTGAGTTAGAGTTACTTTAATTTAAACCTTGCGGACAAAGATTTTTCAAGCTGAATGAATTTAGATTTGTCTTTCAGTCATACGGTTATGGAACAATGAAAGACATTTTTCAGCGAACTGGTCCAGTGTACTGTTCCCAACTGAAAAAAGACATGAACATTCCCAATTTCTAATGTTAAAATTCCCAAAATGACTGTTCAAAATTCCCACAAGGCCATGAGATTTCTCTTAAATCATTTAAAATCAAACATGATTATTATTTTAATCACCACTCAATAGTTCTACCTGGATAGTGGAACCTGCTAGCTGTCTTTATTCAATATGACAAATCTTATTTGTAGCTGTAAAGTTGTTTAATAAAAATTCCCAATTTGAGTCAAAATAACACATTTTTTCCCAATCAATCTGGTACCGGCACCATTCCCAAAGAAGAGGAAAAAAACACTGTGGTCAAATGTTTAGAACATATTCTGATCAAGTTGTACATTGCATAAATAGGAGGTAAACATCCGGTTACATACATGTGATATCCCGGCGGGATTTAAAAAAATCCCGATATTTCGACACTGATCCCGATTCCCGATATTACAGCTTGAATTCCTGATATTTAGAAAAAAATCAACATAAAAAAATCAAACACAGCACCTGTATCTAAAATGTTTAACCGTGCCTCCGGGCATTCATTGTTATCTGTCCATATCCTAAATTATAGCGGATTAAATGTCGAGTCGCTAATTGACAGCAAGGTGACGTAATAAACAATTCCATCACCCAAAGTTATTCTCACATGTTTAACTTAACACGTGTCTTGTGTCAGTCAATTGACCTCTTTTATAATTTGGCAGTAGGTATTACACGCTATGTCATCAAAACAACCCTGTAAATTTACATATATGAATTCGGCTCAACCTTTGATTTTCTTTGATTAGTGCCACAGTGATAAAGATTAAAGGTGAGCAGAATCATTTAAAACGGATCATTCAAAAACCTGTTTGAGATGCGGCAAAACCATGTCTAATTAACCTATTTTTAGTGAGTGGGTAATTTTTTTGTTTTGTTTAGGAATTACACAATCATCGAGGCAAAAATGTGGATTTAATTAACTGAACTATTCTTGCATTTATTTTGAGTCTTCTACTTACGTTACATTATTTAACTGTCAGAGTCTTATCGTTCATGAATAGTTGTTGCACGTTTTCAAATAGCTTGTGTTTTAAATTATTAGCCAATTATTGTATGACTGAAAAGACAGATCTATATAATTATTTAAACTGAAAATAATGAAATGTGAAAATGTGACTGTTTTAGAAATAGCCTGTATGACTACAATACACTTATAAGTTATAAAGTTATTTAGTTATCTATTTATTTATTTTTTGGTGAAATAAATTAATATTGATCAACGAAAAAAATCATAAAAAATATAATCATTTAATGGTTTTGAGGGTAATATAGATTCTTTGAACCAAATGTGCCAAACACGCATTGAAATTCGAGTCAATAAAAAAATCCAGTTTTGAGCGTCAAAATCCACCTGAAAATCCAGATTTGGCTCATTTCATTTGTCACATGTATACAGTTATAGTGTAACGGATGAAAAATGCCCCCAAAGAGTGGTAAATTCTTTGTGAAATATCTGAAAAAGGGTCATTTGGGTTATGCCTTGAAGATCTATATAAATTTACATTTCTAAGAAAAAAATTCACAATTTGGATTTTTTTTCACAATTGTCACGGTGTCAGACTAATTCACAATGTAAAGAAAAAATTTACTGTATTCATTATTGTTTTAGGTTATTTATTTAAAAAATGCCATACAGCTAGCCTCAATAGTGCATACTGGCTAGTCTTATGTGACTTATGTATGGCTAGAACTTTTGGCAAGCAACACGGGCCCAATTATGGCTGATACATCACTACATGAAGTTTTTTTGTAGTCCAGTGGTAACATTGGTACTTGTACTGAAAATAATTGTGAACAAGTATCACATGCCTGGTACAGGCACCCAACTATACTCAACACCAACAGTCTAAAAATAAAATAAACTGTAAAATTAAAAATTATAGCAGTAACTTACCATCTATCAACCATTCACATCTGGCATAACTTGGATATGCATTGTCTCCATCAGTTATTACGCCACTTGAATCTGTCAATACGGTTCTTCCGTTACAACCATGTACAGGAACCGGTACAGATATGAATATGGTTAAAACGATTATCACTGCCCCTCGTCCCATCTCAGCTGTCAAAACAGGGACAGATGGACGGGCGAGAGAAAGTAGTTAGTTCCTTAGATAATTTCACATTATACGCCATTATCATCGACATGACGTTTAAGAGTAATAATTTTGGACTTATCGTCCATCGCTACGTCTTCTTTTTAACTTGATTTTTCATGGCAATTTATTCATTTTCTCTTTTTTTCCTCAATTTTCCATCTCCATTGTCGCAAATTTATGCAACGAATGAAAGCTGAATTCTTATTGGTCAATTTCAATATACTCGAACTTGCAAGTAAGTGCGAAAAGAATCAACATTTTTTAAACGAAATGGTGAATATTCCCTTATTTGTAAAACGAAACTTAGATTTTTATTTCTACGAAGATTTATGATACAATGAAAGAATAATTTCTTTCTATAAATCATCGAAATAGTTGAAATGAGATAATCTTCTGCTTAATTGGCTCAATTGAAAATGTTGCAGTCTCTGTCTAACAAAGTGTTAAATTAGAGAGGATTGTTATAATAAAAATATAAATAAAACTGGATTTCAATTAGCTTACACAATTAACACAGACTGTATAGCAATAAGAATAAAGAATTAAAGACAAAGATGGATAAAGGAGATAAATAAACCATAATTAACGAATTAAAATTACCATAAACACAACATGCTGAACGATCTTTAAGGATAAAAGATAAACCACAATGTGGACGTTTTCATATATATTTCGTTTCCAGGAACACAACTGTATATTTATTTATCAATGGCCACAATAAGCAAAAAGATCGTTTATATATTACAGGACATTTTAATCTACTGTTGATCTTCAAAATATAAGTTATATACTTAATGATATATTATAAGTAGTCCCGGAAACCTGATGATTTAATTATGAAAACTTCGTATGTTCAAATTGACACCAAAATTCTTTTAAAATGAAATACGGGTCTTTGTGATTCTATTTGAAAAAAAGGACTTAAACAACACAGACTAGGTGTTAACTCTGAGGTCTTCACATGGACAAGATCATTTTTATAAGGTCGAACCCAACAAGTTGCTGTTGATGGTCAAAACTATGACAATCTACCTGTTCTCTCTGGTGTTCCTCAAGGCTCTTATAAAAATAATCTTCCTGACAGTATAAAGGACAAGGTTAGACTTTTTGCAGACGACAGAACGTCAACCCAAGATGCCCAACCACACCCCAACCCTCCTAAAAAAAAAGAAAAAAAAAAAAGATCTCAACAGCCTTGAAAACTGGGAATCTGATTGGCCCATGAAATTTAATCTAGATAAATGCGAAATCCTGAGAATCAGCCGCAAGAAACATCCAGTAATGTTCCCTTATAAACTACAGGGTCAACAACTAAAATCGACGGAGGCTGAGAAATATTTAGGTTCAACAATTAGTAATGTTCTATCTTGTATCAATCATATAAATAACATAACAGAAAAAGCAAAGAACTCACTCAGATTTATAAAAGGAAATGTCAAAACTTCTAACAAAAAGGTCTAAGAAACTGCCTATGAAACTTATATAAGGCCCCAGCTAGAATACTGTTCTACGGTTTGGCATCTTGGTAAAAATATCTGGTGTACAAATTAAAATAAGTTCAAAGGTCAGCTGCCAGATATGTATGTAATGACTACAATTACACCAGTGTAATCTGTATCTGAAATGTTAAATTATCTTAACTGGGATTAACTCTTGGACAAAGGTGCAACATCTGCTCTATAACCCTTCTCTACAAAATCAAACACAATCTTGTGAGGGTCGACCATCACCATCTGACACCCACTAGAAACCTGAACTACTTCATACTATATTCAAGGACACAGCATCATTCCTATTCATTTTCCTCAGAAGTATTCTGTGGAATGACCTTCCCGTGTTCTTGCAAGCTAGCCACAATTTAGATATCTTTACTGGGCAGCTGAATCCTTTGTACCAGTGTCACAGGGTGAGAAAAATGTGCAGCATGACCGGGACTCGAACCTGGGACCTTCGGAATACCGTTCCGCGGCTCTACCGACTGAGCTTTCGGTCGCTTACACATCTTCTCCCCTAAATAGTGAACAGTTCTGAACCGTGACACCAGTTTTAAATCAGTTTTGTTTTTATCTTTTTATCTCATCAAGCATTGCCAAAAAACATTCCACTTCATTTATATATGTATATATCATTATCTCGAATAGAAATAGAAAAAAAAACAAATACAAATTAAAATTGTGTTGTTCTTTTACAGTACGTGGAGTTAAGTTACAAAAAGCATAGGGAGGGAGAAATGGAAAATTTCTAAACGATGTGTCTAGTACCATTGTCAAACAAAAAATTACCGTCTATCACGAAAAGCGCATGAACATCATAAAGCACAAGAAAAGCGACACATGACTAGAAAAAGATAAATAACTGATGGAACCCTGGAATATATGTCTTACTGGAAAAAAATACAAACAAATAAATCAGAAAAAATATATACTTAACTAATTTAGCTAGACCAAAACTGTTTAAAATTTACTTATCTGAAACAAAAAGAAATTTTGCCAAATTATAGATAATTAAGTTTAAATTAATTTTAGTAAATAGAGGATATTCAAGTTTTTTCTATAAATACATGATTTATTTTCATTGAGTGGTATGAAAATAAATATTTCATGAGTGGCGGTAGCCACGAGTGAAATATGGTAATTTTCATGCCACAAGATAGAAAAACTTGAATTTTCTGTTTATTATATACATTTTTCTCCTTTTTGATATTAAAATTTGAAAGATTTTCCCTTAAATTTTGTGTACTGGCAGAATTTAAAAAAAAGTAGTCTGGCAAGACACCAGTGAAAATACGGAAAATATGTTTCACTGCAGTGAAAAATAAATTTTTTCAGTGAAAATACGGAAAATGAAAATACGCATTTTATTTCATCAATATTTCTCAATATTTCATTTATAAGTATATAATAAACGAAAATACTTGAAATTGAAATAAAAATTGTTTAAAGTATGGTTTTCCAGTACTTGACATATAAGTGTCAAAAATTGTGCACCTCGGGTGCTAGGATGTGTGAAGGATTTTAATTTTTTTCATTATCCCTCATGTACAGACTGAATCAAACCGAGTCTGCAATTTTCATTAAATACACAAATTTCAGAAAAAGAAATTGTCTGCTGTTAAAAGCCTTAAAAACAAGTCTGCTGGACTGGGCGGGTTTAGAACTATGGAATTTCATATTTATTACAGTGTTTAAATAAACTATTTAACACTATTTTATTTGTTGGATTTTATCCTTCGGAATAGAAGATAGGAATTCTCAAACCTATCTTCATGTCTGGTAACCAACCGAGACGACCCAGGAAATATAGGGGCATTTCTTTAACATCATGTATTGCTAAGTTGTTTAATTGCATTTTGATTAACAGACTACAGAAATATTTGGGTGAAAATGATATTATAAACAATGTACAAATAGGTTTTCAGCCAAAAGCACGCACTAGTGATCATAATTATCTTTATTATTATACATATTATTTTTTGTTGAGAACTATCATTGAAAAATTTATAGCTTGTCAATTTCAAAGCTTTACACCTGTTTTGTAGATTTTTCCAAGGCTTTTGTTGCTATTTTACACTCTACTCTTATTGTCAAGATGAATAATATTGGAATAAATGGATGTTTTTTAAATTACTTTATAGATATATTCAAGGATAATTATATTCATGGTAAGTCAAATCTGAAAAACAAGAGACATATTCAATATCTAGTCATAGTTATAATTTAAATAACAATTTTTTTTATAAAACAGTAATAAATAACAATTAAAATGAATCACACAGTTATGAGTTTACTGATAAAATCAAACGATATGGGAAGCAACAGCAATGGAAATGGTAAAAAATTTCCCTTATATAGGCAGTCTAAAAATGAACTCACAAAAATCTCATGCTAGAATATAAAGAAAATAGAGGTAGTTTCAATTTAATTAGTTACTTAAGAAAGCATTATCAATAAATAAGAAAAACAATGAAAGCGTAACATTTAATCATTAATCTTGAAATGACCAAACATTTAAGAGGACCAATTTAAAACGTGAAAAGTCATGGATTAAAGTAAATCTTAAATGTTTTATTGTAAACAGAAGAAATATAGAGAGAAATAACTTTAAAGAATAAAAGATAAATAAAATGGTTTTAGGAATAATCAAAACTTGCCACAATATACTCTGCACTTCAAGAAAATTTAACCTTGCATGCAAACAACAAAAATAGCCGGGTATCATGTATGATCTTTGTATTAGATAAACTTAAAGTAACCAAGCATTAGAATTATAGTAAGAATTTATCTTAAATTGTTAAAAACTAAGCCATTCGTGAGTTTAAAACCAAATGGGCAGAACGATTAGACACATGCTACAAAGAACACAATGGAAATTAAGAACTTATTCAAAATTTAAAAAAGTTTCATGTATGAACTTTATTTGGACGTTATATTAGATCGTCTCTTACTAAATTTAAAATTAATGTTCATATACTAGAAATTGAAACGGGAAGATATCGAAACATACCTGTCAATGATACAATTTGCAAATGTTGTCTATTACAAGATATTGAAAACAGACTTTATGTTGAGAAGTAATCTTTATGATTTTGAAAGAACATTATTAATTTCTCATATATCTGAAAAGGTACCAAACTTTAAAACTCAAAAATGTCAGAACAGTTTGTATTTGCGATTTTTAGTGAGAATGATGATACTATTAGTGCTGTAGAAAACTTTGTCCATAAATGTTTTTCATCTGGACTCAAATTTCTAAAAAAATGTAACATCTGGTTGAACTTATATAGTGGATCATTTGGCTTACTAGTTTTTTATTCACATTTCTAATTTAATATGCCTTAGTTTCTTATTGTTAAATAGTCTATTGTAAATTATGTTTGTTAATCACAATAGTAGTTATGTTATGCTTTTAGTTTTGTACACCTTGTAAAATATCATAATTATGTTATATGCCTGTAAATGCCTATAATCTATTCTATTCTATTCCATTCATCGAAAGTGACCTACTATACCGTCCAGGAATCAGGGGTCGTCCGATTAACAGTACAACGCTCTACTACAGGGGCGGATACAAAACATGGTTTCCAGGGGTGCTGACATATGGGTTGAAGATTTTGAAAAAAAAAAAAAAAACCGCAACAGGCGAAAATTGGTTGGTTCAGCATCTTGTTCATGTTATAAAAGTTGCAATTGATGTCTTTTATAGCTCATCTTATGAGTGGCAATGTACTTTACAGATATATGTGTATACTATGTTTTTTTGTAAAAATTTAGATGATATGGAATAAAGAAAAATGTATGTAATTGGGGTACGTGGGCCTGGGAGGGGTGTCCCCTCCCATAAACTGAGGAAATTTTGAAATATGAGGTTGAAAACGGTGTTATTTCCTTGACTTTCTAGTGCTTTTTATGGTACCCTTTGGATGGTTTCACACTACTCTGTATTTTGTAGAGGTTAGTATTTGCAAGGTCTTTCAAATAGAATTCCCCTGGTGTTTAGTAGTAAGCAATTACAAAATAACAGCACACTTACCAATGTATGCGCGACCGTTATAAAAAACAATTTCAAACACTTGACCGATTTTACAAGAAATATAGTCAGTCCAACAATTTTGACAAAGGCCTCAGCACGCCCTATTTTGGCCACGCCGCGATACTTTCCTCAGATGTCCCACACGTGAAGTATAGGATCGTTTTATTCACAGGGATGAGAAGAATATGATTAGTGAAAAGATATGTTCGAACAGATGGGATACAATACAACGTGTGAAGAACGCCTGAACGTACAAATTAAAGGAAGCCTTGTGTTTTTTAGGTCGGGTGTGTACATGCCATTACTAAGTTTAAGTTAAATTTCAATAGTTTTTGTCCAGGCACCCGTTTCTCCATCTCCATCGTTCAACGGCACTCCCTACTATATCTTATATCATCTAACTAATAACTTTGGCCATTCTTGTAATGTTAATAAGTCGAAATTTCGAGTAACTAAGTCGAAATTTCGAGTTACTAAGTCGAAATTTCGAGATAAGTTACTCGAAATTTCGAGTTAGTATGTCGAAATTTCGAGATAGTAAGTCGAAATTTCGGGTTAATAACTCGAAATTTCGAGATAAGTAACTCGAAAATAAATTAGATATTTGAATTAAGCAAGTATTTTTCTTTAAAATAAAATTTGAATTTCCAAAATCGGATAGTAAATGGAAAAGCTATATGTTATTTTGTGAAGTAGGTAATCGTTGCGAACTGGCATTTACGCTTAGCGCCGGTAAATTATCGATCGATGTACCTTTATCGGGTGCACGACAAGATATTTAAGCATTTATATAGGGTTAACTGGGAGTGTCCGATCCCTGTAATATAAACCCGTGGTTTTAATAACCTTTTATGACAGTTATATTTTTTAATGAAATCTGGGTTCATTGATGGAAAAAATTCTTATTGAATAATTGTGTTTGAAATTATGTTTTTGTACAATAGAAAGGCAGTTTTCTAATACCACTTTACTTTGGAAAATCGTCTATTATTCAGTTGTGTAAATTTTAAACGTCAATTTTTCTGAAGAAGACTAAACGTCGAAAGTATAAGAAAAGCGTTTGTTTTTATTGAACTGATTATATAAATTACGGAAGAGCATTAGTGCCATGTGTATTTTTTTTATTAACTCGAAATTTCGAGTTACTAACTCGAAATTTCGACTTGCTTATCTTGTAATATAAATCCGTGTTAAAACTAACTGAGTTAAACGGCCGGTGTTAAGAATAAAACACATCAAAGCACATGTTTATATTATTACCGTACAGACCGTGTTTTACAAACTATTTACCGGGTATATGCCGAGACTGGATGAACGGCTTATAGCAAGCTGAAAAATGCTGGTTCCCGAAAACGCGCATGATATATTTTAGTCATCAAAGAGAAGTAACCAATATTAACAATTTCGCAAACATGGCTGCTGTCGATGTCGAAAAGCCGGGATTTTCATTTGAAAATTGCTCCAGGTTTGTATATTTATCTTGAAATCATCAGAAAGTTTATAATTTAGCGCGAAATTAATCTATGAAATCCGTGTTTTATTTGAGTTAGTAAATAGGATGTACTTAGTAGCAAAATTCATAACGTTTACAAAATGTGCAAGTCACTTTGCCGTTTGCGTGTTTTAACAAAAGACACTACTCAGTCACAGAATAGTGTTATATCATAAGATACTGGTAGATACCTTGTACGCGGAAAGTCAAATCTTACTTGGTACTCTAACATGAGTAGATCTTTCTAATATCTGTTCAATGCCACAGACACTTGGGTTGTGGAGATTAAAACGCCTTTAGTTTCATGAGTTTGAAATCCAAATGAAATGTACATTTGTTGGCTATATGCTGGATTAGACCCCGGGGTCTAAACCAGGAGTATATATAAGGTTCATTCCGTTTTCTTTAGTGTATTATATGGAAGTTTTACTCCTAAAAAATACATAGGGGTCTAAACCAGGAGATTGCCAACATATTACCGAATAGCTGACTGGTTCCCATCTTCAAAGCGCAGCACATTTTGCACACGGCAAAGCTGGGGCCATGTTTGAATTTATCGAAAGATTTTGTAAATGGAGTAAAACGGCTGTGTGTAAAGCACTTTATACACAACTTAAACTGCCTGTTGACATTTTTAATTGAGTGTGATTTAAACATATGTAGGATTAAATAGGTGATTAGGAGTGGATTGCAGGTAATAATTAATGCATAGCGTGGCAAATTGACTCTTGTGCAGATTTTATCACATGTCAAATGTGAGCATTTCCTGATTTTCATGAGTCAAAACCCGGATACCCGTGTCAATCGAGAGCCCTGCAATATGTCATGTGAAACACCTGTATCCCTACCTCCAAGTTCAAGGTAACACTTAGAGGTCAAAAATTAACATAGTCTATTATAGGATGTATTTTATGTCAGGTCTATAACTTCTTCATAGATCAATGGATTTTGAAAAAACTTGGCACAAATAGTCACAATAATAAGATGATGTGTCATGCGCAACACCTGCACCCCTACCTCTAAGGTCAAGATCACACCTAGAGGTCAAATATTAACATAGTCTGTTATAGGGTATATTTTGTGTCCGGTTGATAACTTCTTCATAGATCAAGGGATTTTGTAAATACATTGTGCCATGTGCAATAACCAGTCGCCTACACTAAGGTCAAGGCAAAGAATAATAGTGTCTGTTATAGGGTACATTATGAGTTTGGTCTTAAAAGGTCACACTTACAATTAAAATATATCATAGTCTGTGTTTTTGTATCCAGAGAATAACTTCAAAAGTATTAGAGATAAACTCTGTATAGGATAATTGTTTCCTGCGTTTTGGAAGAAAAAAGGGGGATGTAGAAATGGACTCCATCTGTTTGTCCCATCAAAGAATTTTGAAATAACTTAGCTAAAATGTTCTGTTTAGGCATAATAAGACAGCCTGTCTTACACAACTGTTAGATGCCTTGGTCCTGATCCATACCTCAATCTTTTGAAATAGCACAATTTTATGCTTCTGCCTTCCCTTAGGCGGGGGACAGGACGTTGGTAACTCTGTTACAAATTCTTGTTGTATAATATTTAATCTTTTACTCTTTTCAGAAACCGCCATTTAGAGAAAATAGGACTGAAAGCTCCAACAGCATATAAAACTGGAACCACAATAGCTGGCATCATTTACAAGGTAGTTTATCTAGTTATTTTTTGTCTAAGGTAGACTACCATATTACTGTAAGGTAGACTACCATATTGCTGTAAGGTAGACTATCATATTGCTGTAAGGTAGACTATCGCATTGCTGTAAGGTAGACTATCATATTGCTGTAAGGTAGACTATCGCATTGCTGTAAGGTAGACTACCATATTGCTGTAAGGTAGACTATCGCATTGCTGTAAGGTAGACTATCACATTGCTGTACGGTAGACTATCACATTGCCCTATCTGTGTAACAACAATTTTATATTGCAGACTCAGTTTGATTGTGTATGTTCATGAGAGATAATGTACAACTGCAACATCTCTCCACCCCAAGCCTGGCTTCAGCAGTATTCAATATTCGACACAAATATTGTGTTAGTGTTGATATAAGTGGGGACATGGCAGAGTAGTTAACACATCAGACTAGTAATTTAAGAATCAATATGCGTGAGTTCAAATCCTACAAGGGGGTAGTCTTTTTTTCCTTGAGCAAGAAACTTTACACTCATTGCTCAGTACTGGTTGGTTCCAGGAATGGATAAATTTGAGAGTGTGTCTGTAAGCTTCCTACACTATCAAACTTGAATAAATTATAAATCAACAAGTAAATCAAGAGGAGAAAACACACATCAAACAACAGGATGGCTTGTTAACTGGTTTATTCAAGGAACTACCTGTTTAGGTCTTTCAAGACCTTCATCAGTATATAAATTAATTATGTAAAAACAAACAAAAACATGCTGGAATCAGTGATTCTTAATACTAATAGAAACACTAGCTCTTATATACATATATATTATCAACACCCTTAGGTTTATTATACATGTATATGAACCACTCCTCTGTGCATTATACATGTATATTAACCACACCCTTAGGTTTATTATACATGTATATTGGCCACACCCCTAGGTGTATTATGCATGTATATTAACCACACCCTGAGGTTTATTATACATCTTCCGACTTCCCTTCGCGGCATGCACGTCGCTCGGAAGGCATAGGTCACACCAGATGGGTGACCTAGTTAGGTCACTTAGCTGGTGTGACCTAACCAACGGCTAGGGGTGTGACCCTAAAGAGAGCTGCTGCTCCCAGAAGAGGTGCCTTTCCTCTATTGTCAACCATTGTTCAAGAAGCGAGGAATTGGGTCCTAGAGAAGGTCTACGGTGAACGACAGCATGAAAAGACCTCTGTCGCAGCTCTACGACATCGACGACGTTGCAGGCTAATAAGTCCTCCGTTGCAGGCTCTACGACCAGCAATCGTAATAGAGGCCAATTAGTCTGGGACATATGGGAAACCGGCGCCCAGTATAAATAAAACCTAAAACAACAAAAATTATTATACATGTTGCCACCATTTGCTAGAGATAGAGTTGGGGAAAGACCTTTATACAAGAATTAGATGTATGGGCTTATTTCTGTTACAAGTTCAAAAAAAAATTGTATGAATACATTATTGACAATATTATAATACAGAATTTAAATGTTACTTTCAGGATGGAGTTGTTCTGGGGGCCGATACAAGGGCAACAGAAGACACAATTGTTGCTGATAAAAACTGTAGTAAAATACATTACCTAGCCGACAACATGTAGTAAGTTCCATTATTTTCTGTTTTAGACCCCCATCCAACCCCACCCCACCCCAACCCAAAAAACAGCAAAAAACCCCAAAAAACAACACATCTGCCTGGTAAATTCAAAGACTGTCACAATGGCCTAAAGGTAGACTTTCGTCATCCAGAATTTATAATACAGTAAACTTCATTTATTACAGAATAATGACATTATCTCATAAATTGACAGCAGCTGTATACATGTATATAGTTTATATAGTTTATATAATTTTATGTTGAATAAAATATATGTTATGTTATGTTATCAATGTCAGAATTGTCCAATGAAAAGTAACATTATAAACATGCAGTATGAAATATAATGTTTGTTATGTTTACATGTATTTAAAATACGTCAGGGTTTTCATATAGGCCTTGTTATGTTCTTGAAAATGATCTGTGTCTTGAAAAATACATAAATTAAAGGTGTTTTTGAAAAAGTACTTAGAAAGGACTTGATTTTGAAGAAAAATTCTTGAAGGTCTTTGTTTCTGATAGATGTGTGAAAGGCCCATTGCTGATTAATGGCTGATATGCATAAAGATAATTGAAAAAAATGATATAAGAGGGGGGTGAAGTAAAGTGCACTGAAAAGCAATGACATAGGGAACATCCACAATAAAACTACAGGATATGTCTGAAGTATACAGTGTGCTCTAAGGTAGAAAACTTTGCCATCTTTGCTTGAAATATACATCATTTGCAGGACATGTCCTTGAAGAAGAAATGGCAAAATATGCCTTAAAAAGCCTTTGTAAAGTCATTGAATTTTGTTTACAGTTTTCTGTTTGAACCCTGATAACACAAAATAATGATTACATGCATTTATAATGTGTGTTATGTTTACAGTTGTTGTGGGGCTGGTACTGCAGCAGATACGGAAATGACCACGCAGATGATCGCCTCACAATTAGATCTTCACAAATTAAATACAGGCAGAACACCACGTGTTGCTACAGCCAACAGGCTTCTTAAACAGATGTTATTCAGGTAAATTTACAAATGAATTTTTTGCTCACTTATAACAAGAATAGGGAGAGGTTTTGTACACACCCAGGTGTCAGCGTCCCACTTTGTTTAAGTTTTTGCATGCAAATTGGTATCTCCAAAATTCCTAAAAGGGAATGGGTTGAAAATTGGACACTTATTTGAGAGCATATAAAGAAGTTACTGTTCAAGGCCCATAACTCATGGATTTTGACAGAATTAAGACTTCTTTTTGAACTTCTACATTAACCAAGCTCTTGTATCACTATCAAGCACTGAGAATTATCAAGAATGCTCACAATCAGTAATGATATTCATAAAGAACTTGAAACTAAGGTAAAAGCAGTAATTTTATTCAAATAGAAGTAGAAACTAAGGTAAAAGCAGTAATTTTATTCAAATAGTAATATAAACTAAGGTAAAAGCAGTAATTTTATTCATATAGAAGTAGAAACTAAGGTTAAAGCAGTAATTTAATTCAAATAGAAGTAGAAACTAAGGTAAAAGACAGTAATCATATTCAGATAGAAGTAGAAACTAAGGTGAAAGCAGTAATTTTATTCAAATAGAAGTAGAAACTAAGGTAAAGCAGTAATTTTATTCAAATAGAAATATAAACTAAGGTAAAAGCAGTAATTTTATTCAAATAGAAGTAGAAACTAAGGTAAAAGCAGTAATTTAATTCATATAGAACTAGAAACTAAGGTGAAATCTTAGCTAGCTCTATATTGATTATTAAAATTATTGTAGAAACTTCAGTTGAATCTAAGTTGAATACAAATATTAATATTCAGATTTAACTTTGGTTATATTTACTAACTTTTTTTGTTTATTTTAGAAAAATATTCTGCATTGTGTCAGGATTAACTACACATTCCTTGTTTTATATAAGCCATGAATAGATGTAATGAACAGTATTGAATTGGTTTTAGAAAATATAGAGACATAAGTGTTGAAATGTTTTGTTGTACATGTATTTTCAGATATCAAGGTTATATCAGTGCTGCCCTAGTTTTGGGCGGGGTTGATGTAACGGGACCACACCTGTATTCTATACATCCACACGGTTCTACAGATAAACTACCATATGTTACTATGGGTATGTGAATGTTTTAGTCTTTATATTTCCAGGGCTCCTCATCATTTGTTGATATTTGAAAGGTTTAGGTTTTATTTGGACAATCTTAAATAGTAATTATTCAACAAGTTCAATAAATTTGGTTTTGAATGTACACAAATATAATATTCTATTTATCACATAAGTAAATTATAAAAGAATGGTTTACAGTTAAAAAGTGTGTTCTTTCCAATGTTTGTATATAACGTATATGACGTCACGTCAAAGTGTAACATCGTATTTATTAAATGGCTTTATTTCATTCCTGTGCCGTAGTTTATGTGATAATAGGAGATACTTTACCTGCGGGAACTGAAACTTATTACTGTTTGCTACCAGTATAGAGCCAGACCAGCTGGCACATCCACATGCCAAACAGATACATAAGTAGACCAGCTGGCACATCCACATGCCAAACAGATACATGACCAGACCAGCTGGCACATCCACATGTCAAACAGATACATGACCAGACCAGCTGGCACATCCACATGTCAAACAGATACATGACCAGACCAGCTGGCACATCCACATGTCAAACAGATACATGACCAGACCAGCTGGCACATCCACATGCCAACAGATACATAACCAGACCAGCTGGCACATCCACATGTCAAACAGATACATGACCAGACCAGCTGGCACATCCACATGCCAAACAGATACATGACCAGACCAGCTGGCACATCCACATGTCAAACAGATACATGACCAGACCAGCTGGCACATCCACATGTCGAACAGATACATAACCAGACCAGCTGGCACATCACATCCACATGTCGAAACAGATACATGACCAGACCAGCTGGCACATCCACATGTCAAACAGATCCATGACCAGACCAGCTGGCACATCCACATGTTCAAACAGATACCATGACCAGACCAGCTGGCACATCCACATGTCAAACAGATACATGACCAGACCAGCTGGCACATCCACATGCAAACAGATACATGACCAGCACACCAGCTGGCACATCCACATGTCAAACAGATACATGACACACCAGCTGGCACATCCACATGCCAAACAGATACATGACCACACCAGCTGGCACATCCACATGTCAAACAGATACATGACCAGACCAGCTGGCACATCCACATGCCAAACAGATACATGACCAGACCAGCTGGCACATCCACATGTCAAACAGATACATGACCAGACCAGCTGGCACATCCACATGCCAAACAGATACATGACCAGACCAGCTGGCACATCCACATGCCAAACAGATACATGACCAGACCAGCTGGCACATCCACATGTCAAACAGATACATGACCAGACCAGCTGGCACATCCACATGCAAACAGATACATGACCAGACCAGCTGGCACATCCACATGCCAAACAGATACATGACCAGACCAGCTGGCACATCCACATGCCAAACAGATACATGACCAGACCAGCTGGCACATCCACATGTCAAACAGATACATGACCAGACCAGCTGGCACATCCACATGTCAAACAGATACATGACCAGACCAGCTGGCATATCCACATGCCAAACAGATACATAATTAAGCACACCAGCTGGCACATCCACATGCCAAACATATACATGACCAGACCAGCTGGCACATCCACATGTCAAACAGATACATGACCAGACCAGCTGGCACATCCACATGTCAAACAGATACATGACCAGACCAGCTGGCACATCCACATGCCAAACAGATACATGACCAGACCAGGTGGCACATCCACATGTCAAACAGATACATGACCAGACCAGGTGGCACATCCACATGCCAAACAGATACATGACCTGACCGGATGCAATGCAGTTGAAACTTAATAATGCACGAAACACACAATATCTTAATAATAAGAAGGAACATGTGTTAACAGTTAAGCTTTTATTTCAGTTACTGTTAGCGAATATTATTTTGGAAAACATAGAAATTTAAACACAAGTATTTTTTTGTGTCTACATAATGCCAGGTATATATTACTGATGATTTTGTAATTACAGGTTCTGGATCACTGGCTGCTATGGCAACGTTTGAAGCAGGATTTAAACCTAATATGGAGGTATGTAGTTGGAGATTAGATTCAGTGTATTAGTATCATATATTCTAACACTCTTTACATTATTTTCCTATTAGAAAATATGGCAATAAAGTGTATTATTACACAATATATGCACAGCATAAAAAACAATGCGTACACATCATATGACGTCACATACACTGACTGTCCGTACAGATCGGAATATATTGCTCGAGGGTAACTGTTTACGGCGGTAATGAGGCTCTGCCGAGTTTCCGCTAAACAGTTACCTGAGAGCTAGATATTCCTGTCTGTACAGACAGCCGGTGTTTGATTCTTTCTCTTGCATATTACATGTCAATTGTTTGCAGAACAGAAATAACGAAAATTGATATTCTCATTACACACTTTTTAGTCCCCTACCGGTTTACCGGAGGGGACTTTAGGTTTACCCTCCGTCCGTCTGTCCGTCTGTCTGTCAGTCCGTCAGTCCGTCCATCCACAAAACTGGATCCCGCGATAACTTGAAAAGTACTGGAAATATTTTTATGAAACTTGATATATGGATAGATGGCAGTATGGAGATTATGCACGTCTTTTTCTTTTCTTCCTATGTTGAAAATTCTGGTTGCTATGGCAACAAATAGGCTAAAAATATGGCAAATTTTACACATAAACTGGATCCAGTGATAACTTGAAAAGTACTGGAAATATTTTTATGAAACTTGAAATATGGGTATATGGCAGTCTGGAGATTATGCACGTCTTTTTCTTCCCTTCCTATGTTGAAAATTCTGGTTGCTATGGCAACAAATAGGCTTAAAATATGGCAAATTTTACACATAAACTGGATCCAGTGATAACGCAAAAAGTACTGGTAATATTTTTATGAAACTTGAAATATGGGTAGATGGCAGTCTGGAGATTATGCACGTCTTTTTCCTTTCTTCCTATGTTGAAAATTCTGGTTGCTATGGCAACAAATAGACTGAAAATATGGCAAATTTTACACATACACTGAATCCAGTGATAACTCAATAAGTACTGGAAATATTTTTATGAAACTTGACATATGGGTAGATTACAGTCTTGAGATTATGCATGTTTTATCTGTTTTCCCTATTTTGAAAAAATATTGGTTGCCTTGGCAACAAATAGGGTTAAAACATGGCAAATATAACATTATTTGTGATTAGTAAAAAAGAGCTGAATTTTTTTTATGAAATTGCATCTTTAATTCAAGAGTTATCTCCTCTTTAAGAATTTTGCTTTTAAAAAATGTTATATTTTGGTAACAGGGATGTTTCAAATATTAACTTTAGAGTGTCCCTCAGTCCGTCTGTTCATAAAAACTGTTTCCTGTGATCACTTTTAAAGAACTTTTCCAACAATTTTACTTAAAATATAGAAAAATTGAAACATTAGTGAATGGCCAATGGCCCTTCAGAATGTTGATGGGGTTCTAACCGGTAGGCGACTTACGGATTGCTTGCAATACTATGATAATTGCTTGTTTATATAGTAGCGTATGAACTTACATCTTCATTCATAACGGTAAAATGACTAAAATGACGTGATCCTAACAACGTAATTCATTCAATAAAGGCGTGCAGCAATGACGTCATTTAAAGATGCAACTTGTCTTACATGGGGGTGTTAAGACAGGTTTTTAGCTCGACTATTCGATAAGAATAAGTAGAGCTATTGCAGTCACCCGAGCGTCGGCGTCGGCGTAACCACTTATGTTAAAGTTTTTGTAATAGTTCAAATATTTTCAAAGTCCATTGACATATGACTTTGAAACTTTGCACACTTGTTCACCATCATGACCCCAACCTGTAGACAGGAGGAGGTAACTCTATCAAGCATTTTGACAGAATTATGCCCCTTTTTCGACTTAAAATTTACGTTAAAGTTTTTGTAATAGTTCAAATATTTTCAAAGTCCATTGACATATGGCTTTGAAACTTTGCACACTTGTTCACCATCATGACCCCAACCTGTAGACAGGAGGAGGTAACTCTATCAAGCATTTTGACAGAATTATGCCCCTTTTTCGAATTAGAATTTACGTTAAAGTTTTTGTAATAGTTCAAATATTTTCAAAGTCCATTGACATATGGCTTTGAAACTTTGCACACTTGTTCACCATCATGACCCCAACCTGTAGACAGGAGGAGGTAACTCTATCAAGCATTTTGACAGAATTATGCCCCTTTTTTGACTTAGAATTTACGTTAAAGTTTTTGTAATAGTTCAAATATTTTCAAAGTCCATTGACATATTATGGCTTTGAAACTTTGCACACTTGTTCATTATCATGACCCCAACCTGTAAACAGGAGGAGGTAACTGTATCAAGCATTTTTTTTACTATCAAGCACTAAGAATAGTCGAGCGTTGCTGTCCTACTGACAGCTCTTGTTCTAGCACCGGTGATAATGGTAGATAATCCTTTTTGATAGGCATACGATGTAACGTCACATATGACATAAATAAACCAAATGGTGGAAAATTACTTCTACGCTCAGTGTAGTTCAATATATTTTTATCAATTTGCTTTCTTAAAGCATGTTAGAATGGAAATAAATATCAATTTTGAGTATATTGTTGTAGAATAATGCACAGTTCAAGTTCAAGTTCAAATGCTTAGGAATATAGTCAAGAAGGCTGAAAAGCCTTAGTGATTAATTAATTTATAAACAGATAGGGGAGTCATTGTTACACGATAGTTTTCTTTTTTATTTAATGACTATTAACATATAATTATACACTTGGTTTAAAAGTGCTGGTTATAAAATGTAAAAACATTGTAAATAGAGAGTGAATAAATTGATACTGTTATGTCATTAAGTTATTTCATGTCTTAACTTAACTCATCCTCTCTAATTAATGTAATTTGGCGTTGTTTAATCTGGACGTTAATTGTTATATAATAATAATGTGAAATATATTTGTATTATAGAGATACATTAATGTCTATATTATTGTACGATGTTTTTAATTGTAGAAAGCGGAGGCATTGAAACTTGTACACTGTATAACTAATGTAATTTGATGTTGTTTAATCTGGAACTAAATTGTTATAATTGTGACAGATATTTGTACTCAAAAGATACATTAATGTCTGTATTATTGTACAATGTTTTTACTTGTAGAAAGCGGAGGCATTGAAACTTGTACGAGATGCTATCGCCGCGGGTATATTCAACGATCTAGGATCAGGATCTAATATAGATCTGTGTGTTATCACCGAGGGAAAGGTAGAATATCTTCGCCCCTATGACGAGGCTAATGTGAAAGGACAACGGTCAGTGAAATAAACATATTTTAAGTTTTCTTGTTTTTAAGCTATTACAATGTTGTTTTTGTTTTCAGACTGTTACAATGAGCAAAATTAATATAAAGCCTTCAACATTCTGGATATTGCAAGACGATAAAATTAAACTGAATTTCAGTTGTGAATTGTATTAACATGTGCCAGTAGATCTTAGATCTTCTAAAATGCCTTATCATTGTGTGATATAAAAACTATACAAAGAAAATGATAGAATTTTAGAATGAGACCAAAAATTCCCTGGTATCCTACAGTCTTTTATATAAGAGACTAACGGGTCATAATCTTGTTTATAGCTGTCTTGATAGCTCAATAGGAAGAGTGTTGGACTGTGAATCGGGCGAACCTGGGTTAGATTCCTGGATAGTGTAATGTCATCCAATTCTATGGTCATTTGCTCTGTACCCCTGCTCTAGCATGTACAGACGTAATCAGTTCCTTACGAAAGTGAAGGCAACTAGTACTGATAAACTGTTTGACAGCCTGCCCAGGAATGATGCAGTGGCTGAACTGTGGTCTGGTAAATTCAACGTGGCTTACTGCCATAATCCAGAGTGATAACTACCAATACCACCACCACCATTAATAATGATTGTTTATTCATGTTTTGTTGGTCATGTTCTCATGTATCTTACAAACCTGTGCAGCAGTCTCTATAGAAATATGATATATTAAGTTATTGAGACAAGGTATATGATCATTTGATACTGGTTAGTTTCTCCTAAATGTTGTTTTATGATCGGCACATTGTTAACTTACATCAATACATAGAGGATATTCAATTTTTTTCCATAAATACAGGATTTACTCATATTTGATTTAATGTACTATTACACTAATTGTCTGATTTAATGTAATATTACACTAATTGTCTGATTTAATGTACTATTACACTAATTGTCTGATTCTGATTTCATGTACTATTACACTAATTGTCTGATTTAATGTACTATTACACTAATTGTCTGATTCTGATTTAATGTACTATTACACTAATTGTCTGATTCTGATTTAATGTACTATTACACTAATTGTCTGATTCTGATTTAATATACTATTACACTAATTGTCTGTTAACAGGGAAGGTAACTATGGATTCAAGAGAGGAAGTACAGCCATTATAAGTACAGAGGTGAAGAAAATTCCATTTGATGTCGTGTCTACAGAGGTCAGTGCCTCGGCCATGGATACAGCGTGATGGAAATAATTCTTCTGTGATTTATTGTGGACATTACTGAACTTCTTAACATTAAAACTCATCTGAACTAATAGGAAAAAAAAGTTAAAAGTTAATTATTGTTTGTAATGGTGAAGATAGTGGCACAGCCTTACATTGGAGCACTACGATTGGTCAGTTTAAAAACAAAAATTGGTTCTCATTTTAGTTTATGACTGGTTCCATATATGATTTAAAAACTCTTTTAGTGATATATAAGTATTCAATTTAGAATCAATTAATTTTTCTTAATAAATTAAATTCATTCTTTTAATAATGATTTCCATTTGTATTAATTTTTTTATGCCAGAACAGCAGCATGCAAGACTTGGTCTGCGGATTTATTACAACAATTAAATCCTGGATTATTAAAACAATGTATGTGCAAGGGGAACATTTTGTCATTGAAAGTGCTATCTACACATAAATTTATTGTCTGAAGTCCAAGTTGTTTGTTATATATTTTACTATGAAAATTCTCAATGGTTTTGTTAGTTTAACTTACGAAGTGAAAGCAATCAGACCTATAGCTGTGTGTTTGAATCATGGCCACAACTGAGTTAATACTGCAGAACTTAATTTCTGAGTTTATATATAATGTGTGTGGTAAAGAGTAAATTATTGCACTTGTATTGTTCTTTGACTCGTGGTTACAACATAGTTAATACTGCAGACTGTTCAAATCATAGTCATGGCAGAGTTAATATTGCACACTTTTTATCCCCTGCTGAAAGGCGGGGGATATAGAAATGGTCTGTTCGTCTGTCCTCCCATCCGTCCGTCCGACATTTTTGTCCGGAGCATATCTCAAAAAGTATTTGAGGTATCAACTTGAAACTTCATAGGTGGATAGATCATATTGAGGAGGAGTGCAGTGCACAAGAATAATAACTCTACCCTGCATTATTTTTCAGTTATTGCCCTTTATTTTCCAAACTTAATTTTTGCCCAGAGCATAACTCAAAAAGCCTTTGAGATATCAACATGAAACTTCATGGGTTGATAGATCTCACTCAGGAGGTGTGCAGTGCACAAGAATGATAACTCTACCATTCATAATTTTGCAGTTATTGCCCTTTGTTAATTTTCATACTTAATTTTTCACCTGAGTGGAGAATAACACAAAAAGTCTTTGAGATGTCAACATAAAACTTCATAGGTGGATAGATCTTATTGAGGAGAAATGCTGTGTGCAAGAATGATAACTCTACCCTTTATAAATTTTGAGTTATTGCCCTTTGTTATTTTTCATACTTTTTGTCCGGAGCATATCTCAAAAAGTGTTAGAGATATCATCTTGAAACTTCATAGGTGGATAGATCTCATTGAGGAGGAGTGCAGCACACAAGAATGATAACCTACCCTGCATTAATTTTCAGTTATTGCCCTTTGTTATTTTCCAAACTTAATTTTTGTCCAGAGCATAACTCGAAAAGCCTTTGAGATATACACTTGAAACTTCATGGGTTGATAGATCTCACTCAGGAGGTGTGCAGTGCACAAGAATGATAGCTCTACCATTCATAATTTTGGAGTTATTGCCCTTTGTTAATTTTCATACTTAATTTTTGTCCAGAGCATAACTCAAAAAGCCTTTGAGATATACACTTGAAACTTCATGGGTGGATAGATCTCACTCAGTCAGGAGGAGTGTAGTGCGCAAGAATGATAACCTATCCTGCATTATTTTTCAGTTATTGCCCTTTGTTATTTTCAGCCATCAGTATTCACATTGGTTTCAAATCTGTAATCACTTCAGCCATCAGTTTTCATTTCCAAAAGCCCTCTTTAACTTGAATTATTCTGCTCTACTACATATACATTCTTCTAATCAGCAAACACATTCCATGCTAACATGGCTCTTGTTAAAAGCATTTCTAAATATTCATATTATTTATTTATTTATTCATAAACATTGTTTTTTTTTTCAATGAGATTTTTTTTACTGATAGATAAAAGCTGTAGATAAAACAATGAAAAAAAAAAGTATATCAGAAATTCTGATATATTGGACCCTGGTGGCAGAGATCTACACTGAAGAATTAAGGGGAGATCACTGCGTGGAGATTAATTATAGCCACAACAGAGTTAATACTGCACACCTGGCCAATCTATGACATGTATTAATGTCTTAATACACTTGATAGATCTTACAGAAGCACTTTAATTTTTATGCCCCCCCTTTGCAAATGTTGGTCTGTTTGTCTGTAGACCACGTGGTTTCTGCTCATTATCTTGAAAACTATATATCACAAAGACTTCATATTTCACATACTGATTGGTCATAACTAGTAGATGACCCCTGTAGTTTATAGGGTCACTATGTCAAGGTCACAGGGGCCTTAAATGCCAGAGTTGTTAGAAGACTTTCCACTGTGTTTGTGGAAATTAGGCTTAGGCCATTCTGAAAAAAATGTTTGTTTGCAGTAACACGACCCACTCACAAAATTTGCCCCTACTCAAAATTTTTTCCATGGTCTGGATAAAAAATATTATTTTTTTTGAATCAGAAAATTATGCCTTGTGCTTTGTTTTCGTTCTTTTAAAGGTTAATAGAAGAAATAAAATGTAGTTCTTATTAAATTAGAATTCAGTTATCAATTTATTAATTGTTACCAGATTATCAAAGCCTATATTATTATTGTCCAGCATTTTGAAATTCCTTGTTTATTTGGGAGTACAGTTCAATAAAAAAAAATTAAAAAATAAATCGACCTACCTACCCACCTTGAAAATTCTGGGTCGGGTTACTGCAAACAAACATTTTTTTAAGGACAGCCTTATGTTCTAATTCTAAAATCAAGCTATACGTGCTTCAATCCTACTTTCACAGCAAGCTGATTTGATAACATAAAATGTGACGTCATTGTTTCAGTTTGTGCACATACTCTCGTTGTTCAGCGGGCTGATTATGATTATCAGTTATAAGATCCGAGCCGCAAACTCATAATCTGTCGCTCATAATCAGTTGAAATACTGGGCAATTTTGTGACTATATATAGTAACAAGTGTATTAAAAAAAGAAACAACACGGAAGAAGTGTTTTAAAGTACATTTAATACTTCCACAATATAAAAATATTAAAATATTACATCTGTAAAGAAAACATGCGTAGAGCAGACTCTAGGATAATAACAATATACAAACATGCGTAGAGCAGACTCTAGGATAATAACAATATACAAACATGCGTAGAGCAGACTCTAGGATAATAACAATATACAAACATGCGTAGAGCAGACTCTAGGATAATAACAATATACAAACATGCGTAGAGCAGACTCTAGGATAATAACAATATACAAACATGCGTAGAGCAGACTCTAGGATAATAACAATATACAAACATGCGTAGAGCAGACTTTAGGATAATAACAATACATTAACAGAGAATTACCAGATGTTACAAGTACAGGTAACACGCCCATACTGCCGGCGGAAACCAAAATAGTTTGCCTCCCACACCTGTAGGTTACTATAGGTGTAATGATTAAAATACAACTGACGAGCTTGTCCCTTTACATAACATAATTATAGCAAATGATAAACATCTATACTATATTATGTGAAACTAAAATGTGGTTTTGACTTTCAATGCATGAATAGTTGTATAAAATACTTTGGCAAGAGTTCAATGTAGTCTTACTGTAATGCTTTCCCGCCAAAAAAAATTCTAACATCATTATGTTGGAAATCGGTTATTTTCTGGGCATTAGATTATTTTCAATCATTCATCCCTTTATGCTATGTACTAAATTCCGGTTATAAACGTTTTATTATTGAATATTTAAGATCATGAAAAATAACGTTCTGGAAATGCCAGATTAATTACTATATTGGCAATGTTAGGAATTTTTTGCCAGGAAAGCATTACAGTGCGATTACCTGAATGTAAAAACTACAATACAACAATCATGTCACTCGTGCATTATGGTGTAAGTTACAAGGCATCCATTCTAATTTTTCATAGGATCACTAAAAATGAGTTGTGATGACTGCCTTTTACCCCATTACTTCACGAGCATTTTGTGAAAAATGGCTGTTTCATTGAACAAGAAATAAGTTACAAGGCATTTTTTTCACTATTTGAGGTGAAAAGACGTCTATATGAAGTAATGGTTTAAGTGGACTGGTCTTCAAGGGGCACAAATTTCCATCAGTATTTTAAATATAGATAAAAAATTATAAACCATAGATATGTATCACTTGGATATTCTTATGAAATATTTTTAGGAAGAAAAACTTTGATAAAGTTCCGAGGTGATTTAGTGTGAACATGTACATGATGAATAATGTTTTGTTCATAACCTTTTATAATCTGCTATTATTTGATATGTCATATCGGATCATGTGATATGTCATATCAGATCATGTGATATGTCATATTGGATCATGTATCTGTCATATCAAATCATGTGATATGTTATATCAGATCATGTGATATGTCATATTGGATCATGTATATGTTATATCAAATCATGTGATATGTCATATCAAATCATGTGATATGTCATATCAGATCATGTGATATGTCATATTGGATCATGTATATGTCATATTGAATCATGTGTCAAAGACTTACAGACAATGTCAGTAACATAATTATTCCATAGGTTTGATTTAATTCACAGGTTTGATTTCTCACATGATACTGAACACTATCAACATAATAATTTGATTAATTCACCTGATCTGATATAAAATTAAATAAGCTTTGCAGATTTTTTTATGCAATTTTTGCATAAAGATATAACTGTATCTATTCATCAATGAGTCAGATCTCTTTAACGATGGGGATTTGGCAATAGTTTCCTCCATCATTTGCATAGGACAGGCAAAGAACAATTAAAAGGAGTGCATTTTTCTATCAATGGTCCTAAAAAAAAATCAAATTATGGTAAACATAATATCATGTTGGATTTTATAAATAACAGAATCCCTTACAATGTTAAAACATATTCTAAACAACACCTGAAAAAATCAGAGATTTCTAACCCTTTTTGAGTTTTTCACCTGAAATGCACTTCAACCATACCTCAGTATTTTGTATTTAAAGGCACATTATGCCACAGAAACAAATATATTTTTACCACCTTTAGAAAGGGCAAATCAAATATGAGATTTATGGCGTTTGTGTCAGATGCTTATAACCCAATTAATGTATCCCTGAATATGAAATAATTTGCTATAAAAGTAGCAAAATGTAAACAAAGTAGGTTGTTTTTTAGTTCCATACAAAATACTAAAGCACCATAGTTGTATTAACTGCCAAATAGCAACAGACATTAAACATGGTTCAGGTAATTGGCCAATTTGTAGGATTTTGAAACACTATAACAGGACACCAAAAAATAAACAGATTTTTGGAAATATAATAAAAGCATTTCTCAGGCATCATGGGCCTTTAATTTATTTTAAAAAACAACACATCTCCTCACAGCATCATAAACATCTGGCACGAAAACACCACAAACCATAAGTTGTACATCTATAATAATATCATATTCTAAAATTTTAACAATATCTCATTCAAATCATATACCAATATCTCAAAAGAAAAATAAACAAACCAATATTATGCAACAAAGAGAAAATTTGAATAGATACAAGACTGCACTGGATCAATGATAAAAATGGCTGCCGTTGACCCATACTATAAATGACTGCAATTGTATCCACAATAAAAATGGCTGCCATGGACACATGCTAAAAGTGACTGCACTGGATCAACAGTTAAACTGGCTACCAGACTTGAAATGACTGCAATGGAGCCATAATAAAATTGGCTGCCATACATAAAATGACTGCACTGGATTCACAATAAAAATGGCTGCCATTGTCCCATATAAAAATGACTGCAACTGGATCCACAATAAAAATGGCTGCCATTGACCCATACTAAAAATGACTGCACTTGGGAAAAATGACTGCACTTGGGTCCACAATAAAAATGGCTGCCATTGGCTCACACTAAAAATGACTGCAACTGGATCCACAATAAAAATGGCTGCCATTGTCCCATATAAAAATGACTGCAACTGGATCCACAATAAAAATGGCTGCCATTGACCTATACTAAAAATGACTGCACTGGATCCACAATAAAAATCAGAACAGGCCATGTATCCATGTAATCAGAACTGACCATTATTATCAAATTGATTGACTGTTGAACTCCAGTATTTTAATATTGATATACTTTAAAGTAATTATTGACAGTCAGGCAAATCAATTACGCAAATTTAGCGAATATATTTCATGTTTAAAACACAATTTACATGACACAACAACACAAAATATCAGTGTACACCAACATAAAAAACATTACACAAAACACTACATATATCAATATAAGTATTTTACACATGTGTATTTCAAGCCATAAATGTAAAAGTATTTCAATGTCCTCATAAGCACATAAATTTATTCTATTTTGAGCTATCAACAAAAAAACATATCGTAAGTTTTAGATTAAGATACAAACATTATATTAACCCTGTTTAGTATAAGAAAACAACAATAAAACAATCAGATACTGTGTTCACACAGAAAGTAACGTTAAAATATTTTTATCTTAGCTAATAAAATGTTCTATATTATTTAATTGACAAGATGTAATGTCATAACTACATTTAACCTTTGACCTGCCTAATTTGTGAAATGGATTCATCCTGCTTTAATACTGGAACGGTCCAATCCAAAATTAAGGTAGTTTAATATTAAAATACAAAAATAGTGCCACTAACAATATATACCAGGTAGCCAGGTGGTGAAGTGTTTAAGTCAATGGTAAACTGATCATACATGTGAACTCTCCCACTTTTAGCAGGAGACTCAAACTTTCTGCAGCCATATTTTCAAAGATTTATTTTAAAACAAGGGGTATTTTGACAAATTCAAGAAATCTTCCTATTTTTGATGTCAGAATTTCCTTCTTTGTTTAATGTAAATTCTAAAATCTCCCTCCCTTAAAGAAAAATCTCGCACTTGATCATTCACATGTATGACCCACCCGCTATTATATATAGTAATCCAAGCAGACTGAGGTTATGTCGCATAGTCTTTGTGCGAGGTAAAAAACGCAAACACCACTGATGGTCTAGAAGTATCATCAATTCAAAAGGTGGCCTAAAATTTAATGTCATTGGTTACTCTTTTTCTGGGGTTTCATATTTTGACCACAGGGAATGTGTTTTTATGTTTGACTATGCTACAAAAGAGAAAGAACATCAAAACGCAAGGCAATCTGTTAAATACTCAGGGGTTACGCCACCCCATACAAATCAGATAGCCTCAGGTTTTGATGCTCTTTCTATTACTTGTATAACAGAACCAGTGAAATACAATGTGCAAACCGACAAGGTATATTACAGCTACATATTATCCTGTTGGAAAGTTATCACCTATTTGCTACCATGATAGATTAGACCATCCTGTACCTCTGTGCAACCTGATCAGGTTTAATCCTATTAGTAGTTCAATTTTGATATTTTAAATCCCGTAAACTGGACTGTTCCAAATTCAAAGCTGGAAAAAACCCATTACATAAACTCTGCATGTCAAAGGTAAATCACAAGTCTACTAATGTTTTTAAAATATGGCATTTGCATAAAAACATAAATTTTGACTAGATTTTGATTTTTCAGGCACTTTATAAATACTGTATCTACATTTAGCTTAACAGTTATAGCACCAAAACTTAAATGCTTTTTTTTTCTCCCCCTTAACTAAAATGCTGTTCTTAATTCAATAACAATATATCTAGACATTTTTATAACAACATAAAACAGTATATGTTAATGCTGGAACAAAACAAATTAATAAAAAATCTAAAACAATGATATACTTAACACAACGATGATATAATTAACACAAAGTTCTGATATCATTATCATATTTTTCATTTTTTGTTGTTGTAAATTTAAGATGGCCGTACACAAGAAACTTATAATCACCAAGAAAATTGAACTTGCGTTAGAATTTTACCGTGGTTACAGATTTTAACTATATGACTTCACATCTTTCCTATACGTAATTTTACACCCATGTTTTGAATTATCATTATTAAATTGTTTGCCAAATTTCATACATGCCATAACGTCCGGGAAAGACCCGGAAATAAGGTGTTTTTTATTTCCCTATACGTAACCAATAAGAAAGCTCTATCTTTGTGTAGATTAAGCAAACAAGACCAGTGCTATAATGTATATTGTTATAAACATATAATGCCACAGTTGGAGACATGGACAGTCCTGTAATTATCTAACAAATTCATAACTTATCTAAATCTATCTGTTAACCAGTTAATAATCTAAAGCATATGAATGTTTCAAATCAAATTTGTAGACAAAAAAAAAGTTCAGAATACAAATACAGACTGGTTTTCAACTTTAATATTATTTATACTAATACTGTAATTTGTAATCTAAAGCATATGATTGGTTGTTTCAAATTCTATTTTTAGAATAAAAATAAACACAATTCTGCAGGCAATCATGGACTGGTTTAAAAATTCAATTTTATTAGTACCACTATAATACTACTTTTAAAGCTGTGTACAAAAGGTTATATGCTATGTCTAGTTTTTGTTAGTAAGTACAATAATTTCCACACAATGATTAAACTTTACAGAAAAATGATAAAAAAATAATTAATATAAAAAGATCTTTGAGATCCAAGACAATGTGATCAATATAAAAAAAATGGATTCCATGGAAACCTAAAAAAATAAAAATGCTCAACATGGCAAAAATAAAGATTTACGAGCTCTTGGTGTAATATCAGACCTTTCAGATTCAAAACATTGAGACTATATACTTTGGTTCCCAGTCTAACATTTACACTTGGTCAGACTCTAAAATAATTTGGTTCCAACAAGTGTTCCCAGTTTAATGACTGGTTTCACACTAATGTTAGGTTAACATTAAAGTTCTCGGTTGAAAGACTGGTTCATGCAATTATGTTGAGAATAGCTGCCTGTTTATACTAAAGTTCTCATTTTTAGACTGGTTCACACTCGAAGGTTTTTCTAATTTTTAGACTGGTTCACACTCTAAGGTTATTCTCAGTTTTAGACTGGTTCACATTCGAAGGTTATTTTCAGTTTTAGACTTGTTCACACTCGAAGGTTATTCTCAGTTTAAAATTGGTTCACTCTACGGTTATTCTCATTTTTAGACTGGTTCACACTCTAAGGTTAAGACTTGGTCCCACTTTGCAGTTTGATTTCCAGCATAAAAATTGTTTCCCATTTCAAAGCTTTGAATGTGTATTCAATTTACAGTTTGGTTCCCAGTTTAAAATTGATACCTAAACCTAATGTACCGACTGGCTCCTATTAACATAAAGCAAAGGCGGATATTTCTATACAAAAATGGATTTTTAAAAAAATTTGGTCCCAAAAGAAAAGATATGTATTGAACATTAACTGATAACAAATTTCACAAAAAAAAAAGAAAACACCATTTAAACTGTAAAAAATATATATAAACAAACGACAATAACAAAAACAATTGAAAATATCTGCTGTATGATACTGGGAGATTCTATTCTGTTCTATTCTATTCAGGTGTTGATTGCAATGATAATAGTTTGATGTCTATTTCACATGTGACTTGCTCCCAGATGCTGTAGAAACCTGTTTAAAATAAACAACAAAAACAAACTTTGTTTAGAAATTAAGACACAAATCGAGTTTTAATCCTTAACATTTTATTTCTGTAACATCATCAAAATAAAATATTTTTTAATTATACGTTGTCTAGAAGTCAAATTTAATCTATAAAACTCAAATGAAATATAATTTCTTTTTTTTATTTATTATTTCAGTGATTTACCTCAATTTTTATTACTGTTATTCTACAAGGATATATACTGTACATAGTAACTCTCACCTTTTCTATAATAGCTTTCTCTGAAATTTCTGCGGGATCTGAGGCAAATATAGCAACATGAAAAGGTCCAAATGTACTTTCAGCAATTCCTTTATGGGTTGATATCTTGGCTTTTGTCATTGGTTTAACACTATTTCCTACCCTGTAAAAGAAAACTGACATGTTACAAATTATACAACTGAATGGTGTGCTTAAGACAAAAAAACTGGTAATTTGTTATACATGTACTATATGTTATATGTATAATTATGTTATTATAAAAATTATAAAAATTACGGTTATGATTTAATCAAATAAAAGTTTTTTTGTGTCTTTTGTTTTACTTTTATATACATATAGAACCAGAAAAATCTTAATACTTTGTGCTCATGTGTAAGATTAATAAATTATTTGGTTTGTATAGAATTTATTTTTTAGTTCAATTGTGTAGGAAGCTATAAGCTTATAGACACACTTCCCAATCCAATCCTGTAACCAACCAGTACTGAACAATAAGTGTAAAGTTTCTTGCTCAAGAAAACAACTGTTTGCCCCTGATAGGGTTTTGAACCTGCACGGCTTGCGATCCATAGATTACTAGTCTGACACATTAACAACTTGGCCATGCCACCATTTATTAATTACAAATTATTTGTTTATTAGTTTGGTATAAAGTCTCTTCAACATTGCAAGGCACAGGCAGTGACTGGAATTTGCTGATCTCAAGGATTCCCTTTTTATAGTATTCCAGGCAGTGACTGGATATTGCTGATCTCAATGATTCCCTTTTTGTGTCGCCTTGAAAAGGTGACATATAGGGGTTACTTTTGTCGGCGGCGTCTGTGTCGGCGTCGTTGTCGGCGTCGTCGTCGGCGTCCCCTAAAGCTTGTCCGGAGCATAACTCAGTCACTTTAAGTCTGATTGACTTCAAACTTGGTATGCATGCTTCTTTCAATAACCGGAAGTGCAGTGCACAAGGACCGGTACTCTGCAGTTCTTATTTTTTGAGTTATTGCCCTTTGTTAATTTTCATACTTTAATTTTGTCCGGGCCATTTCTCTAAAACTAAAAAAGCTATGGACTTGAAACTTCATAGGATGATAGATCTCATTAAGAAGAAGTGCAGTGCACAAGAACCGGTACTCTGCACTTCCTAATTTTTGAGTTATTGCCCTTTGTTAATTTTCATACTTTATTTTTGTCCGGGCCATTTCTCCTAATGTATAAAAGCCATGGACTTGAAACTTCATAGGATGATAGGTCTTATTAAGAAGAAGTGCAGTGCACAAGAACAGGTACTCTGCATTTCTTATTTTTTGAGTTATTGCCCTTTGTTTATTTTCATACTTTAATTTTGTCCGGGCCATTTCTCCTTAAGTATAAAAGCTATGGACTTGAAACTTCATAGGATGATAGATCTCATTAAGAAGAAGTGCAGTGCACAAGAATCGGTACTCTGCATTTCTTAATTTTTGAGTTATGGCCCTTTGTTAATTTTCATACTTAATTTTTGTCCAGGCCATTTCTCCGAAAGTATAAAAGTTATGGACTTGAAACTTCATAGGATGATAGATCTCATTAAGAAAAAGTGCAGTGCATAAGAACTGATACTCTGCATTTCTTATTTTTTGAGTTATTGCCCTTTGTTGATTTTCTTACTTTATTTTTGTCCTGGTCATTTCTCCTCAAGTATGAAAGCTATGGACTTGAAACATCATAGAATGATAGATCTTATTGATAAGAAATGCAGTGCACAGATATGCTGCTCTGCACTTATTATTTATTTAGTTATTGCCCTTTGTTATTTTTCATATTTCATTTTTGTCCTGGCTATTTCTCCTAAACTACATTGTTCACAAGGCGACACATCCGACTCGCGGAGTTCTAGTTACAGTATTCCAGGCAGTGACTGGAAATTGCTGATCTAAAGGATTCCCTTTTTACAGTATTCCAGGTGGTTTGTTTTGACTATACCATATTCAAGGTGGTTGCCAATCTCAAGTATTCTCTATATAGTATTTCAAGACGATGTTGATTTTTAAACAAATTTTAGTATTGTAATTGCAACAATACCTACCATATGATGTAAACAAACTTGTAATTGTTGTAATGTTAATGATACCTACCACATGATGTAAACAAACTTGACACTGGAAATACTTAACCAACCAAAGTATGTAAACAAACTTGACTATTGTAACTGATGAAATATTGTCAACAATACCTACCATATGATGTAAACAAACTTGACATTAGAAATGCTACCTACCATATGATGTAAACAAACTTGACATTAGAAATACTACCCACCATAATTATGATGTAAACAAACTTTACATTGGAAATACTACCTACCATACTTATGATGTAAACAAACTTGACACTAGAAATACTACCTACCATAATTATGATGTAAACAAACTTTACATTGGAAATACTACCTACCATAATTATGATGTACAACAAACTTGACATTGAAAATGCTACCTATCATATGATGTAAACAAACTTGACATTGGAAATGCTACCTACCATAATTATTATGTAAACAAACTTGACATTAGAAATACTACCCACCATAACTATTATGTAAACAAACTTGACATTGAAAATGCTATCTACCATAATTATGATGTAAACAAACTTGACATTGGAAATGCTACCTACCATAATTATTATGTAAACAAACTTGACATTGAAAATGCTACCTACCATATGATGTAAACAAACTTGACTATGGTAATATCATCTACAACATCAGAGGTTCTGTACAAGGCATACATTGGTTTATCTTCAGTTAGAACTTCAACAATTTCATCACTATCTCCTTCACCAGTCGCTGTTAGCACAATGGGACCTTTAGGACTTCCATCCCTTTAAATAGAAACATTATTCTCATTAAACATACCAAAATCATGATAGGGGCATAAAAAACCTTGACTGATTTTCTGTGGTTTATGATTTTATCAGAGATGGTTGTTAAGCACAGGGTTTTATTTCAATCAAATATGGTCTTTTAGCCCAGGTTTTTAGTATGTAATGTTTCAATTAAAAATGGTTTTTTAACACAGGTTTTCTGAAGGTTAGGTTTCAATCAAAGGCAGTCTTTTAGCCCACGTTTTCAGTATGTAATGTTTCAATTAAAGATGGTCTTTTAACACAGTTTTTTCTGAAGGTTAAGTTTCAATCAAAGGTGGTCTTTTAACCCAGGTTTTCAGTATGTAATGTTTCAATTAAAGATGGCCTTTTAACACAGTTTTTTCTGAAGGTTAAGTTTCAATCAAAGGTGGTCTTTTAGCCCATGTTTTCAGTATGTAATGTTTCAATTAAAGATGATCTTTTAACACAGTTTTTTACTGAAGGTTAGGTTTCAATCAAAGGTGGTCTTTTAATCCAGGTCTTCAGTATGTAATGTTTCAATTAAAGATGGTCTTTTAACACAGGTTTTTACTGAAGGTTAGGTTTCAATCAAAGGTGGTCTTTAAGCCCACGTTTTCAGTATGTAATGTTTCAATTAAAGATGGTCTTTTAACACAGTTTTTTCTGAAGATTAAGTTTCAATCAAAGGTGGTCTTTAGGCACAGATTTTGTGTAGTTGATGTTCCATTAGGCAGCTTCCCCTCCAAATGTGTAAAATAGATCTTCAAAAAACCAAAGTTAAAGATCCTGTATGTGGTAATTAAGGATGTAACAACACTTCAGTGAAATTTTATATACATGTATGTATATAATTATTCTTCGAAAAAAAATCCAAATATCCAAGACTATGTTAAATATGTACTGTAAATGTGTATTTGCATTATATGTAATCATCAATATATATCCATTAATTTCTTATTGAAAAATTTGGCTTAGACTTTATTGGAAATAGATTTACAATACCCTCCCTTTATTTACATAAAATATAAATTTGGTAATATCTTTACAAATAATGCTTTTTTGAACTTTTTTTTTGTAACTGAGTTTACACTATAAGCAGGCATACTACAAACAAAGGTTTTAATATATAACAAAGAAGGAGGAAAATTGGCACCTAGTTGGGGGTGGGGTGGGTGGGGGGGGGGGTGAAGGTCCTTATATCCGAGTTTGCATTATATCGGAGTTTGTTATAACAGAGTTCCACTGTAAAAAGGAAATCTTGTAAGACTTACATGTACTCTGCAGAGTTTCACTGTATAAAGGAAATCTTGTTAGACTTACATGTACTCTGCAGAGTTTCACTGTATAAAGGAAATCTTGTAAGACTTACATGTACTCTGCAGAGTTTCACTGTATAAAGGAAATCTTGTAAGACTTACATGTACTCTGCAGAGTTTCACTGTATAAAGGAAATCTTGTAAGACTTACATGTACTCTGCAGAGTTTCACTGTATAAAGGAAATCTTGTAAGACTTACATGTACTCTGCAGAGTTACACTGTATAAAGGAAATCTTGTAAGACTTACATATACTCTGCAGAGTTTCACTGTATAAAGGAAATCTTGTAAGACTTACATGTACTCTGCAGAGTTACACTGTATAAAGGAAATCTTGTAAGACTTACATGTACTCTGCAGAGTTACACTGTATAAAGGAAATCTTGTAAGACTTACATGTACTCTGCAGAGTTACACTGTATAAAGGAAACCTTGTAAGACTTACATGTACTCTGCAGAGTTTCACTGTATAAAGGAAACCTTGTAAGACTTACATGTACTCTGCAGAGTTACACTGTATAAAGGAAACCTTGTAAGACTTACATGTACTCTGCAGAGTTTCACTGTATAAAGGAAACCTTGTAAGACTTACATGTACTCTGCAGAGTTTCACTGTATAAAGGAAATCTTGTAAGACTTACATGTACTCTGCAACAAGCCATTTCTCTGGCTGTTCATCTTGTCTAACCTTGGCAATAGCTTCAAGAACATCCTCATTTATAGCTACAGTAGCACCTACGCTAGACATCAGGGGACCTGAAAGAAGATGTACAGAATTTTTACCATGATAATCAACAACTTTATAGTTCAGTAGAATGATCATGTTAGTAACTATCACAGACCGTTTCTCATTTAACCTTTTGCCTGTTTATTTTACCTGTTGATTTATTACATGTAAAAGGCCCCGACTTTGAAATTATGTACAATCCATTGTATATGTGAGGAAATATTTTAATGCCAAAATAATTTAGCAATCAAAGATGTTTTGCGGGAGTTTTCATGTAGACATAATTTATTATAGGCAAACTCTTAAATAGATTTTCTTTAAACTTGGCATGTTGTTAGAATATGATAACATAACATTTAAGCGGAAAAAAATTGGGGGTCACTATTCTTGACTTTGAGTTATCTGCCCCTGATATATACTTTTTTGTTGCTTAATTCAAAGGCAGATCATCCACAATGAAGTTAAAGAAAACCTTACTTTTTTTCTTATCTTCATGTAGCTTACTTCCATTAGTCAATAAGCAAAATTTCAAGAACAAAAAAAAAGAGCAGATTGGCTTTTTTCCCCTCCCTCTCTAAACCTGTGCCTTTTATTTTTCTTTAACAAATGGCCTTTTTTTAAAGAATTGTAAGTCTCTTTATCTAAAATGAACAATTGTAACAGAAATGATATAATATAGAATTGTATGTTATTATATGTTACTTGTTTGTTTTTTTACAAAATTCAAGAACAGAGAATGGTCAAACTGTATGGATATTTAAACTTAATTGCCTCTACACAATGAACATAGACATGCCATTATTGGTTCATGTATAAGTACTCTTAGAGAGATTCTAATTTCAACAGGCCACAACATAATTGAGCCGCGCCATGACAAAACCAACATAGTGCGTTTGCCACCAGCATGGATCCTGATCAGACTGTGGGGATGCGCAGGCTGGTCTTGATCTATGCTGGTCACAAACTCACTATGTTGGTTTTGTCATGGCGCGGCTCATATGTTGAGACAATGAAGTATGGCTTGGAAACATAATGAGCAATTTATTAACTTTCTCTTTAGACAGCTAGAAAAACATGTATTTATATATACAGTAAAGGATCACATTTCTGCATTATTGGTAGCATTCTTGCTGTAACATAAAATATTTCAATATTCACTTTTTCTTTGGTTTAGAAATTTAAAACCCCTTATTTTAACAAAAATCGCAGAATATTAAGCCCACAGAAATAAGTACTTATACAGTATCGTTTTGAGTGTTATATTGTTTTGAGCGATATATCGTTTTCAGCAGTATATTGGTTTGAGCAGTATATTGTTTTGAGCAGTATATTGTTTTCAGCGGTATAGCGTTTTGAGCGGTATATCATTATGAGCGTTATATTGTTTTTAAGCGGTATATCGTTTTGAGCGTTATATTGTTTTTGAGCGGTATATCATTATGAGCGGTATATTGTTTTGAGCGGTATATTGTTTTGAGCGATATATTGTTTTGAGAGGGTATATCATTATGAGCGGTATATTGTTTTGAGCCGTATATTGTTTAGAGCGGTATATCGTTTTGAGCGTTTTATTGTTTTGAGCGGTATATCGTTTTGAGCCGTATATTGTTTTTAGCGGTATATCGTTTTGAGCGTTATATTGTTTTAGAGTGGTATATCGTTTTGAGCCGTATATTGTTTTGAGCGGTATATCATTATGAGCGGTATGTTGTTTTGAGCGGTATATCGTTTTGAGCGTTATATCATTTTGAGCGGTATATTGTTTTGAGCGGTATATTGTTTTGAGCGGTATATCATTATGAGCGTTATATTGTTTTGAGCGGTATATTGTTTTGAGCGGTATATTGTTTTGAGCGGTATATTTGTTTTGAGCGGTATATCATTATGAGCGGTATATTGTTTTGAGCGGTATATCATTATGAGCGGTATATTGTTTTGAGCGGTATATCATTATGAGCGGTATATTGTTTTGAGCGGTATATCATTATGAGCGGTATATTGTTTTGAGCGGTATATTGTTTTGAGCGGTATATCGTTTAGAGCGGTATATCGTTTAGAGCGGTATATCATTTTGATTGGTATATTGTTTTGATCAGTATATCCTTATGAGTGGTATTTCGTTTTGATCGGTATATTGTTTTGATCAGTATTTTTTACTTATGAGCGGTATTTCGTTTAGATCGGTAAATTGTTTTGATCGGTATATTGTTTTGATCAGTATATCCTTATGAGCGAGATTTCGTTTTGAGTGGTATTTCGTTTTGAGCGGTAAATGGTTTTGAGCAGAATATTGTTAAAAGTGGACTTTATTCTACTAGGACACTCGTCAATCTGTATGTAACAGTGTTAAGATTGGTCTGGTTCTATACTGAACTCTAATTACTTTTAGTTCCAGCATTTATTACAGATAAGATGATGATGTTATACATGTTTAAAGAAATAACAATACACGGGTACAAAGTATCTCACATGAAACGTATGGGTAGGTGGATGACAAGACATGAAACAATAATTATAGTACTAGATACATGTACTTACTAAGATCACTTTCCTCCTCTACGTATCATGAAAATTAAAATAAAATATACAGCAATGAACTTCTTTTCTTATTACACAATCTGACAATCATACTGGTTACCAAACTCCTCACACTCCTTCCCTTGGCAGAATTGTAATCACTGCCTTCACAGACGTCACATGATGATGAAAGTCACATGACGTAACGTCGAAATTCAAATGTAAATATTGACCATTACATAGAAAATCTAACGTCATTTTTGTCTTTCTATTTTATTTTTAACTTTTTGTACCTACGTCCGTTATATTTTCTCAAAAAATTATCAAAAGTATACAAAATAATGAAAAATAAATTTCTTTAATAATATCTTTTTTCAAAAGCGGCCATTGTTTTGGAATGAAACGGTGCATTATTAAAAAAAATTCTCATATTATTGATAATATTTAAGTTTTCGAAATTATTTTTTATTTTAGTTTACATCTAATACATTATAGTCTTGAAACATTAGCAAAACCGTGTTTACTTTTTAAAATAAATATAAAAATTGAAAAAATTCATATTGTCAAAAATCTTGACGAAAATGTTGTGATGGCAGAGATCTAATCCTGCTGTAAAGGGAGATCACTGCTTAGGAGATTGACTGTTCACAAGAAAGGAAACTGATCTATTGACAAAACTGAATGGATTATGTCTCCCTGTGTCTAGTGACCATAGAGAATAAGTGTGTGAAGTTTAAACTAATTCCCTTCAGTACTAAAAAACTTGACCAAAGTATGACACCTACATGGAGGCAAGTACAATAGCTCTCCCTATTCTTTACAATAGCCGAGCTAAAAATGAGGAGCAAGCAGTAAAATCAGGACACACTTTACATGAGGACTTGTTTTGTTCTAAACTGTGAAAGAAATCTAATTAACTATTTGAGTATAAGTTCTATACTGGTAGAAAAGGTAACTACCATTTATATAGTAACATGAAAATCATGAGCAAAATATACGGTCAGAACAGTCAAATAAATCATGAACAGGGAGCTATTTCCGCCTAAGTTACAAAATGTTTTATTTTTATTTTGTATCAGTTATGCTCATGTCTTTAGTTACTGCATATATACACGTAAGTTATATTAACGAAATAATTGTAAAATTACCAGTTTTAGCAGATCGTTCTCTGTCAGGTAGTTGTGTGGCTGTAAAGCCCCTCATCTGATGTCCAGCTGTACTTTCAAGGACTTTTGATTTCTTTCCTGTGTTTTCTTCAAGCTGTAATATACAATAAACATTAATACTTTCAAGGACTTTCAAAATCTTTCCTGTGTTTTTTTTCCAGCTATAACAGTAATGCTTTCAATTATTTTTGGTTTCCTCTTCATATTTTTTTAAGCTATGATATACAATAAACATTAATGCTTTCAAGGACTTTCAAAATCTTTCCTGTGTTTTTTTTCCAGCCATAACAATAATGCTTTCAATGATTTTTGGTTTCTTCTTCATATTTTTTAAGCTATAATATACAATAAGCATTAATGCTTTCAAGGACTTTTGATTTCTTTCCTGTGTTTTCTTCAAGCTGTATTATACAATAAACAAAGGACCTGTGTTTTCTTCAAGTTGTAATATACAATAAATAACAATCCTTTCAAGGATCTTGCACCAAGAGACTGAGTAACAGGCGCATCAATGAAAAATGATTCTTTTTCACTTTAAACAGTCTTTATTTTGGGTATGTGATAAACAGAATATTATATTTGTGTAAGTTCATTCCTGAATTTATTGAACTCAATGGATAAAGCATTGCATTGTATTACTTTATTAAAACTTGTTCAATAAATTCAGTAATGAACCTACATTCAATCAATATACACTCAAATACAAGATATTGCACAATGACTTAAACTTCTGTCTAATTCAACTTTGTGATATTTTCTATAATTGCCAGAAGGACCTTTTGGCACGTCTCCAGCAATAATGGGGAAACAAAAATCCCTCTTAAATTTCTGTGATATACAAGTTTCGACAGTCAGGATAGCACAATTACACATCAAATAAATTTCCTCATCTTTTAACAACTAGAAGATAAATGAACTTACCTGCTGTAAAATTTTCTCGGTCTGGAAGTCATCCACGGAGCCAGTTTCTATAAATAGATGGTAAGGGTTAAACTTCTCCTGAATGCTGCCATGTACTACACCAAACTTCCCTTTCTTTGTAAATGCAACATCATCCCCAAGCCTATAAAACCAGAACATGTTCTATGAAATAAACAACTGTACTGTAACAGTGCCTTCAACTATTCTCTACCTCCATTGTGTAACAAGCCAAGCCGGAACATTTCTAAGTTAATGAAATAAGATAATGCTCGATAAAAAATAAATGTTCAAATAATAATAAGGTTTACATTGATGTATTTTATTTGAAAAAAAATCATGTTTAATTAGTCCTTGGTAGGTACCCCAGTAGCAACCAATTTCTTGACTGCAATGAGTTGTGTTAATATCTCTGTTGACTCCCTAAATTGGCGAAAACTGTTGTATACCAAACTGCCTCTGCTTATGTGCTGACACCATAATGTAACATCATTATAAATTTGAACGTTATCCGTTTCGTACTTTATAATATACAGCTAGTAAGCTTAAGATGCATGCCTGAAATTGTAAGATATAAATGGCTGCACTGACGCAGCAAGAGAACTGTACACAAATGGAAGTTTGTGTCGACCTCGAGAAAAACACCAACAGAGACAATGAAAATGACGAAGGATGCTAATCGATATTCAAATGTAAGCATATCTCTTATTTTTAATTGGTATGACATCATTTTTGAACAACCCCAGATCAATAACAACCCCAGAGGACAAAAACAACCCCAGATCAATAACAACCCTAAGGCAATGACAACTAGAGAGCAATAACAACCCCAGGGCAATTACAACCCCAGAGCGATAACAACCCCAGAGCAATAACAACCCTATGGCAATAACAACCCTAGAGCAATAACAACCCTATGGCAATAACAACCCCAGGGCAATAACAACCCTATGGCAATAACAACCCCAGGGCAATAACAACCCTATGGCAATAACAACCCCAGGGCAATAACAACCCTATGGCAATAACAACCCCAGGGCAATAACAACCCTATGGCAATAACAACCCCGGGGCAATAACAACCCTATGGCAATAACAACCCCAGAGCAATAACAACCCCAAGGCAATGACAACCCCAGAGCAATAACAACCAACCCCAGAGCAATAACAACCCTATGGCAATAACAACCCCAGGGCACATTTATTAGTACGACAATGACAACCCTCTAAGTGCAATTACAACCTCAGAGCAATAACAACCCCAGGGCAATAACAACCCCAGAGGGCAAAAACAACCCCAGATCAATAACAACCCTAAGGCAATGACAACCAGAGGGCTATTACAACCCCAGATCAATAACAAACCAGAGAGGGCAATAACAATCAGAGAGCAATAACAATGCCAGGACAATTACAACTTCAGGGCACCTTTATCTCTACAACAATGACAACCCCTCTAGGTGCAGCTTATTTATACAAAGACGTATGAGTAAACTACTTACCATCTGAAGTAAACAAATTTCACAGTTGTAGACATGTCAAATGTACTCTCATATCTTGCTAGAATATACATCACCTAAATCAAATACAACATCATTGCTAGAATATACATCACCTAAATCAAATACAAGATCATTGCTAGAATATACATCACCTAAATCAAATACAACATCATTGCTAGAATATACATCACCTAAATCAAATACAACATCATTTAGAATATACATCACCTAAATCAAATACAAAACCATTGCTAGAATATACATCACCTAAATCAAATACAACATCATTTAGAATATACATCACCTAAATCAAATACAAAACCATTGCTAGAATATACATCACCTAAATCAAATACAACATCATCTAGAATATACATCACCTAAATCAAATACAACATCATTGCTAGAATATACATCACCTAAATCAAATACAACATCATTTAGAATATACATCACCTAAATCAAATACAACATCATTGCTAGAATATACTTCACCTAAATCAAATACAACATCAGCTAGAATATACATCACCTAAATCAAATACAAGATCATTGCTAGAATATACTTCACCTAAATCAAATACAACATCATTGCTAGAATATACATCACCTAAATCAAATACAACATCATTTAGAATATACATCACCTAAATCAAATACAACATCATTAATGCATTAAATCATAAGAACATTGTACATGTATATAAAAAAAACTTTCAAATTGCAAATGTCAATTGACTTAGTATCTTTCTCACTTATGGCTCAGAAAAGAGCTTATAAAAAGAATACGGTAAGGTGTTTGAATACGGTAAAATGTTTGAATACGGTAAGATGTTTGAATACGGTAAAATGTTTGAATACGGTAAGATGTTTGAATACGGTAATATGTTTGAATACGGTAAGATGTTTAAATACGGTAATATGTTTGAATACGATAATATGTTTGAATACGGTAAGATGTTTGAATACGGTAATGTTTGAATACGGTAATGTTTGAATACGGTAAGATGTTTGATGATTATCATGTAAAGAAATAAGCATACAGAGAAACAAGAGCTATCAGTAATCATGTGTTTCCTGATGATAGCCAATTAAGTTGTTGTATTAACAGATCCCTACTCTTGACCTTTTAGTTGAATAACAATAGATTTAACATGTGCTCTTTTGTTAACAAATATGTTGCGGTGACATTTTTATTGTATCCACTAATCTGACTAGTCAGGGATCTATGCATTGAAGGGCAAAATCTTTACATTTTGTGACCTTGACCGTGCATGTAATAACTAAATTATGCTGATAATACTCAATCCCATGATTGTGAACATTTTTAACCTGTTCTTTCACACATTTTCCTATTATTATCAGACCATTGACCTTGACATCAGGTATCTGAATTTAGTGTGCAACACTTTGCCACCTTGACCTTTGATAAAGAGACCTTATTAAAACACATTGAACTATGTCTCTGTGGAAGTGAACATTTTTATCAGACTATACTAACATAATTTATCCATGCATGTGGAAGATAATTATATTCTGCGGAATCTGGACATTTTATCATCTTGACCTTATCAGGGTGATTACATAATGATCTGATCCTTTTTCTTAAAATGAGCATATAAAAGCACACAGACATTTAATATTAGGTAACATACTGACCGGAATGATTTCTACCTTATGACATTGACAAGACATTACCAGAAAATCCAGCTTTAATTTTGGACATTTAAAAACACAATGAAAATTTTAAGACAATGTTCACACCTGTGAGCTGTCAACTAGTTCAGCCAACTCATCCACACTATCCCCTGTTTTCAAAACACAAACTTTAGCTGGATCACCGTCTATGTGTTGTACGATAACATACGTAGTGCTGTCGGCATCATTTCTCACTGATGCAATTGCCGTCTCAAACTCGTCAATGTTCTCGAATGAAGCTGATGTGCTCATATTTGACTACTGATTTAATCCCTGTATCTGGAATACATAATTATTCATAAAATTGATGAATGCAATCAACTCTTAACAAAAATTGGAAAATATAAACAGATAACAAACAAATTTGTTGAATTTATATCCCCCGCCGAGTACTGGTTATTACTAACACATCAACTGAAGACATAAGGCTTTATATATAAATTTATCATAGCATAAACAGTAACATTCTTTGTACATGTTAAAAATTCAGGGCAATAACAGAGCCATAACTCAGTGTTAAATAGTAATATCTGGACATGCCAATGAGAGTTAATTGCCTTTTTGTATCAATGGTTGCCATAAAGTTTTGTTGAAATTGATACAGCAGTTGCAAAGAAATAGCAATATTGCTCTATATGCATACTTCATAACTAATCAAGGGTCATAACTCTGAAATGAAGGGTCTGGTATGAACAAGGCAACAATATGCACATCTCCTCTTGGTATTAATGGTTCCCATAAAGTTTAATTGAATTCCTGCCAGTAGTTGCAGAGAAGTAGCGCGGAAACAATAATTGCTCTATATGCACAATACTGCATAACCAATCAAGGACCATAACTCTCAGTTTCAGTGTCTGGCCAGAATAAGGCGACAATATGCCCATCTCCTCTTGGTATTGAAGGTTCCCATAAAGTTCATTGAATTCCAGCCAGAAGTTGCAGAGAGGTAGCTTGGAAACAAATATTGTTCCATATGCATACTGCATGACTAATCAAAGGCCATAACTCTGAGTTAAAGGGTCTGACTGAAACCAGCCGACAATATGCGCATCTCCTCTTGCTATTGATGATTCCCATAAAGTTTAATTGAATTCCAGCCAGTAGTTACAGAGATGAAGCATGGAAACGATTATTGCTCTATGTATACAGCATAACTAATCAAGGTTAAAGTGTCTGACCAGAACAAGGTGGCGATATGCCCATCTCCTCTTGGTATTGAGGGTTCCCATAAAGTTTCATTGAATTCCAGCCAGAAGTTGCAGAGAGGTAGCTTGGAAACAAATATTGTTCTATATGCATACTGCATAACTAATCAAGGGCCATAACTCTGAGTTAAAGTGTCTGACCGAAACAAGGCGACGATATGCGCATCTCCTCTTGGTATTGAATGTTCCCATAAAGTTTCGTTGAATTTCAGCCTGTAGTTGCAGAGTAGTAGCAGGGAAACAATTTTTGCTCTATATGCATACTGCATGACTAATCAAGGGCCATAACTCTGAGTTAAAGGGTCTGACAGGAACATAAAGTTTTGTTGAATTCCAGCCAGTAGTTGCAGAGAACTAGTGCAGAAACGAAATTCTGACGGAAGGCTTGACAGATGTTCTAACAGGACAGTAATATTGTGGCTTCTCTATTGTTCTCTCTATTGTTCTTTTTAGCCACATAAAAGCATTACAGAATGAATGACATCAAAGAGAAAGAACAGTTACCTATTGTCCCTCTAGCCACATTATTACTGTCCCGTGAGAGCGACAGGACAGGCGGACGGGCGAACAACGCCAAAACAATATCCCCCTCCCTATTCAATATTCATTAGTCTCATTTCTTCAAAAAGCTCTAAAACACAAGTACAGTATACATTTTTTAATGATTAAATCATTTAAATTAAAATAAAAATTTATGTTTGTTATGTTCAGAAATTATTACTTTGGTGTGGCAAGAAGCTACCACATAAACTATTCATGATTGTGAAGCCTTCTCGTCATTGTTCAATGGATGACAGCAAAATAATTCCAGATTTAACTTTTTAAGCTGATAAAATATATTTTTTAAATGTAAAAATATAACGCCAATTTGTTTTAAGCCATTGTTAAGTTATAACAAATGAAAATGAATATACCCGCGACGAACTTGACACAGTAAAAGGCAGGCTTCACCAGCTGAACTATAGAAAATGTACCTTTAAATTATCGATTTTAGCACCTTCTCCTGCCACACCCCACCTTTATAAACACGGAAGTCTTTCTATAAAAAAAAACTCAGAGTTGTTTCCCTTATCAAACGGTGTCAGAATAATAACTTTCTATACAGTACAGTATATATTTTCATTTTGCTAATCTGTATTAATAAATAATTGTGTAAAAACCGATTAATCAATGCAGTGTCTGATTTAAGGTCAAATTTGATCTATATCTATAAAATTTCAACTTTACTGCGATGATCACTAAATTTACACTAAATTTGAACACCACTAAATTTACCGGTACATTCAAATTTACCTGTACACCACTATATTTACCTGTAACCATATACTCAGATTTAACCCTGTGTAGTCTGGTTCCCGTCGTAATATAAAATTTATTACTATTGAACGGAGAGAAAAGGGCAGGTAATCCAGACTAAACCCTGTGACGAAGTTTGTAGAGCACTTTCGTTTTTATAATATAACATTTATGGTCCCCAAGTAAAAGAAAGCTTGTGTCCGAAACGAGAAAACATTGGGCGGAACTAAATGAAATGGAATTTTGGAAGGGAATTAGAGGTTATAAAGTCAGCATATCACAGATAAGACGCCAAAATACAAATTTAAAAAGGAGACAAAAGGAGACAAAATATCTTAAGGGTGGTTATAGAGTATTTAAGTAGGAATATTGTTCAAAACCACCTTAGTTGAAAATGGTCAAATAGACTAATTATACCACAAACATGTACACACAACAATAATGTTGTGCTAAACAATCCCCAAGGATCGAAAAAATAACATCTTTGATAATATGTAGCTTGCGAGAGAGCATGGAACATGAAATTTTACACCAATGAATGCGAAGTACTTAGAATCTCTTGTACGAGACATCCTAAAGTTTCACTATTCGTTATACATTACAATACCGTGGTGACCATGTCCAGCATATGAATAATGTTACCTCCAAAGTTAGACAACTCCATCCATAAAATTCTAAAATAAACATAAAAAACGTCAAATAAAAAGAATAAGGAGGCCATTTTTTGCACTCTTGGCAAAACATATATAATGTAAAATACACGTGCACCAAGAAATATGCTTTAAAAAGATACTCGACCAAAGTAAAAATAGTTACCGATAACTTGCATATGTTATTTCTTAGTTTTTTATACATATACAAATGTTAGCAATGCTTACATAACAATGACATAAAAATTCATTTTTTGTAAACATAGAAATAAGATTATAAGCATATTGATATTGATGTCTCTTCAAAGAGACAGTATTTATTTAAGTGTACCTATTACTTGTTTTTACGTTTGACTTTTTGTAATCATATGCAATATTGACAGTATCATTTGAAGTATCACATATGAAATATTGCAAACAGAAATAAAAGGATTATAGATTCTGATTATAATGCCTCCGACTACTATAAGTACTCTTTCTCCTCTCTTAGCATTGAACCTTGATATAAACTCCCTGGCTACGTTTTCACCCTGCTCAACTTCAGTCAGTCCAAACGGGCAGTTGTAGGTTTGCAGGATTACTCTTCATTGCTCTCTGTGTTTTTAGCTATAATTTGTCTTCTTCTTTTACTCGTAAATACTAGTGAATACATTTAACAATGACTAGAATACATTTAGAATAGTACCCGAAAGACAATATAATGATAAGAATTTATATATTATTGTACGAGTACTTTTAAAATACAATTTATAGATAAATTGAAAAATTCGGTAGATAATGATGGAAAACTACGTACTTATGCAGTGTTTAAAACAAAATTTTGTAGTGAACTTTATTTAGCAGTAATCAACGATAAAGATATTAGAGCTTGTTTTATAAAGTTATGGATAAGTACAAATGTATGTTCTCACAAATTACAAATAGAAACCGGGAGATATAAAAAAATCAAGTCCGATAGAATTTTTTGCGAGGCATGCAACTCAGATGATGTTGAAGACGAGCTACATTTTGTTACTGTTTGCAATGCTTTTACTAGTCAACGCAGCATTTTATATAATGAAACAAAATATAAGAATTTAAACATTGAAAAAAATGTCTGAAATAAGCAATTCATTTGGTTAAAGGGACTCCACTGAGGCTTTTTGACATGATGGGACTGAAAATATTTTTTCCAGATAAATGTAACATTTGATATGGGTTTAGACCACTAATCTTTGTGCAAAATTTCTGATCATTCGAGCACTTCGTTCTTCCAGAATAATTATTCAAGTTGTAAAAACATGACCCAAAAATGAAAATATATAGCAATATATATAATCGGTATATTTTATATTTTATAAGTCATTTTCGTATTTTTCAATGTAAGCGAAAGGAAGATATAAGAATTTGTGTATATAAATTATGCAAATAAAAACCGAATAAATCATCATTATGATTATTTTTTATAATAAATATAAGTAATTTCTAATAATATACGTCTACAAACTGCAATTTTATTGTAAAAGTCTATTAAAAGGTTACAATTAATATTTTAAAAGTCACTTTCGCTCACTTTCGCTCACTTTCATCAAAAATCTCACTTTCGTATTTAGGCAAACCCCTAAATTTACAGGTACATTCAAATTTACCTGTATATCACTAAATTTACCTGTAACAAAATATACTCAGATTTACAATTTAACATTACCCTGTGACGAAGTTTGTAGAGCACTTTCGTTTTTATTAGATAACAGTTATGGTCCCCAAGTAAAAGAAAGTTTGTTTCCTAAACGAGAAAACATTGGGCGGAACTAAATGAAATGGAATTTTGAAAGGGAAGTAGAGGTTATAAAGTCAGCATATCACAGATAAGACGCCAAAATACAAATTTAAAAAGGAGACAAAATATCCTAAGGGTGGTTATAGAGTATTTAAGTAGGATTACTGTTCAAAACCACCTTAGTTGATAATGGTCAAATAGACTAAACTATTTATTCCACAAACATGTACACACAACAATAATGTCGTGCTAAACAAAGAATGTCAGACGTTTCACTCCCAAGACATTTCGCTATTGAGACGTTTCACTCCCAAGACGGTTCACACCTAGACGTTTCACTCCCAATTTGTCAATTGTGTGGACGTTTCACTCCCATTTTTTTAGATATTTTTTAGGAAAGTTAACAAATTTATTTCCATTTTTAATAGCCATATCAGGATTGGTGTGAACCGTCTTGGTGTGAACCGTCTCAATAGTGAAACGTCTGTCTACCCTAAACAATCTTCAATGATCGAAAAAATAACATCTTTGGCTATATGTAGCTTGCGAGAGAGAGCCTGGACCACGGAATTTGACACCAATGAATGCGAAGTACTTAGAATCTCTTGTACGAGACATCCTAAAGTTTCCCTATTCGTTATACATTACAATACCGTGGTGACCATGTCCAGCATATGAATAATGTAACCTCTAAAGTTAGACAACTCCATCCATAAAATTCTAAAATATACATAAAAACGTCAAATAAAAAGAATAAGGAGGCCATTTTTTGCACTCTTGGCAGAAACATATATAATGTAAAATACACGTGCACCAAGAAATATGCTTTAATATGATACTCGGCCAAAGTAAAAATAGTTACCGATAACTTGCATATGTTATTTCTTAGTTTTTGATACATATACAAATGTTAGCAATGCTTACATAACAATGACATAAAAATTCATTTTTTGTAAACATAGAAATAAGATTATAAGCATATTGATATTGATGTCTCTTCAAAGAAGGACAACTATTTTACAGTATTTATTTAAGTGTCCCTATTACTTGTTTTTACGTTTGACTTTTTGTAATCATATGCAATATTGACAGTATCATTTGAAGAATCACATATGAAATATTGCAACCAGAAATAAAAGGATTATAGATTCTGATTATAATGCCTCCGACTACTATAAGTACTCTTTCTCCTCTCTTAGCATTGAACCTTGATATAAACTCCCTAGCTACGTTTTCACCCTGCTCAACTTCAGTCAGTCCGAACGGGCAGTTGTAGGTTTGCAGGATTACTCTTCATTGCTCTCTGTGTTTTAGCTATAATTTGTCTTCTTCTTTTACTCGTAAATACTAGTGAATACATTTAACAATGACTAGAATACATTTAGAATAGTACCCGAAAGACAATATAATGATAAGAATTTATATATTATTGTACGAGTACTTTTAAAATACAATTTATAGATAAATTGAAAAATTCGGTAGATAATGATGGAAAACTACGTACTTATGCAGTGTTTAAAACAAAATTTTGTAGTGAACTTTATTTAGCAGTAATCAACGCTAAAGATTATTAGATTATTAGAGCTTGTTTTATAAAGCTATGGATAAGTACAAATGTACGTTCTCACAAATTACAAATAGAAATCGGGAGATATAAAAAATCAAGTCCGATAGAAATTTTTGCGAGGCATGCAACTCAGATGATGTTGAAGACGAGCTACATTTTGTTACTGCTTGCAATGCTTTTACTAGTCAACGCAGCCATGGCAGCATTATATATAATGAAACAAAATATAAGAATTTAAACATTGAACAAATGTCTGAAATAAGCAATTCATTTGGTTAAAGGGACTCCACTGAGGCTTTTTGACATGATGGGACTGAAAATATTTTTTCCAGATAAATGTAACATTTGATATGGGTTTAGACCACTAATCTTTGTGCAAAATTTCTGATCATTATTTATATAAGAAATTCAAATGTTATGTTTTTAGGCTTTTAAACCTCAGTGGAGTCCCTTTAAATAATGAGCAACGAAGCTGAAATAATTATAAAACAATTTGAATATTTTATTTTTACTTGTTATAAACTCAGAAATAATACTGAAAAAACATAAATTGATTTAACTTAGTATTTTTGATGGACATTGTCACTTACATGTCATTTAATAGGTGTTGTCATTTAATATGACCCTTTATTGGAATAAGATAATATATAATATATGTCCAAGTCAAGTCAAGTAAATTTTATTTATAAGTCGGATAATTTAAAAGAAATACAAATCTATTTTAAGTAAGTAAATTGTAATAAAATAAAATAAAAATATTGGTACTACTAGTGGAGACCGCTAGTAGTACCTGAGAGCCAGTCATGCAACTGACAATTTAGTACTTTTTAACCTTCATGGTTGTATATTTTCACAACGTGTTTTTATTACGTGTAACAAGTTGAAAACGAGGCATTCAACAAGAAGAGAACGTTGGAAAATTTGGTTTCTTTCTACAAAAATTTGAAAGATAAAACGAGGATATTTATCTAGTTTTTGTCTGTAAGTTCTCAGTAATGGCATCCTAAATTTGATTGCCTAAATTTATAGTCCAACTAATTGTACTGCGTGAAACGATATTGTACTATTTTCTTGTCTGGGCAGTATCTCGCCTCTACTATAGTCCAATAGATTAGACGTTACAGGCTTGTTATAGTTTTATGTTGGTCAAGCCTGACGTCTAATAGTTATTGCTCAAAAACGCGTAGCATTTTAAAAAATTTAAAAAAAATGTTCTGTTGACTTTGCCTTTCAAGCTTTATTCAAAAGCTTATCTCTGTTCTTCCAAATGCATGGTCTATCATTAACAAAAACTTTCAAACAATGTACTTATCAATTAAAAATAAAATATACATATCAGTCTATTTCGCTCATCGGGCCATACTGGTTAAGTAAAGCGTTTTAACAGATTGATTCCAATTTTTTGAACGGAAAAATATATTCGAACACACTGACGGTGCATGGGCAATTATTTCGTTGAAAAAATATTCCGTTAGAAACTTGGACTCATTTAAACGCTTGCATTTGAATTAGCCAATCAGATTTCGCGCACTGTATGGCCGGCCATTTGTATATTGGCTGTATAAGGAATTTAATTAAATGAGAGGATTTAATCATGACTTTTCGGATGTGACAGTTCAATAATTTTGTTAAAAGGTATTCTTTTTTAGTTTTGTTCATAAATAGGTCAAAATTAATGTGAATACACGCTGTTTTAATTGTTTAAATTCATTAGATCTAAATCGATGTCTAATGTCAATTTTTTTGCTACACGATTTTGCAAAGATCTGTTAAGACCTAACGTAACATGGAAAATGAAAAATGTAAAATATCAGATTAATGAATGATAAATATGAAATAGGTTACGTATAGGTCTTATAATTAGGACTAGCCTCTACTAAAGCGAGATTCTGCCCAAGAATGAAAATATTTCACAATCAAGCTATGTCACATCAAATTAATACGGGGAAGTCAAAGACAGGGCCCGCGAAGCGGGTCCGGTCTTTGGCTTGCCCGGCTATAGACTACATGTCTACATGTATATTTAAAAGAAAATCAAATAAAAAACAATTAAAAAATATATAGAATTCTATACCTATCAATGAAATTTTCAGTGTCAGTTCTAGTCGGGCGCCGCCATTTACAATGTAATTCAATGATAATAGGCGGGGTATTCCGATTACGGAACAAATCTCAACTTTTCGGATAAATGATAATCGTCGAGTATTCCGAGTGAAAACGGAAGCGGTGCATGTAATACCGAATGACACCTTTAAAACGAAAAAATGAAAGGAATTTTTAATTACTTCCCCGTTCATAGGCTTCGCCTAATTTCATATTATGAAAAAGGCAAAGCCTGGAAGCGAGCTCGATTTTTTTTTACCGTAAGATAGTTTAAAATAAACGTTCATTTTTATTTTACATTTTCAGTTTTAAAATTGTCATTCGGTATTTTATACACTGCTTCCTTTTATTCTGGTTCCTCCTTTCTATATAGACTGTACTTTGACACAGCTGCTTTAATTTATTTTACTTCACATTCAAGAATTAAATCAAAAAGTTCCTATATAAGTGCGCAGGACACCAGTCTATGCTTCCGTTTTCAATCAGAGTACATTGGCTTTTATCGTTATCTTGTAATTTTAAAAAATTGCGATGTGTCCAATTTGGTACTTCGGACGAAAGTTTTCAAAACCATCACTTAGGAGGTACTCGCGTTACCGTAAAGCTCGCTTTGCGAGCAGGCCCTTTTTTATATTATATATAAATTTTATATATCGATGTTAATCACTAGATTATGAATAAGTAACGATTCGCCACAATAACGATTCGCCACAGCAAAATAACATTTACAAGGAAGTAATTAAATGTTGAAATAGATATTGAATTAAACATATACATATATGACAATATGTTTATTGATAAATATTTGTCAATTATATATATACTTAGCTAAAGAGACTTCAGCGAACAGGTTTTATAGTACTGCTTGACCTGTTCCCTGAAGCCAGTCTCGTATCGAAAGTCAACCAGAACAGTGACATATTTATGTCATGCTGTAATTCAATAAATATGCATGATCTGGACAAAAGTTATTTTAACACTGGTAGTTAGATATATTTTTTTTCCGTTTTAAAAGTGTCATTCAGTATTTCATGCACCGCTTCCGTTTTCACTCGGAACACTCGACGTTTATCATTTATCTGAAAAGTTGAGATTTGTTCCGTTATCTGATTACACCGTCTTTTATCATTGAGTTACATTGTAAATGGCGGCGCCTAACTAGAACTGACACTGAAAATTCAATTGATAGGTGTAGAATTCTATATATTTTTTAATTGTTTTTTAGTTGATTTTCTTTTAAATATACACGTGTAGTCTATAGCCAGGCAAGCCAAAACCCGGGCCAGCTTTGCGGGCCCTGACTTTGACTGTGCCGTATTAAAATTATCCTTGCTTTGTAACTCAAAATTTATTTTTTCAACAAACAAGAACATTTAGAAAATGATGATTGTTTCAGACATACGCACACATTTAATGGACTATTATTGCTTTTTGCAGAAATTTGTAAAATGTTGTTCTGTTTTACGTAAAAATCTAGAGATTTAAAATATTTTCCACAAAAACTTTGTTGTATAGGTGTATGAATAAAAAATGTCAATTCTGACCATATTTAACACTGGTCACATAAAAATATCCATTACCGTGAAATAAGTGATGACGCGGAATTAGTGATTTTAAGTATAATTTGTAAAAAAACATGTGTTCATTGCGATAATTGATTAAAGAACATTTAACAAGTGTTTAAGTATGTTGGTAATATAATTGTGCTAATGTCATGTAGCAAAGAGACTGTTGATAACGGCACTAAACTTTCAGGTAAATCACTCAACTGTAACTGTATTTTCAGGTATAAATTAAGCCTAGTATGGCACCAAACAATGTGTTGCCAATATGGGGCAACGAGAAGACAATGAACCTGAATCCTCTTATATTAACAAACATCCAGTCATCGCCATATTTCAAACAGAACCTTTACGAGTTAAAGACATACCATGAAGTGATAGATGAAATATATTATAAAGTAAGTCCAGATAGCTTAAGCTAGATGCAGATAGCGCGATAGATCAGTTGGTTAGACCAGTGACTGTCACTCCTGAGGTTCCGGGTTCGATCCTGGGTAACACCCTTTGGATTTTTCAGAGACACTATCAGTGTTTCCCACCAATCTAGAGGTCTACTGGTAAAAACCAGGTAATTTTTTCATTAAGGGAAAAAGGGAAATAAGGGACTTTTCAAAAAGGGGGATTTCCCTTGTATCTCATAGCTGTCTCCAGTGTCTGCTGAGGTAAGGACCCTACTGGAAATAAGTGCTTGCACTTTCGTAGGCTATCCTTGACTGTCCGGTCTAAAGAAAATCAATCAGAAGTTTAATGTGCTTTCATAAAAATCTGCATATAAATGTAACAAAATCATGACATTGTTGTAAATATTGTCATTTAATGAAAAGATTGATCTTAATTAGCTGACTAATTAGCGGTCACTGGTCATGTTGAGCAAAAGTCTCTTAATACATTAAAGATATAGAGAGAAAATGATCGGGGAAATTTAAAGTGTTCGCATAAGCAAAAAGTCGCTTAATACATGTTGTCGCATGGGCAAGTTAGACTGTATGTCATGATTATTAAAGATGTATAAATTTTATTTAAAAGCTTATTCATAACTTATTAATATTAACACAAGTTATTTAAATATCTTTTATAATGTAAAAAAGAAATTTTCATGTTTTTTTTCTAGGTCACACATTTAGAACCATGGGAGAAAGGCAGTAGAAAAACTGCGGGTCAGACAGGAATGTGTGGTGGGGTAAGTCTGTATGTAGTTTTTTACTTTGCCTTTGTCTATTATTAAAACTTGACATATGTGCCATTGATAAGTTTCGTTGAGTACAAAATTATAAATGATTGACTTGCAAATTATAATGTGAAAGTAGTGTTGTCCAGGTCAATTTATAGCAGGTAGCAATATTTGGAAACCTTGAGTACAGCAAAACATTTCTTCTTTCCACAAACAGTGCAACCAGTATTATGTAAATAATATTTTTGTTTCTATATTTATTATTTAGAAAAAAAATGCATAAAAGAGCAATGTATGTTGGTGGGTTTTAGTCCCCTAACGGTTTAACTGGAGGGGACTTTAGGTTTATATTCTGTCTATCTGTTCATTTGTCCGTCTGCCGGTGTGGTTGGTTTATAAATCTAATGTTTTATTTTACAGGTGCAGGAGGTATATAAATCTAATGTTTTATTTTACAGGTACGAGGTGTTGGTGCAGGAGGTATATAAAATCTAATGTTTTATTTTACAGGTACGAGTGTTGGTGCAGGAGGTATATAAATCTAATGTTTCATTTTTACAGGTACGAGGTGTTGGTGCAGGAGGTATATAAATCTAATGTTTTATTTTACAGGTACGAGGTGTTGGTGCAGGAGGTATATAAATCTAATGTTTTATTTTACAGGTACGAGGTGTTGGTGCGGGAGGTATATAAATCTAATTTTTATTTTACAGGTACGAGGTGTTGGTGCGGGAGGTATAGTGTCCAGTGCTTACTGTCTCCTCTACAAACTCTTTACTTTGAGACTGACAAGAAAACAAGTGATGGGGTTATTAGATCATTCCGACTCGCCATATATACGTGGTCTTGGGTTTATGTACATCAGGTAAGTGAACTGTAGGCACAGGTATGTACATGAAGTTTCAAATTGATAAAAAATGGCTTTGAAAAAATCTTTTTGGAATAAGTCCAGACTATTTACGTTTGTCATAAGGGGTTGGTTCATATTTAAGAAACGTGCTGTGCCGAAGAACCATAATTCCATTTTGTATAATTTAAGAGTTATTGCCCTTTCCATGATTTTTCACGTTATATAACAGGAGGCCTATAAAGACCTCTTCCCACTTGTAATTTTCTTGACAATAATGCACTTTTCCCAAAAATCTGAACTTAACCAGCTTTTTTACATCCCAAATTAGCAATTTTCCATACATCAAGAGGCCTCTTCCCAATTAAGTTTAAAAAAACCACTGCGCTTGTAATTTTATCATACATTTATATTTTCTTGAGCATAGTTTGAAAAGTATCAGAGCTGCACTTTAATGAAAGTCCTTAGTCTGAAATCACTCTGAAGACAAAAACTGACACAATTTCATATTTTAAAAATGGTCTATCTTTGTTTTTCTTAAAATACCTCAGAAGAATGTGTTTTAATATTTAAAGTCTACAGTATTTGACTAAAAGATAAAAATGTTGAAACGGTCTTATTATATACTCTTAAGTTAGTCCTAAAGTTGGTTTTATGTCCTAAGACTTCAGATACACTAAGGATTTTCTATGAAACTCAGCCCAGAGGTATAATCTTGAAAATTTATTGATAGATTGTACAGAGGAGAAAGGTATTGCTATAGTTCTGCCTGCCTAGCTAAATAGAAAGAGCATCTTATAAATAATCTCCGGGTCAGTGGTTCATTCCTGCGTACAATGCTAATGTATATGACAATATGTGGCAATGTTAAAATGCAAAACATTAGCTTATAACAGCTGTGGTTTATGATTGATATATTTTACATGTATGGAAGATTCCCAGCAAGCTGTGGTTTACAATTGTTATATTTTACATGCATTGAAGATACCCAGGAAGCTGTGGTTTATGAAAGATTGATATATTTTACATGTACGGAAGACACCCTGGAAGCTGTGGTTTATGAAAGATTGATATATTTTACATGTATGGAAGATAGCCAGAAAGCTGTGGTTTACAATTGATATATTTTACATGTAAGGAAGATACCCAGCAAGTGAGTGAATCTTAGTCAGGTTTCTATTCAAGCACTTGCAGAAAATTGGATGCATTTGTTAATGTTGTTCCAATAATAATGCTTGGAGGCGCTTTCACATTAAATGCCCTTGTTCCAAAACACAATCGCCCCCCACCTTAAGCTTAACATGATTCAAGGGGTTATAGCAACATACTGTTGACAATGTTATAATAAATGTGACACTGTTTCAGATATACACAGGATCCGAAGGAATTATGGGACTGGTTTGAACCGTATCTTGACGATGAAGAGGTATGTTATATCTACACACAATACACATGCAGTACACATACAGTACACATGAAGTACACATGCAGTACACATGAAGTACACATGAAGTACACATACAGTACACATGAAGTACACACACAATACACATGCAGTACACATATAATACACATGCAGTACACACACAATACACATGAAGTACACACACAATACACATGCAGTACACATACAATACACATACAGTACACATGCTGTACACATACAGTACACATACAATACACATGAAGTATACATACAGTACACATACAGTACACACAACACATACAATACACATGAAGTACACATACAATACACATGACGTACACACACACAATACACATGCAGTACACATACAGTACACATACAGTACACATGAAGTACACATACAGTACACATGAAGTACACATACAATACACATGAAGTACACATACAGTACACACACAATACACATGCAGTACACAGAATAAACATACAGTACACATGAAGTAAACACATTTACAAACCAAATACACACTCCTGTCACTAATAAATAAAAAAAACACATTAAAGAGCTCTGACGTGGAATGTGAATTTTTGCTGTCAGAGACTGTATCTATGTTGTGGTGAGTATAGATCAAGGTGTTTTTCTATTTTCCCCTTTTTCTCTGTCCTCAACTCTGCCTATCTCCTCTTGTCAATTCTTCTATACTGTTGAAAGTTGAGTAAAATCAGTGATTTAGATGAAAGTTATAAATTGAATCTTTTCAAGAACACTTACATATTGTATTTTGTTTAAATGATGATATATGTGTTTATTTGTTAATGATAAGATATATATTTTCTTAAAAAGTTTATACTCAAACTTGTACATATGATATATTATTATATGATTTTATTATATTGAACATAATGCATTTACTTTTAATGACCTTTAAAATGAATAAGAGTAGTATTCGTTGTTAATTAAAATAATAATTACACGAGATTTTATAATTTCATAAGGCATTACTAGTGTTTATGTCTAGCTATTTGTATTCTAGCTTTAGAATCATAATGCTTTAGACAAAAAGTAAGACTATCTTCTCAATCTTCAGGGATGAATATTGTAGATCTATGTACAAGTTTGATGTATTTTTTCTTGTAAACAAATGAACAAAATTCTTTCTTCTATTATCTCCCTTTATTTCCACGATTGTAACATATTTCACCATATCTTATTTGTGGTATCTTGTTCTGCAGGGTTTGCTCTAGTGTTCACCAGTGGTCAAGTACGTACGGACGCACGTGGCAGCACGAGCCCTGCCTCAATAAGAGGTTATATATCTGTTTGAACCTTATATCCTGGCATACAGGGCCGGGTATTTGTAAATACATGTATACAGTCAGGGTTTTAATTTCATCATGAAGTTGTACTATTATGTCGGGGGTTATTTTTAACAAGCCTGTTATAAACTTAAACTCAGCAGGTTTAACTTCAAGATCCTGTTACACAATATTTTATGGTTTTATATCATAAATATGATGCTCAATTTAAAATTTATCAATTTTGTAAGTTCCAAAAAGCATTATTTATAAAGATATTACCGAATTTAAACATTTCATGTAAATAAAGGGAGGTAATAAAGAAATTTATTTTCTATAAAGTCTAAGTCAAATTTTTCAATTAGAAATGTATGCATATATTTTTATGATTACATATTATATGTACAAATATTTGCTGTACATATTTTACATATTCTTCAAAGTTTGAAAATTGTTTTATAAGCATAATTATATACATATATATAATTTCACTTAAGTGTGGTATACAACCTTAATTACAACCTGCAGGATCTTTAACAGGTTGCCTATATGAGTTTTTAGAAACATTTATTCACACTTCAGAAAGTTCCAGCAAACAGTCCCAATTTATCAGAAAATTAAAACATGAATAAATTGTCTTTTCTTCTATTTAATTATATTTTCACTCTCTAAAGATGATTTTGACATGTTTTTTTACGTAAATATGGGCAACCAAGTAATGTAGTTTTCTTGTTCTGTATTTATGTTAAAACGTTATTAATTTATGTCTGATTTTGGTGAAGCAGAACTATATAAACGTCACGATTAACAAATGAAAAGTGGCATTACAAACGTGTAGTATAACTTCATATATACAAATACAGTGTTTCTTTAAAGGCATACTGTGTTTTAATGTTAATTGGTTAATTAAAAAGTAATGTTAAATTGTTTAATGCCATAGTTCAACTAGTCTAGGAAGTATGTACATATTAACCAGTGGTTTCCATAGTTTGGTTTGAAAATTAAAATAACAGATTGTTTACATTTATTGTTTTTATTATTTTCTTTATTCACAGGCCTCTAAAGAAAGAAAGTTTTGAAGTCTTTTAATGTTAACCCACGGGGAGCTAGAGCAAATCCCTTTAGTGATATTTACGCTGCATTTAAATTTGACTTTTCCTTTTAAGAAGTAAACAGTGTTTGTTTTTTTATTCAAACAGGAAGTAGATGTGAAAGCTGGCGGAGGTCATGTGATCACAATTGGTGAGATGGTGAGACAATGGCTTGTCAAGTTAGAATGGTACTCCACTTTATTTCCACGAATTCCCGTCCCCGTGCAGAAGGATTTGGACGTAAAGTTGAAGGGGCGAATGGCGGAAAAACTCCAGCAACAGAGAGAGGAAGCTCCGAGGCATATAGCAGATGACGAGGTTAATTTTGGCGAGGCAGAAAAATATGCATCAAATAAAATGACTAGAAGAAGGTACATTCATTATTATAACAACATTTCATATAACTTGTATTGTGTTTTGTTTGCCGCTCAACTCCCCGGCTGAATTCAGATGTTTTGTTTACATGATATATTTATACAATGTTGACATTCTGAGAGTACTTTTTAAAACTGGGGCATGTCAAGAAAAATTCTCACACTGTAAATTGAAACAAACAAAAAAATGTGTAGATTATTTCGAGATGAAGTTAACAGAAAACATGACTTGTTTTGATTGATGTGTTTCAGTCCAAGTAACAGCTGTGAATACAGGGGAAACTGATAAAATCTTCTTTTAACATCCATTGATTGTAAAACATAAGGACAAGCTATATTTATAATTTTCAGGTCTCCAACTCCCCCATATAGATCTCGTGCTCGTTCACCCCCTCCCCGCAGATCTCCACCCCGTCGGTCTCCCATCAGACACAGATCACCACATCGACGTTCACCATATAGAAGATCTCCACAAAGGCATAGACATTCTCCTCCCAGGTATGTTTGTTTATTAATTTTTTAAGCCACTTTGGCAATGGTACAAAATTAATGTTATTTAGATCTGTGCATTGCCAGTTTAAGGTCGACTATTCACAGAATGTGAAGAGAGATGTTGTACAGGCATCAACCTCAATCTATGGTTAATATTTTTGCCTGCAAGTTATTTTCTTCAAAGCTCCTGAAGGTAATTGATTGAAACGTCACACACTTATTCGAGAGCATAAATGGGAGGATTGCACTGTGAAATGCACGATATATATATATTTTTTTTCAAATTGGTGCAGTTATCAATATATTGCAGAAGCATATTAATTAATTAAGCGCACTATCCTTTCAAACTTGAACTCGAAGAATGTCAGCTTTTGCAAGAATAAGGTAATGATGAACTTTAATCGCTAGTGAGATCATAATTCAGAAACCTGTTAAAAAAGTTTTCATTCAAGTCTCTTGTGATGTAAGAGAATTTTTATTTTTGCCACATGTCCTTTGTCATCAAAGTTTATGTTTGACTTACCTTTTTGTTTTGATTAATTGTTCATGAATTGCGGTAGTTATCAACTGTATCAATTAACGGTGAGATCTGTATTGCCTGGCGGTGTATTGCCATGCGGCACTTTCATAAAGTAATAAAGTATAAACCAAATTGATTTAATCAAACAATTAATTGAACAATTTATTTATGAATTTTTACACCTATATATTTTTGATGATTATTTTTGGTCTCTTAAGCATTGGTAAATAATTGTTGTTAATGATTTTTGTCACTTGGGCAATGGTTATATAATGTTCATTTCTACTTAACATTTAAACTTACATTAAATGTTTTAGGTATAGAAGGTCACGGTCAAGGTCACCTAAAAGGTCAAGACATGATGTCAGAGGTCAGTCACCTTTTGATTACACAAAAGAGTTGCAGAAAGAGAAGGAAAGACAAAATAGAGAGCGTGGAAGAAGCCACAAGTCACGGTCAAGGTCAAGAGAGCGTAAGAAGAGGTCAAGGTCACGAGAAAGGTCAAAGAAACATAGGTCAAGGTCAAGAGAAAGGGCAGAGAAAAGGAGGTCAAAGGAAAAGACATCAAGCAAGCATAAGTCAAGATCACGATCTAGAGACAAAAAAAAACATAGAAAAAGGTCAAGGTCGCAGAGTTTTGATAGAAATGGCTTTTGATTGGTTGTTGTGTGATCATGTGACATACATTATGTGTTATTTACATTTCATATTGTATAGGGGTGCAATTTATAAAGAATTTGTTGATAAGACTGATAAGCTTGAAGTCTTGTCTCACAATACGTCTTGAGATTTTTTTTATGTTGAAAGAAATTTGCAACCATATATTTCATTTTCATTTATCCTTGATGTTCATTTAAAGAAATCAAGTAAAGTTTATTTTATAATGAAAGTCAGAGGATTGGCAGATGTTATTATATAATATTGCCAGTATTAGGAACTAAATTTTATTTGAAAGTTTTTATCAAGATGTTGCCAAACAATATTGGTTTTTGTACATAATTTTAATTTTGACTTTAATTCTTTTGATAAAGAAATTTGCGTTTTTCTCTGTTAACTAATAAACCCAAATCAACACAATCAGGTTTATCCCTTTTGATTATTTTACCTGGAAGATTAGATTGCAGGAGATTTTGGTTAAGAGTATTTCTGGACAAATTCCTCACAGTTATTACCTCCCTTGGCAGAATTGTAATCACCACCTTCACATACGTCACATGATGATGAAAGTCACATGACTTAACATCCAAAATTCAACCATTGCTTAGAAAATCTAACGTCATTTTTCTCTTTTTGTTTTATTTTTAACTTTTCGTACCTATGTTTGTTCTAGTTTTATCAAAAAAATTATCAAAAGTATACAAAATAATGAAATATAAATTCAAAAGTTAAAAAATATTTTAAACGAAATATTGTTAAAAATGTGTGTGGTGGCATAGATGTCTCTACAAATAAAGGGAGATCACTGTGTAGGAGATTAGGATTTTGATAGCTTATTAAGAATCTATTTTCAAAGCAGCTTTCCTAATTAACAAGCGTTAATCTTTATTTTTACTAAAATCCAGTGATATATGAAAATATAAATTTTTTGACAGAAAGTCTGTGATGTGAATCTCTTGCTGTATTAATACATGCATCAGAGGTTTGCCTCAACCGGTCAAACAACGACATTGATTTGACGTAAATCTCCACTAACTTCCTAAAACCATTCTCACATCCACTTCTCAAACTGAGCAAGGTAAACTGGCTGGCATTTTAAAGCAGCATGCCTCCAGATTCATGTTAGTTTTCATGAAAAGTTTGGAAATGTATTTAAAAGTAAAATATTGTGAGGCAAACAAATAAAGTAATTTATATATAGCAATCAACACTTACAAAGCAAGAAAATGACCAAAAAGTGGTTTGCAAAAACAACACTTAATGCATTAGTAACGCAGTAGAAATTTGGTAATAAAATACTGCAAAATCGGTCTTCACCCGCTAATAACATGTAAAATATAAATTGGATCTTCAATATTTTTTTCCTTTCTTAAAAGTTTAGAACATTTTTCTCGAAATTGATTTTCTTGAAATATCTTGGCTCATCTGGAGGCGTGCAGCTTTAAAATAAACTTTAGCTTTGTTGCAGAATATGTTTTATTTTGTAATTGTTATATGTATTTAGCTGTACCATGTACTAGCAAAATATCTTATTTTTAGCTCACCTGTCACAAAGTGACAAGGTGTGCTTTTGAGATCACAATTAGTCCGTAAACTTAGAACAACATCTCCTAACAAACCGCCAAGCCAATTTCTTCCAAATTATAATTTAAACAATTTTCTTTTAAAAAACCAAAAGAATTAGAACTTAGATATTGAGAATGAAACGTCTTCTAATGAGTATATACCAAATTTGTTCAAATAAAAGTCCTGGGGTTAAAAAATTTGGCCCCAACCAAGGGGGTCATTGATTTTCCTTATAAGTACACTTCTTTAGGAACTGTTGATTTTTCCTTAGCAATAGCAACCAGTTGTGTTTTTACACTTGCACTATTATAGAAACAAAAATGAACTTTATGATAATAGTTTAAGATTTAGATTTGATATCTGTTTTTGTGGATAGTTTACAATATTACTTGTTCCTTGTCATGGAGAGTTTCTATATTCAGGTGAGCGTTTTCAGGGCCACCATGGCCCTCTTGTTTATTTAATGTAGGAATGCAAGAGCCATTCAAATTGTATGTAATAGTGAAACTGATTACACATTACTGTAGAAGAGTTTAAATGTACTCTCATGTTAGCATTATTATTATTATTCTTTTTTAATAATGTATCATTAAAAGATCAAATTGCACCAATGGTACATACATGTACATCAAACTAGATGACTAATACATATCTTGTATACAGATATACCATGTCTTTTTATGTTATTGCACTTTTATCCAGGTATTATTTTCAAATGTTGCAATGTTTTATTTTGTAAACATTCATCAACTATTGTAATTCTGAATCTGCGACACTCACCCCCCTGCCCCAGGATATCTGCCCCCACCAGTCTGATAATGTAACCGTCAACATCCCCTTCAGGTGAAATGCAAAGGTGGACATACATACACCCTCAATTGGCCCATATTGAAAACGATTTTGGATCTGTGCTAAATATGTTACATGCAATTTTAAGTTTTCTTATATCACCAGTGAAATATTATCAATATCATTATATACACCTCATTCTCTCTCTGTTTATGTATTTTAATTCAGTAAATCATGATTCTATAAAAAAATATAAGCTCTTCCTTTGTTTTAAAGATATACATTGCTTAGCTTTATGGATGTTTGACACACATTCTCTTTGATAATACAAAAATAAATATGTGTTGTCTTAACACAATGTTATGTTATGGGGGACACAATATGAATATATTGTGACATAAAAAACAAACTTACAGTGTTTTAAATAAAGGACCAACTTTATTTGAACGTAATATGTAGTAAATTCACATTCCTGTACATATTTATATCAAATTAGGAATATTCAGTAAGAATTTCATGGATTTCAATAAATTTCTGCTATTTTAGTCAAAGATGAACAGAGTGTATCTTTATATACTGTATTTGTCTCCCTTTAACTGTCATATGTATTACAAATGTTTCATGAAATCTGAAGTTCTACTGTGGGTTTGCACTACTATATTTTAGCAGTCTTAAAACACATAATAGAGCTTGGTTTTACTTGGGTCAGGAATCATCTTGATAACAAAAATATTTCTGATATATTTGACCCAGATTACAGACATGCTGATTTTTAACTTGGGTTGACCAGTGACCTGATATTTGGGCAGGGCCTTGATCGCCGAGTCACTTGATACTATGACAGGATCACCAAGTCACCTGATATTTGACCCACTTACACATTAGTAATTAAGATAAGGGACACATTTATTAAGTGTAATAATTTAAAGAAGGGACACATTTATTAAGTGTAATAATTTAAAGAAGGGACACATTTATTAAGTGTAATAATTTAAAGAAGGGACACATTTATTAAGTGTAATAATTTAAAGAAGGAACACATTTATTAAGTTTAATAAAGTGCAATAATTAAGAAGGGACACGTTTACTAAGTGTAGTATTAACTCTTAAGCTGCATAATTTTATTATGAATTTGCATTGTTTTAAACTTTGAAAACAGTCTATTTAGAGTTGAAAGAGATTTCAGTATCAATTTCCAAATACCAGAATGTAATATAGAGTATTGTAAGACCTCACAGAAGTACAGGCTGGCCGGGCCCTATACTCGTGGCAAATTCTTATCATTTTTATTACCAGCAGGTTAACAGTTTAGAAATGCTTCTACAAGTATGATTAAGTCATATAAGGTGACAGTTTGAGGCACCCGTACTAAAGTGAAATAATTAATTTGTGACTAATGGTACTCTTATGACTTAATTTGTCCAATGATTTATATTAGTTTATTAGACGTACTATAATTTGATTTATAAAGCTGAACTTTTTACTTTTAATAGTATTGTTAAGATTAAAAAGGGTAGTTTTTGAAATTCTATTTGTAACTAGTTTTTTTTTTTTTTTTTTTTTTTTTTTTTTTTTTTTTTTTTTTTTTTTTTTTTTTTTTTTTTTTTTTTTTTTTTTTTTTTTTTTTTTTTTTTTTTAAAAAAAAAAAAAAAAAAAAAAAAAAAAAAAAAAAAAAAAAAAAAAAAAAAAAAAAAAAAAAAAAAAAAAAAAAAAAAAAAAAAAAAAAAAAAAAAAAAAAAAAAAAATTTTTATTAAAAATTTTTTTAATTGGCTTTTTTTTTATTTTGTGCCCTAGAGATGTTGTTACACACAGACGAATAATATTTGTTTTATGGTACAAAAATTGTGTAGAAATTAAATTTTGTATTTTATAATATTTTGTTTAGTCTTTATTTGAGCCGTGTAGCTTTATGACATTGTAATCAGTGCACGTGGTTCTGTTCGACTTTTTGCTGTGCTTCCTGAAATAATGTACAAAGGGTCATGTAGCAGTGGTGTGACTTAAATGCCAACATAACAGAAACATACATGACTGTATAGTGATATCATATACTGTTGTATAATTGACCTAATAACTGGAATTTTAGTGTGTTTTAGGTGTCCACCTGGCGTGTTTTAGAGGTGTCCACCTGTATGATATGATTTGAACCTGCTTTACAACATATAACTTGTATATTATTATTAACCATCTAGTAACTTGCATTTGCAACCAAAGACCAAGCAAGGTATTATATAGCACACATAAAGACGGTTCCAAATTCAAAAACAAGGTAAGTATATAGCACAAATATGAACTGTTCCAAATTCAAAACTGCACAAATATGGACTGTTCCAAATTAAAAACTACACAAATATGGACTGTTCCAAATTCAAAACTACACAAATATGGACTGTTCCAAATTCAAAACTGCACAAATATGAACTGTTCCAAATTCAAAACTGCACAAATATGAACTGTTCCAAATTCAAAACTGCACAAATATGAACTGTTCCAAATTCAAAGCAAGATAAGCGCATACCAAATAATGGACTGTTCCAAATTCAAATCAAGGTAAGTGCACACCAAAAAAAAGGCAATATGAAGTAACAATTAGTAAAATGGCTCAAGTCCCGTGTCCGTAAAACTTCGGTAATATCCGTTAATTGTTAAACTGGCGGAAAAAAGTCAAGTGTTACCAATTGTTTCACATGTACGCATCCTTGAACTATTTTTCCGACCGTATAATTGAACAGATTGTTTTAAAGGATAACGAAAGTACACATGATTAAAATACACCTCGTCAAGTTGATAAAGAAATAACAAACTGTATCCCCCACCCCAGGTCAGGATCTATTTTATGCAGGACAGAAATAAATACCGGTACCTTAATCATCACGCTACTAGCTAGGTAGAAATAAATTCCCGTATTCCTCATGTACAGACACTTTTACCCCGGTTAAGAATAAAAAAAAATCTCATTTACCATAAGTCTCACATGTTTAAAAACAAGGTTAATGATTAAAACAGATGCCCCATTTGTGTTAAAATGTTATAAGTTTTACAGGGGTTGTTCAAGCCGTGGGATAAGGTCTGACCCATAAGTTTATTCCACCGCGAAAGCTCGACTGTTTAGGGTAGTCTGTTGAGCGCTATTTTAAGCATGTCATGAATAAATACCCGGTACCTGTTCAAATTCACTCCGTGACGACGTCACTGTTTTATGCATGCCAAAAATAAAACCATTTTTTCCTTCAACGTGAGCGTCACTGTTTCATGCCGGACTGAAGTAAATACCCGTTTACATCCGTGAGAGCGTCACTGTTTCATGCAGGACTGAATTAAATAACAGTTTACATCCGTGAGAGCGTCACTGTTTTATGCATGACTGAAATAAATACCTGTTTCTCGTCACTGTTTCATGTAGGACTGAAATAAATACCTGTTTCCCGTCACTGTTTCATGTAGGACTGAAATAAATACCAGTTTCCCGTCACTGTTTCATGCAGGACTGAAATAAATACATGTTTCCCGTCACTGTTTCATGCAGGACTGAATCTTCAACTTGAGCGTCACTGTTTTATGCAGGACTGAAATAATTACCTGTTTCCCTCCGCGAGAGCGTCACTGTTTCATGCAGGACTGAAAAAATACCTGTTTCCCTTCGTGAGAGCGTCACTGTTTCATGCAGGACTGAAATAAATACCTGTTTCCCGTCACTGTTTCATGCAGGACTGAAATAAATACCTGTTTCCCGTCACTGTTTCATGCAGGACTGAATCTTCAACGTGAGCGTCACTGTGTCATGCAGGACAGAAATTAAATACCTGTTTCCCTCCATGAGAGCGTCGCTGTTTTATGAAGAACAGTGAAATGAATAATGAATATTTTTAGATAAGACAAACGTAAAGCTTATGAAATTCTGTTGGCAGTTCATACGCCGAAAGAAATCTCCAAAAAGTGAAAAACGATGTTAAAGCTGCATGCCTCCAGATGAGTCAAAATATTTCAATAAAATCAACCTTGATAAAAATATACTATGATTTTAAGAAAAGTAATTTACGAACTAATTTATCTGTTATTTGCCATTAATGACTGATTTTACAGAATTTAATACCACATTTCTACTGCGTTTCTAACACAGTAAGGGCTATACATGTATTTGCATATTTTGACCTATGTTTAACAATTTTCGTAGATTTTAAGTGCCGTTTGTAATGGGTTAAGTACTTTCTTTGTTCACTTGACAATATTTTACTTTTTTGATACATTTTTTAAATTAACTCCGAACCTGGAGGCATGCTGCTTTAATTGTTTCCTTAAATCGAAAAATACTTTCAATGAAATACTAAACGATTCCCCTTCCATAATATGCAGAGAATCTCGGTTGCAGGGTTTCTATAAACCTCGTCGTTAAATCGGTTCATTTTCACTCGTGATTCGTGTTTATCAACGTACAAGGAGGGGTAAAGGATAAGTAGATTCTATTTTCAGTAATATCGTTGTTGACTGTCTCCTTATTCTTTATCAATTAAACATATTTTGTTGATTCAATAAAGTTGGAGGAGAGGGAAAGGAGGAGAGTATCATCATTGATAAGATAATTGTCTTGTTTACTACAACTGTAGTCAACTACACACTATACTTCATACGAAATAAAACTCTCTTTTTGCGCATTTGTATTGAAATAACGTCTACTACGAACATATTCGTTTTTGTTGTGTATTCAGGCATATTTGCACAGGCAGTGGTCGATATAAGGCCCCATTCCAAAACAGCCTCATTTTCAATCACACGTTTAACTTCTCAAAAATAATGATTTTGACTTACTTTTTTTTAAAGAATTGAAATGTTACCTGATTATCCACATAAAAAATTTAAATGTCTTATGTATCTATAATCTGGTTTGTTCTCATCCCTCTTAAATGCTGTTTTATTTTTTCCATTTCTAGTCGGGGACCATTTCCCCCCTATTGTCGGAAACTGACCTTGGATAGTTCTCATATTGTCTGTTTAACACACGCACTCCACACACCATCTCTTTGTTTGAATGGACATATGAATATTAGAGAACGTTTCTGCATTGCCCGGTTGTTTCCGTTTTTTCCCGTCTTTTCCAGAGAAATGTCCTGTGCGAAACCAGTTATGTAATCTCTATAAACAACTAAATAAACACGTGTATGAAGGCACGTGATCTTTTTTCACATCATCGTAATAACTTGGCGAGGTATATTATGACTATAAGTCCTAACAAGCGAGAAAATTGTCTCTTATCACGTTTTACAAGTCAAACGTTCTTCAAACGTCCACGTATTCCAAGGCAGTATACATGTAATTATAGTGGATGTACTCGATGTCTTATATATTCACAGAATCAGTGTACAGAATCTTCAAGGGAAAGTGTTTGACATGACTTTCTTATGACAATTGTGGTAGATAACAGTCTGCAGAAACGAATTGTCAAACTTATAGTGGTGTCACAATTCACCATCAACCATTCAGTGATGTCACAAGTCACCATTAACCATTCAGTGGTTTTACAATTCACCACAAACTTTTCAATGGTGTCACAATTCACCATCAACCATTCAGTGGTGTAACAATTCATCATCAACCATTCAGTGGTGTCACAATTCACCATCAACCATTCAGTGATGTCACAATTCACATCAACCATTCAGTGGTGTCACAAGTCATCATCAACCGTTCAGTGGTGTCACAATTCACCATTAACCGTTCAGTGGTGTCACAGTTCACCATCAACCATTCAGTGGTGTCACAATTCACCATCAACCATTCAGTGGTGTCACAATTCACCATCAACCATTCAGTGGTGTCGCAATTCACCATCAACCATTCAGTGGTGTCACAATTCACATCAACCATTCAGTGGTGTCACAATTCACCATCAACCATTCAGTGATGTCACAATTCACATCAACCATTCAGTGGTTTCACAATTCACCACAAACTTTTCAATGGTGCCAAGAGTCACTTTCATCAACTCTACAGTGGGGTCAAAGGTCACGGTCCACATTTCAGAGGTGTCACTGGTCAAGGTCCACATTTCACAGGTATCACATATCACTATCAACCATCCAGTGCTATCAAATTTCAATGGCGCTGCAGTTTATTGTCAACCTTTTCGTGATGTCACAGGTCACTGAAAACCGTTCAGTGGTGTCACAGGTCACTGACAACCGTTCAGTGGTGTCACAGGTCACTGACAACCGTTCAGTGGTGTGACATGTAATATGTTTGTTTGTTTGTTTTGGGTTTTACGTCACATCGACACAGTATAGGTCATATCGCGACGTTCCAGCTTTAATGGTGGAGGAAGAGCTCAGGTGCCCTTCCGTGCATTATTTATGAGTAGAACCACCGACGTTCCATGTAACATGTATGACCACCATCAAGTGGATATAACAATGGCTCTGCAGTTCACTGTCAACCCTTCAGTCGTATCACAGGTCACTGTCAACCGTTTAATGTTGCCAAATGTCACTTTCGACATTTCCGTGGTGTCACTGTCAAGCTTTCAGTGGTTTCACATTTCACTGTAAAATTTTCAGTGGAGCCACGAGTCTTGACTTGACTCTTTTGCTCATAATGTTTGGCAAAACCTTTTAGTATATAGCGTTTCAGGACGAGGTGTTCCGAATGAACGTTACAATTTACTCTTCTTGGAGGAGGTAGGGTTGGGCAGGAACATACATGGGGATTGTGGTCTATCAACATGCCCAGTAAATTGTCCACTCTATACGTTAAAGCCATTTTGCACACGAAATTAATAAATGTGCAACATTTTGGTCAGAAGTATACATTCATTCACCATCAAATAGAACAAGATCGGTTCAAGGATTGCTTGTTGCCTATATAAGCTCATGTCTCGTTCACACTCCCTCTCTCGTGAACCGCAGGAATCCATCTTTAGAATATAAAAATGCCGGTAAGTTTTCCATTGTTAATCTAGCATAATATTGCTATTGTAATATTTATTATTATTCCCTAAAATTTATCTGATACCCGAGATATTTCACAGAATAAAATGCGAACACCTGTTTAATGTTTACTATGTTGATTTTGCCGAAAGTGAAACGTAATTTCAGCCTCGAACCTGCTCACACTATCAAGTTAACAAAATGTCCCCGGCATTTCGGCAATGCTTTTAAACGGACAACGCCTGGGGTAACAGTACTAGTATTTTCCTCAGTATGATATTTTTACTGTTACCCACAAACCCATGTGTTATTTATATTTTAAATTTCGGTCTCTTGTACTTTTAAGCTCCACTACTCGATAAGAATAAGAAGAGCTCTCCTAGTCACCGGGGCGTCGGTGTCGGCGTTACCACTAATGTTAAAAATTGTGTACCAGCTCAAACATTTTTAAAGACCATTGACATATGACTTTGAAACTTTGCAAACTAGCTCACAAAATGAAATATTTTTTTATCTGACATACCTGTTCATAGGCTTGCCTGATTCATATTATTAAATATATTTGTTATATCTTATCATGTTTTAGGGACATTTGACTACACTTGCAGACGACAGCAAAGTTCAGACCTTAACACTACCATCACCGGAGCAGAAGATATTCAACGGCCTTCCATTTCCGCTTATACTTACTCCAAAAGAGTCGAATTTTAAATCAGCAGACGATACTGTATCATGGCTGAAAAAGAACAAGGATCAGATAAAATGTCTTCTTTTAGAGCATGGCGCTATCTTATTCCGAGGATTTCCGGTTCATTCTGCTGAAAAGTTTGACTCCTTCGTGAAGAGCTTTGACTATGAAGCGTTCCCGTATGTTGGCGGCGCAGCGCCACGGCGTGTTATCATTGGTAACGTTTTTACAGCAAATGAAGCCCCACCTGACCAGCTCATTCCATTCCATCATGAAATGGCCCAGGTACCAACATTCCCTTCTACGCTTTTCTTTTATTGTGATGTTCCTCCGCCAGAGGGCGGTCAGACACCATTAGTGTTGTCGAATGAGGTGTATAAAGCAATGTTGCAAAAGAACAAAGGGTTCGTTGAAGAGCTAGAAGAAAAGGGCGTTGTTTACAACCGTGTAATGCCTGATGAGGACGATCCTGCTTCCCCTATTGGTCGTGGTTGGCGTTCGACATACCAGACAACGGACCGGAAAGAGGTAGAGACAAAATGCGCTGAACAAGGTACTTCTTTTGAGTGGCTCCCGAAAAACTGTTTACGCACGCGCACAGCAACACTTCCTGCAATACGCACCGAAAGTCGCACAGGAAAGAAAACATGGTTTAATTCAATTATCGCAGCATATCTGGGTTGGGGTGATGTTAGAAATGATAGGAAGAAAGCGGTCACATATCCGGATGGAAAGTTGATGCATGAAGGCGCCATGGAAACGCTGGAAAATGTGTTTGAGTCCCTCGCAATATATTTTACATGGAAAAAAGACGATATCGTAATGATTGACAACAAACTAGTTCTTCACAGCAGACGAACATTTACACGACCGCGACAAATTCTAGCATGTCTTTGCAAATGAAACAACAATAATAAAACTGTTTCAACAACAATTGACAATATCCGACAATTCAAGTTCTTTATTTGGAGGTGGACTAGACTTCACTGAATGATTGATGGTGACTTGTGTCTCCAAGCGTCATTAACAAGTGTATAAATATATTATGATGAAACACGGTTTTGCTTTTGAATGTGAACAGATTTCATTCTTCCAAATTCTTAAACACTTCTCTTGTCTTTTAATGTTAATGCGATGGTAATTTAATCAGATTATATGGCTGTTGGTCAAAGTGATGCTCATGTTCTTCATAAGAGACGGAAAATAGCGAAGTGTGCCGAGAAGTCACGAAGTTACAACGATTATCTGCACACATAAAACAAAAGGATGATGACGATTTTCACTATGTACGGACCATTTGTTATCAAAATATGTACAGTTTAACTTTTATACTGTTTATGAACATGTGTATTTCAGTATTGTTAATGAACAAATTTATTTCATAATTGTTTATTAATATGTGTGTTTCAGTATTATTTATGAACATAGTTATTTCATCATTGTTTTCGAAAATCCCCCTCAACTCCCCCCCCCCATTAAAACAAACAGTTTATGTTGATCTTCTTCATAATTAAATATTAAATGATGAAATGATGCATTTAACTGACAAATAAATACTATATTATGCCAAATGTGTTTTCTTTTATGCTCGTTACCATTTTTCTCAGCGGAAGCGGTTTGCAATGTGAAAATAACTTTCTTTTTTAAATACATTTTCAAAATTTTCATGATAATTAACATGAATCTGGAGGTATGCTGCTTAAAGGATAATGTTTGTAGCGTGTGAATCAATACGGGTCAGGCGAAAGGATTATTTTAGAGAAACTCACGACGGAACGAGTGAATTTTACGATGTTACGATCTCACGACGGGAGCGGCCCAGGGTGTGATCCGCTTTAATAAAATACACGAGAGCCAATTAAAGTATAAGTTCATTATATACATTGTAGAATTTAAAACATATATTCTACTATAAAGTTATTGGTAAGACTCTGTATTACGCTCGGCGGTGATACAGAAATTCTTTCTGTCGGTTATATTTGTTTGCGTGATACTTGTATTAATTGTAAAAAAAATATGTTTAGGTTTATAGTAAATACTAGTTATTATTAGTATTGCATTGACTCTGTGTATACATGTTGTTATATATTGACAAGAGGTTTTCTATATATGAGCCGCGCCATGTCAAAACCAACATAGTGCGTTTGCGACCAGCATGGGTCTAGACCAGCCTGCGTGTCCGCGCAGTCTGATCAGGATCTATGCTGTTCACATACAAACCCTATTACAAGTAGAGAAACTGATAGCGAACAGCATGGATCCTGTTTGAGGAAGGCGTCGGATGTTCCATCGGACATTATTCAATAAAATACTCGAATAAGTGCCAGCAAGACCAGCTACGAAACAAAGTCATGTGAAAATACAAAGTAAGACAGCGAATCTTCAATACTGTAAGAATTCGAAATACCTCGACGGATCCTATTCCGCTGTAACTAAAGAGAGTCCAAGAATGTGGACTGATGTGGACTGATCGGCCATAAACGCTCTATGATTAAAGGGACTCCGCTGAAGTTTAAAAGGCTAAAACATAACATTTGAATTTCTTACATACATGAGCCGGGGCACTTTAAACAGAAATATATGCAAATATAGTTTAGAAATATACTTTGAAACAAATTTAAAATAGTATTTTTATGCTTTTCTTAGCCCAATTTGAGAAAAGCGTTTAAACGTCTTTCATTTTGTGTCATTTTTTTACAATTTGAATAATTATTATGGAAAAACGAAGTGCGCTAATGATCTTAAATTTTGCACATAGATTAGTGGTCTAAACCTACTTCAAATGGTACATTTATCTGGAAAAAATATTTTTAGTCCCATCATGTCAGTAAACCTCAGTGAAGTCCCTTTAATGTACTCGTCAAAAACCTCGTCACACATTCTATAAACATACTTACGATGTTATATTATCCTGATAGTACCACGTGACATTTATGACCTTAGAAACCTACTATCTAATTAAAAAATAAATATAAATATACATTCATATGTATAATATGGACAATATCAGATCGTCACAGGTCGATGCTGCTCGAGTGCACACGGCGTACACGTGCATATTCTGTCATTATACATCAAACTACAGGGGTTACTGAAGGCCAATAGAAAGTATTTTCATATTTGTGGAGCTATTTTTAGGAGTGAAAAAAAAAATATAACAAAAACAAGGATTTGTGCTTTGAATATTGCCCATAAAAATTTGACTATTACTTCAAGTGTATTTGTTAAAAATTACTTCAAACACTGTTTTTCTACCAAAATCAACAATATTTTTAACTTCTTCTTCTTTATAATATCTTTACATATGATCTATGGCTAAAAATAGCTTCCTCGGGAAATCAGGAAGAAGAAGGCCGTCATCACATCTACAGGAAAGAAATAAGCAGGTCTGAACTTTGAAAATACTAAAACGTTATCATCATCATCATCATATAATAATAATAATAATATTATTATTATAACTATTATTATTATTATTGTCTAAATAAAGGAATCCATAAATAAGACACTGTATTGTTGCAAGAGAAACTGATTTGAGGTAACATGTATATGTATTCAAGTTGTTAGCTTTACAGAGGTGAATAATCAAGTTATACATTGACCAAGAGTGAATTAATATTGAAAGTATCTTCAAAAACTCCCAAGTAAAAGAACTGTTTAACATGGAAAGTCATGACTGTCTTATATCGTTCTTTTTTAAATATATTTAATCATTTGGATAATATATAAGCTCGCTTCGGCAATATCTGAATTGAAAACACCACATTATATGATACAAGGACAAGAAACAACAACTTAAGAATAAAATCAAAGGGCTGCAAGCTCTGTGGTATTTTCTGATCTTTGCAATCTAAATCGTACTGTATATCTGTATGTATTTTCCTGTATAAGTTTATTTTTATATACTACATAATTCATCTTGCATAACTACAGTAGAGTAGCACCAAAAAATCATTTATGTTCATTTTTTATGACAGCCACACTTTATCCTTGCATATCATGGCTACTCCCTTAACAAAGACACTTAAAAAAGATTAAAAAAAAAAATTGCCTCCACTGGGATTTGAACTCCAGCCTCTCACGCACCAGACGAGCGCGTTACCCCTGCACCACGGAGAATAAATATAAATGATGCCTGAGTAAAATCTAGTCATTCTAAAATTAGAACTTCCATTGCATTCCGGGTTTGTAAGCCTTACTAATTTCGAGGTATTTTGTTCAGGATAAACCTGTTGTTAAAAATTGAAGTAAATAATTTAGCGAAAATCTTCTCGCCGAAACAGTCCGACATGTAGAATCTATATATTACACTACTCGGCAGTCAGATTTATTTGTGTAGTATTCGGTAATCAAATAGCATTTCCATTGATTAAAATCAAATTCATCCGCGTAATTTGTGATTGTGCATTTATTGACAATTTTATAAGACAACGCTACTTTTAAACTTTGAATGCGTTGTAATTTGTTGGATACTTGTAACAAAATAAAAATATTTTATTTCTTTCTTTTAAATCACTAGTTTTAAGCTGTTTTGAGAACTACTTGTTGTTAGGTTTGTCGTGAAATTCTGTGTCAGAGATTGAATGCCACCTTTGTATTTACTGACCTTCGGTCAGAAAATACAAAAAGGAATTGTACTAACAAGCCAACACAGGAAGTTTGCGAACAAGTCAACACGGGAAGTTTGGGGTCATGCCAACACGGGAAGTTTGGGAACAAGCCAACACGGGAAGTTTGCGAACTAGTCAACATGGGAAGTTTGCTAACTAGCCAACACAGGAACTTTGGGAACAAGCCAACACAGTAGGTTTGGCAACAAGCCAACACGGGAAGTTTGGGAACAAGCAAGCACGGGAGGTTTGGCAACAAGCCAGCATGGGAAGTAAGAAAATATGCCAACATTGGACAATGATTACAAAATCAAAGTAGCACAAGTTTCAATTAGCCTTTCAAACTGTGATAATTCAGCATAAATTATTTTGCTTGCATAGTGTCTTATAAATGTAGTAAAATTGTTTTCTTCTCTACATAATTGATAATTATCTATACTTGTACGAATTTTTAATTGACCCTGAACTGAAGATTTATGTTTATTTTTGTCTGCGAATTCTAAGAAGCAATTAAATCTTAACAGGAACAGGATATGTTTTTTTTCTATGGTAATTAAAGTTTCCGGAATACAAATTCTCAAGTGCTGCTGGTGTTGACAAGAGAAACCGGATGTAAACTATAAAACATGTACGAATACTTACAGTAAGTTTTGCGTGAGTTTATAACAACAAAGGATCATTAATGAATACGTAGATTTTTTTTCAACTGCGTTCAGTAAATGCATTACGGAATTTAAAAAAGTTTTTAGCGATGTTATTACCACGTCTTATTACGCTGACAAGTATTATATCATGGATTATTTTTCTTACAGTATTTTCCTTCGGAACAACAAATGCTAGAGGTGCGTACCCAACTTTACTTTTATTTTTTGGTAATATTTTGGAAATGTTTTAAAGTCTCACGTCTCGGTACAGATCATATGACAACTTCAACACTTTACCTGGTGGGGAAAAGATATATTCGTAAGAAACCATTGACGTTCTGTACGCAAGTACTAGTCAGAGTGAAATTCATTTTCAAACCTCTCAGAGGAGATTGGCGGGGGAAAGAAACAGAACATGCCCTTAAACTTTAAATAGGAATTAAAAAATGTTACCTACATTATTAACACACTATTTAAGTCACATGTCACTATATAGGCCTTATAAATTACAACAAGTTAAATGTTGATGCTGCACATCAAAGGCGCCGCCAAATGATGTGAACAGTCACAGGTAATGTACAAAATCAGCATTGAAAATTGTTCTTTATTACAGTTGAATATCCGAAGCATTTATCAATTTTTCTTCATGTTCTTGGTATTTGCTCGTTGTTTAATCATCAAATTGCATATTTTTTTGAAAAAAGTAGAACTCACAAAGTAATGCCATGCCTGAAATTTCTGAAATGTTCGTCTGTTGCGACAATGATTGAAACTAAACTTGAAAGGTCTGGTCGAAGCAAAAAAAATGAATAACAAGTAAAATTGAAAAGATTGGTATACTTAAAATAAATTCAAGACAAAGACAGAGGTTAAAACATTTATTTCCGTTGCGCCGAAAATATGTCCATTTAAATATTGGTGCGAATTGCATAATGTTCAAATGATTTCGTCACAGAATTCTTCAAAATAACCATTGCAAATATTTGTGATACATTTTAACATAAACGTACTTTTTAACTCAATTAATGTTTTATTAAATAATTGTAAATTATTTTCATGAATAAGCGCACGTTTTGCCTGTTTGCAAAAAATATTCACGTTGCGTCCGTAGCGCCCGAAAAAATCTCCGGTGCGTATTTTAGTCATACCCCTTGTTCTCTATAGACGGGTTTGTCTGAGCTAGACGTTGAGAGAGAACCGCCTCTCTGATAGCGGGTGTGGTATATGTTTTGTAACTTGCAATTCAATGATTCGTCATAATGGTTTAGGGAATAGTTGTCCTGGTTCCCTGCCCTCCGTCAACGAAGACTAAATGCTAGCCTACAGAGCATCATAATAAATTTGGCGACATTTTTTTTTGCGGAGCCGTTATTCAACAGAGGCGGGGCAAATAAAGTGAGTGGCACTGCCTCAGTCGTTACCTCTCTCAACCGTTAAGTTTTAGAACGATCAACTATAGACTTGCTTATTTTCACGTTAATTATTAAGTAAATAAAATTCGATGATGATATGATATGATAATCAAACATGGCACTATCACTTCAGTTAAATGTTTATTTTAATTCCTGAAAAAAAAGTAAGCTATTTTTAAATGAAAAATGAAAACTTAGTGATTTTGATAAAACAAAAACATAAATATGTATACACACACACACACAAAAAAAAGACACAAAAGCAAGACTAAAATTTCCCACATTGCAGAATAGTCGAACGCATATCCACTTAACGCCGCGTGCATACTAAACGCCGCGTGCATACTTAACGCCGCGTGCATACTAGACGCCACGTGCACGCGGCGTCTAATAAATTGCTATACGCTCGCGCGCTCCACGCTTATAAGTGATTAATTGAATGACACTAAACTAATCCAGTCAGGAAAATAATGTCGCGTCTATGAGACCGACACATCATTTGCTTCTTTCGTCATATCTTTGACCATTCCTAACATTTTGCTCATTCGGCTGCAAAGCAGCCCAGTCTTTTATGACTTTGAAAAAGTCGCATTTATTTAGTGCCGAATGACACAATTAATTTTTGCGAGTATTAAAAATCATTACAAAGTAAATAAAAAAACAAACATGCATAGCTAAACATTTTGGTACCCATTATCTTTTATTCAATTTATTGCAAAAGCATATATTTTCTTCTCAATGCACTATTCATCTGGTTGATTTCCTATAATGAGGTAGCTTTTTCAGACCTCATAAAATGGAACCAGTCTAAAAAGGCATCTATTTAAAGGGGTGCTGTTTTGGACAAAACTGCATTAGCGGAGGAACTGTATAATCACCGTAGGGAACGTGTCACAGTATCGCGTTTTTCGGTTACAGTATAGAATTTTCAAGATGGAGGATTATTTATGGGAAGAAAGGTAGGTGATTTTTATTCCGGTCCATACTACAAGTAGTTTAGTTTCTAAAAGATGTTTTTGTGCTTTGCTTGTAAGGAACAGAATCCGGTATCTAGTCATATATTTCTTCAGACCCTGCACCGCAGATTTATCTCTATATTGTCTCATAAATGTGCAGATTTGTCGGTTTAAAAATTTGAATCGAGAGACCAATGCATTTTTCTCCCATTCCGACATTATTTAAGCATGCCTAGATAAAGTAAATCTGCAAAACGTTAGTCCTTTGTGTTTAGAAACGTTTATAAAAGTAAATGACCAGTTGAACCTATTTTCCTGTTGGTAAAATGCGTTTGAAAAAATAAACAATGTTACAGTATAGAGCGAGGTTAATTTTGCAGGGTTACAGCATAGACCTAGCGACTTTGATCCGATTTTGTTACAGTTTATACCCAGATTTCGGTTACAGTTTAGATACTTGCCAAATTTCAAACAAAGTTCGTGTATCCATTATTTTTATGCCCCCGCCATGTAATGGCCGGGGCATATAGTGTTACCCTGTTCCGTCATTCCGTCCTTCCATCCTTCCGTCATTCTGTCATTCCGTCATCATCAGTTTCCGTTCATTATCTTAAGAACGGTTGCACACATTCAACTCAAATTTGACATATGGATATGTCATGAGAAAATACAGGTCAAGTTCGAATTTGGTCATGGTTCGATGATTTTTGGCAGAGTTATGCCCCTTTTACTTTGAAAATAATATGAAATTTTCAGTTTCCGTTCATTATCTCCCCAAAGGTACAACACATTCAACTCAAACTTGACATATGGATGCGTCAAAGGAATGCGCAGGTCAAGTTCAAATTTGGTCATGGTTCAATGATTTTTGGCCCCTTTCACTTTGAAAGTAATATGAAATTTTCAGTTTCCGTTTATTATCTCCCCAATTCAACTCAAATTTGACATATGGTTATGTTTTTAGAATGCCCAGGCCAAGTTCGAGTTTGGTCATGGTTCAATGATTTTTGGCAGAGTAATGCCCCTTTTACTTTGAAAATTATATGAAATTTACAGTTTCTGTTCATTATCTACCCAACAGTGTTACAGTCATATGCAACTTAAATTTGACATATGTATATGTCAAAGGAATGGGCAGGTCAAGTTGGAATTTGGTCATGGTTTGATGATTTTTTGGCAGAGTTATGTCCCTTTCACTTTGAAAATAATATAGATACATCTTAGGAATAAGCAGTTTAAGTTTGAATTTGGTTGTAGTTCAATGATTTAAGACAAACTTATCTTTCCTGAATGTTGGAAAAATTTTGAACTTTCACTTTCAGCACTCTTACTTTTAGCCATTATTTTGGCTACAAATATGCAATATGCTATTTTTAAAAGGTTTAGACTGAATAATTTCAGTGCCTTGAACATTGTATGAAAATGGTTTGTGTTAACATTGAAAAGTTTTAAGGGCTTTGAACTTAAAATGAAAAAAATAATTAAAGCACCATCTGAAATTTTTGCTGCATGCGGGGGCATCCGTGGCATGATGACACATTTCTAGTTATGAAATAACTCTAATACCTTTCTATCTAATACACTCCTGAAAAGTTGTATTACTTTTTTTTCTTCAGCAGAAAAGTTGTAGTTTGCTATTTTTCTTACTTTAATTAAGTTTCAGATTGAGACTTTTTGCAGAATAAGTAATGTCCTAAGTAAGGACTGTTTTCACGACAACAACAGTAACTTTTATCGAATTGTATTGAGAGAAGAAAGATTATTGCTTGATTTCATTACACATTATAATAATGCCTATAAGTAATAAAATAGAGAAAAAAGAATCCTTAACAGAAGTCCAACACGGAAAACATGAAAATGTTGCAGGCTCAGTTTGATTAAACCTGTTCATGGACGGTAGTGGTAACTGCAAGCCATACGCCTCCTAGCACCGGCTTCAGCAGAATTCACATTAAACATGAACTGGTACACTTTCAACTTTTTAACATCTGTGGATGTGTTCATATGGCGGTTATCATGGAACTTTTAATGTGACACGTTATTGCCATTCTATGAAAAGCGGCATATTACCTACCCCCAGGTCAAAAATTGCGTGTGCCCTAAACGAGAATACAATGAGTGAAACTAAATAAAATGAAATTTTGAAAGGGGATCGGAGGTTATGAAGCCTGCATACCATAGATAAGCTGTCAAAAGACACAATTAACAAGCAGGCAATACTCTAAGAATGATTAAACAGTATTTAAGTGAGCAATACTGCAACCTTAAATTTTATTTTAAGTTGGAATTTCCATCTACCATAATGTATTTTGTAAGTATTTAAAAGAGTTTGTTACGTTTGGCTTTCTTGGATTTTAAGTTTCAACGACACTGAGGTTATGTGAAAACATTCCTGCTTTACTGTAAAGAAAGACCCCAGATACTCTTTGTGAAACATTTCAGGCACGAGCTGGCACCTGACTAGAACCACCGACCTTCCGTAAATCAGCTTGATAGATTCCTCACATACAAAGAATCCAAAGTCATGACTACAGCAGTAAATGAAAGATGATTTGAAGTCGACGGCCTTATCCCGACTCTGCCACTATTATGTACCTCCACAGGCTCACTAGAGAAGATATTGTAATTGTCTGACCTTAACTTATACTCTATAACTTTCAATATTATTTTCTTTTTCAGAAACATGAAAACTGCTACACAGGATGTCTGAAATAAAAAAAACGACTTTTAATTTAATAATGACAAAATAATCATAACTTCAACAAAGAAGCATTCGAAATGACGCTATGATCATGATTTGATTTGAATGCTTTTGGTTCGAGATGAGAAGGGTCTTTAAACATTGCCTTTTTTCAAAATCTATGTTTTGGGTTTTCGTATCCCCGATTGCAACCGAAACCATTTGAACAACTTAAATGGTAGAAAGTCATGTAAATTTCATCACATTTAGTCAAGTAGTTACTGAGCGGTTAAGATTGCACACACATGTGTACGATAGACGACGAATAGCCATCGGGCCAATAAGCTCACCAGTTGGGTTTCAAGATATTTAAAAGTCTATTTAACATTCATACATTTTACCTTGTATATATAGAAAATATCGAAGTCTAAACTGTAACCGAAATCTGGGTATAAACTGTAACAAAATCGGATAAAAATCGCTAGGTCTATCCTGTAACCCTGCACAAATCACCTCGCTCTATACTGTAACATTGTTTATTTTTTCAAACGCATTTAACGAACATGAAAATAGGTTCACGTGGTCATTTACTTTTATAAACGTTTCCTAACATAAAGGACTAACGTTTTGCAGATTTACTTTTTCTAGGCATGCATAAATAATGACGAAATTGGAGAAATATGCATTGGTCTCTCGATTCAAATTTTCAAACCGTCAAATCTGCATATTTATGAGACAATATAGCGATAAATCTGCGGTGCAGAGTCTGAAGAAATATATGACTAGATACCGGATTCTGTTCCTTACAAGCAAAGCACAAAAACATCTTTTAGAAACTAAACTACTTGTAGTATGGACCGGAATAAAAAATCACCTACCTGTCCTCCCAACAAATAATCCTCCATCTTTAAAATTCTATACTGTAACCGAAAAACGCGATACTGTAACACGTTCCCTACGGTGATAATGGTTAAAGTATATTACAGATCGTTGCAATTTCAATGGCTTTACTTGTTTTTCCCTCGCTATTACCCGAACTTACGTATTTGCGAATAGCGAATAAAGAAAAGGAACCTCATTTGTTCTTAATAATACAACAAACAATAATTTCCGAATTATAGATATATAAATATAAATTATAGTAGGTATGGATAAATTATATTAATAAAATATAATATTTATATAATATTTATTTAATATTATAACTTCAATGAATCAATGCGTTGCTGTAAAAGTATTTATCTATTTATTTTCGCAGTGAAAAGGAAATACGGCTGTGTTCTTCCAGAGGAACCCTGGTATGGTTCTTTTATCTTCAACGACCAGAAGAAGACGTTGCGTTATGAATGTGATGAGGGTTACATATTGACTGCCTACCGTCAACGCGACCGGAAGTGTCGAAAGGGTAAATGGACCGGAAATGACTTGTACTGCTTGAACTTGGACTTTACACGTATGTATTTTATCTCATCATTTTTAGAATGGGGGTATTTTAAATCAATTTTAGCTCGATTATGTTTGTGTTTAGAACTCTGAGGGTGCGCATTGATCGCATGTTCGCTAAACAAAGGGGAAAGCATAGTTAAACTTTGTCAAAAATGCTAGGATACGTACGTCCGATGCTGCTTCACAAGTCGCAAGAAGAAACAAGATATCACCGCCCCACACTTCACCACCCCCACATACCAGACACTTCATTGCCCCACACACCTGACATTTCATTGCCCCCACACACTTGACACTTCATTGCCCCACATACCAGACACTTCATTGCCCAAATACAGCTGACACTTTCATTGCCCCCACACACCTGACACTTCACTGCCCCCACACACCTGACACTTCACCGCCCCCACACACCTGACACTTCACCACCCCAACACACCTGACACTTCACTGCCCCCACACACCTGACACTTCACTGCCCCCACACACCTGACACTTCACTGCCCCCACACCCCTGACACTTCACCGCCCCCACACACCTGACACTTCACTGCCCCCACACACCTGACACTTCACTGCCCCCACACACCTGACACTTTACCGCCCCCACACACCTGACACTTCACCGCCCCAACACACCTGACACTTCACCACCCCAACACACCTGACACTTTACCGCCCCCACACACCTGACACTTCACCGCCCCAACACACCTGACACTTCACCACCCCAACACACCTGACACTTCACTGCCCCACACATCTGACACTTCATTGTCCCAACACACCTGACACTTTACCGCCCCCACACACCTGACACATCTCTCAAATTTTGAAGACAATTCTGGGATGAAGAGTTTAAGGTTGATGTCTCTAATTCGCTTCGCAGCACTAAGGTTATTCTACATGCAAACAAGCATTTATGAATTTATTATTCAAAATCGTAAAAGGCTTTACAGACTTAAATTTCAATTTAATACTCTGGAACCTTTTGAAATGAAAATGAGGCTATATGACGTATGATATGGATTTGATATAGTCTTGATATTTTAGTCGGCACACATTGACTGACTTGAAAGAAATCAATGACTGGTCTACTTTTTTCTTTTCATCTTTCAGATTGCCGAGTTGTTACGATTGTGTCTCAGTATATAAACATAATATGCGTATATCATTCGCTCCATTTCACGGCATTATTTCCTATTGCTGTGCTTTGCTTTTAATTTATTACAAAACATGACAGACCTACGATCATGTTGGTTTGTTGTCACAGCTAACTAAAATTACTATTACAAAATATCATTATAACAACGTTGTAGATCTATTTTACAAATTTCATTTAGTGATGATTCACCTTTTCCTTTTGTATAATTATTTTATGAATAATTATGTTCTGTGAAACAACGCTTTTTAATAACTTACAAATTTATGAGATTTTTTCATCGGTTTTCTGCTCCTCGTCCGTTTTATCTTGTTTATATTCCGATAGAATCCGACACTTACTCGTATAGAAGAAGCAAGGGAACGCAAAAATGACCGTATAGAAGCCGTTTTGTTTAACCACCGTAAATTTTCCGTTATATAAAATAAAGTTTTAGTTTCTCCCCAAATCCCCCGACAGAAAGTAAAGCATTAAGTTCTAGTTTATCCCGCAATCCCCCGACACAAAGTAAAGCATTAAGTTCTAGTTTATCCCCCAATCCCCCGACATGGAGTAAAGCATTTAGTTCTAGTTTAACCCCTAATCCCCTGACAGAAAGTAAAGCATTAAGTTCTAGTTTATCCCCCAATCCCCCGACACAAAGTAAAGCATTACGTTCTAGTTTATTCCCCAATCCCCCGACAAAAAGTAAAGCATTACGTTCTAGTTTATCCCCCAATCCCCCGACACAAAGTAAAGCATTAAGTTCTAGTTTATCCCCCAATCCCCCGACACAAAGTAAAGCATTAAGTTCTAGTTTATACCCCAACACAAAGTAAAGCATTAAGTTCTAGTTTATCCCCCTACACAAAGTAAAACATTAACTTCTAGTTTATCCCACAATCCCAAGACATAAAGTAAAGCATTAAGTTCTAGTTTATCCCCCAATCCCCCGACACAACACCGCTAACTGTAAGGCAGTGTCATAGGGTACAAAGTACTACATTATATTTGTTTTATTTCAGGTATGCCTTAACATTACCTGAACAGTAAACATTCAATGTGTTTTATATCATGCTGCTTTAACTAACGTGAAGTATAATATTAACACCTGACACCCGGTTCACCTGAATGAAGTAATCACTCTGTAAAGTAGTCGTAGTTGTAGTTACAATCATAGAGATTCGTCTTTATGATAGTATGTCCTTTTCTCCACTTACTTCGATTAACCTCTTCTCTATTATAAATAAATCGATAACCAATCACAACACTTTGCAAATCTCCGCCATATTTAAAAACTGTAGACATAAACATAGCCTTATTGTGCTAAATATTGTATATATATCTCGTACAGGTAATAATGCTTATCAATCTGAAACATGATAATTGTATTTCTTGTCATTTTTGTATTTTGCTAATTCTGTAATGTTGATATGTATCAAATATATACGAGTATTTGTATGACTGTTATGAATCATTTATTACAGGACCGTATATACTGTGATTATACTTTACTACTTACACGAGAGTTTGTTTTATCGAAGACCCGCTCTACCAAAGGTATAGCCCGCGACAGCAGCATAGCACTAATCATGCTGGGGGTCATTGTAATAGACATAGCACATATTCAGACAGGTTTAAATAAAAATATATACTTATATATTGCTTTACTGATCTTAAAAATTCAGTATGTCAAATTGAAATAGCGTTATTTAAAGTGTACAAAAATTATTCTGATTTAAATTTTAAAATTTCAGAGTCAAAATGTCCTGAGTTAAGAACTCCAAACAATGGCACTGTATACACGGAGGGAAGAGATATTGGTAGCAAAGCTTCATTTACTTGTGACGAGGGTTTCGTACTTTACGGTTCAGCTACTAGAACTTGCCAGAAAGGCCGCAGATGGGATGGTACTATGCCCGTTTGTAAAAGTAGGTCAATAAGATTGGATTTTTTACTGCTATTTTTATTTAACGTAATACTGATAATATTATCTTTTGTATTCTTGCATGTCAGACAGGATTATCTACCCTTTACACAGGTGCTAGAAAAACTTGTCTTACACCCCGCCATGGAAGTTGCCCGCTTTAATTGACGTCATTGCCGCGCGCCTTTTATGAGTGAATTGCGTTCTTACAATGACGTCATTTTACATTTATGAATGAAGTTGTAAGTTCATACGCTACTATCAGAAAAAAGTGCGTAATGAGAATATCAGTTTTCTTAATTTCTGTTCCGAAAATAATTGACATGTAATATGCAAGAAAAAGAATCAAACACAGGATGTCGGTACAGACGGGAATATCTACCTCTAGGGTAACTGTTTAGCGGAAATTCGGCAGAGCCCCGTTACCGCCGTAAACAGCTAACCTCGAGCTAGATATTCCGGTCTATACCGGCAGCCAGTGTAAGATTCTTATAATGCTGTACGTTTGTAACGTGGCTTTTCATTAGACAATCGCTGCGTTTATAGGTTTTTAATAATACTGCACATTTAAAACACTTTTCATTGGATAATCTTGTCGTTTATATAAAACTTTATTACCCTTCCAGATTTTCTAGCCCCTTTTGGATTGGATATTGATCCGCCGAAAAAAATTAATATTACCGAGCACACACTAAATTTCCCCGTTGTGTACACCATGTTGTAAACAACATGCGCTGTGGCGATGCGCGTACGGTTCGATAATACGCAGTGTAAATTCCGATATACAAGCACGTTTTGACTGCCAAATAAATAATATTTACCAAAATATAGTTATGTTAAATATTCTCATCAGAATTGAAAACAAATATGACCTCGTCAAAGCTTGATATAAATTACAGACTACTCCTTTTCTCTTGTTTATATTCGTTAGTTACCAAAGCAAATACGTCATGTATTTATGTGACGTCATGTTGTGCTGAAGGAGTACCCTAAAGGGAATCTTATTTGAAACAGCAATAATTTATTTTATCATCGTCTTACTCGGCAGGGAAAGGTAATAAAACCATTAATTTAGTTTTAGAGTGATATATGTGGATATATTACCTACCAAGATAAAATATCACTCTCGCCTTACGGCTCGGGTGATATAAAATCTTAGCAGGTAATATATCCACATATATCACTCCAAAACCAAAATAACATATCATATAAACGTCACAATTATCCAATGAAAAGCGACGTTACAAAAGTGCAGTTTTATAAAGTTTATAGACGGCTGCTGTAAATTTTCTAAGAAATCTCACTTTTTTCTCAAAATGGGAAGTTTGCTGTATTATAAATTCTTTCCTTATATAAACGGTTGTTTGCAATATAACCATCGCCTAGCGGCTAGGGTGTAAAAAGTGTTTATTAAGGGCCATTTAACATGTCAAAAAAAATCATTAAAACTAATAATTCACGCGGCTGCTGTAATTTTATGAAGAAATCTCACTTTTTTTCTCAAAAAAACTGACTGAGGGAATAATTCAAAATTTCATACACAAGTTTTTAGTCAAGACCTATGTTAAATGGTGCTCAAGTCTCCAAAAAATATTCCCTGTTTGTTTATGTTAAAAACCTTAGTGGAGTGGAGTCCCTTTCTTAGTTTAAACATGGTCCCATCTTTAACTTTGATTGCATCAAAAAGTAAAATAAATCAAAACTGTAAGAACAGCTACTGACAGCTACTGCGTATAAATGTATTCGGCGGTCACAATGTTATTTTCATGTACCGGTTACTAAGTTATTGTCTCAACTTTAACAGATTGTGTGTTAGTCTTGCCCTACTTGGGTGTGTCGGGGCTGCGTCCTGTGAACGTTGCCTTTGCCTTGTTGATCTTTATTCTTGTCTTTTATTCATTCAACAGTAACAAAATTATTCTCATTTATTCAAAAGTCATTGTGTTTTCTCACAAGTATTGTATAATAACCATGTTTTCAACAATTACTGTGTTATTGTTAACTGTTTTATTGTCATGTATTAAACAGTGACTGTTTTAGTCTTATATGTATTCAACAGTTTCTATGTTATTGTCATGTATTCATCGGTTAATTTGTAATTATCAGTTAACAAGGTAATCTAATGTATTAAACAGGTCGACGTACCATCAAGGATATTGCCAATCATTTGAAGGAGACTATGATTGACAGCTTGGCAGGGGCGACAACTGGCTCAAAGACTGGCGCACAGTGTAATTTCAATTTTTTTCATTTATTCTTATAAATAATTAAGTTTTACGAAAACGAATTGAATTTGAAATCTCTTTATGCATACATTTGTCTTTTTTGGGATGCTTATTAAATCAATCAAGCTATAATATGCATCTTGAGCATCAACTGATATAAGTGCACATCAATCTAAACTATACTTTCAAACTAAAACGGAGTAGTGGCTTCAATGATATAATAAACTTGCCTGTTTGTTTGTTTGATTGGGTTTTACGCCACACCGGCATAGTATAGGTCATATGGCGACGTTCCACTTTTCCTCGTGGAGGAAGAACTCAGATGCCGGTCCATGCATTATTTTAGGCACGAACGGGCACCTGTATAGAACCACCGATCAACTAATTGAAATAATCCAAAGTCCATGTCGAGATAAGATTCCACTGCGGTGAGGGACAAGTGGTTTGAAGTCAACAACCTTAACCACTAGGCCACGGACGCCCAAATAAACTTGCCTGTATGAATTAGGACACTAAAGATCGTCAATATGACTGAAAATATTCATATTCTTTCTAGAAAATGACAATAACCTCCTGTGCATTGACGTATAGTTTGTATAGCCAGAATAATGGAACCTTTTTTAATTTATTAAAATTGACTTTCAGAATCCATTTTACAAGACATCATTTTTAAAAATAAGAATTAAAAACACAGGCCTTCAAAAAACAATAAAGAGTAACTGCCAAAATTTAAAAAGGCAAGCGTATGTTTAACTTTTAGGCAAAGAACGCTTAATAAAATAAGAAGTTGCGGCTTGATTTCTGATGTCGATACCTTTTAATATCATTTAACTTTAAGATGGTAATTTTCTGTGCAGTTCACCTCGTTAAACTGGTAAAAGAAGTATCGATGTCGTATTTTTGTGATTTTTTTTTTACAAATTTCAGCTCGTTTGCAAATTGGTGCTAGCAACATTTTGAAAGAATATCCAAATGATTCATTTCTGTTGTTTTAATCAGTGTTTGAAATACATAAAATGTGCTAATTGTAGACCAATCACAAGCTATCCAGCACCTGACAAAAAATTAGGTTCAAATTTTAGGGCAATATTTAAGAAATTTTAGGGCTAAAATTAGGAAGAGCTATATTAAAACATAATTAGAATGAAAACATTTTCAAAGTTATATGTCTGTTTATAACAAAAGATAGGATTTTTTAGTTAAAAAAGGGCACTTTTAGGAATTCCCTTTGAATTTTTCATTTCTTTTAGAAATTTTAGCCAAACTGAAAAATATGATATTTTATGAGTTTTAGAGAAGCTGGCAGCCTGTAATCCACCTAAAGCCGTAGAAGTCGCCCTGGATGGCCTTGGTGTAGTATTGATTGCGATAAATTTCTCTACATTTCAGGTCGTTTAAGTCCTGGTAAAGGTGATTTTGAAATCGAATCCTATTGTTCTTAATAAATTTCTAAAAGTTCTTATAATGTCGCATTGTTTGAAATAATTTTCCATATATTTCAGCTCGTTTAAGCCCTGGTAAAAGTGGTCTCGATGTCGTATTGCTTGTCGACGTATCCTCGAGTATTGGGGAAAGGTCAATGAAATCGGCAAAAAAATTTATGAAACTACTTGTGGATATTTTTGGTGTATCAAACGAAACGTCTGGAGGTATATTTATCTTTGTATAATGTCGATCGTTTTTTTTATAATTAAGTTAGAAGCTATATAAACCAATTATATTTGTATTAAACATCTAAAGTGTGGGTAAATTATATACAAATAAATTTTTTTACTCGCATGTATACAAATATGACTGTTCAAACGATCGTCACTACCTTATTTTTCTTTCACTAATACAAAGTAGACCGTACAAACGATCGTCGCTTCCATATATTTCTCACACTTATACAAAGTTGTCCATACAAAAGATCGTCTCATCCAAATCTTTCTCTACCTTATAAAAAGTTGTCAGTGCAAACGATCGTCAATTCCATATTTTTCCACACTTAAACTATGTACTTACGATCGCCACTTCCATAGTTTTTCTCACACTTGTACAATGTAGTCTGTACAAACGATCGTCACTCCCATATTTTTACCCACTCGCACACAAAATACACCGCACAAACGACCGACACTCAAAATTGTACAAACAATCCTCACTTCCTTATTCTTGTCACATATGTTTATTTCTAGGCACAAATGGAACCCGGTTTGCTTTAATTACGTTCAGTAATAGTCAAACTATTGTTTTCAACCTGAATGATATAACCGCACGGTCAAAATCAAAAGTCAAGAAAATGATTGGCAAGATACAGGTTAGACTCTTTATGTGATTATTATGCCTATAATTATATAATTAAACATTTTTTTTGTTTGGAAAATGTGTTTTTATTTTAAATGTCGCCTGGGAAGAAAACAATAATGTCAAGATCATCGGCTGTACTAAAAGGAAGAGGAAGTTGTCTTAAAGACAATTTGCTTGTTTGTTTGATTGGGTTTATCGTCACACTGACACAGTATAGGTCATTTGGCGACGTTCCAGCTTTACTGGTGGAAGAAGATCTCAGGTGCCCTTCCGTGCATCATTTCAGGCACGAACGGCTTCCTCAATGAAATAATCCAAAGTCCCTGTCGGGATTCGAACCTACAGCGGTGAGGGGCAAGCGGTTAGAAGGTAAGAAGTCAACGACCTTAACCACAGCCACGGACGCCCCCTCTTAAAGACAGTGTCCTTAGCTACCTATACTTTACATATTCATAATATTGACTAAGGTTATTATGTTCTGTACAGTATGGATATCTCATCTCTTTGACGCTAAATGTATTTATGAAAGATGTACCAAGGTTAGTTCTGGTCACTTTTGTGCTTCAAAAATAATACTTCAAGAGCATTGCGTTGAAATATCCGTGGTTAATACTTGATAGTGTGATGCTACTTTAAGAACACTCGTGGCGGTTGCAGAAACATTAATCGAAGAACATGGAAACGCACACAGTGAAGGGACATGTCGGGGTGATATGTGCTAAAGACTTGGCGTAAAGTATGCGGTTAAAACATGTCGGAGACATGGGTTTCAGAAATCTTTGTTATAATAAGAACGCGTTGAAAGATGTTGTAAGAGATATTGTGGTAAAGATATACTGGGAATAAATTTGATAGACTCGCTAAGAGGGAGATTTTGTGGTACGGTTGTGTCAGGGAGCAAATTGTGGTAGAGAGGTGTTGTGGAAGGTAAGGTTGAGATATGTCCGGAAGATACGATATTGTAGAAATTTTGTGGACGAGCGTGCGCGCTCGTGAAAAGTGTTTCTGGCGGTATCTTTGTTTTTTAAACCGTTGACATGTCGGGTGAACTTGGGAGACCCCTCGAGTATTGGTTGTCAGAAATTATTGTTGCTATAACTAGACCGAATACCACCTACACACGCTTGTCAGAAAACCTGCTTTTTAGTTGATAATTTTGCAGATGTAGAGAATGAAATAGTTTACAATTTTTTTTCCAAGTGTTTTTGAATTATGTGTCCAACATCAATTTCATTAAGGTAAATTAAAGTTTGGATGACTCAACTTTCAAGGTACCGGTATTTTATTTGTATTCTTTGTTTAGTTATTATAATAATAATTGTAAAAAGTAACACATATCACGCAAGGTGAGTGTGCATAAGTTTATATATATTTTATTTTTAGCTAAATACTGTTTTTATATATTTTTTTTAGATATTCTAGTTTAAACATATTTAATTTTTCAGAATATATCTACATGTTACAAAATACAATAACCAATTCAAATATTCTAAAAAAACAGGATTAGAATGAAAGACAACGTGTCTTATGAAATTCTTCTCCTATGAAATTCCTCTCCTAAATTTAAGATATTAATACATGGTAATAACTCCAAATTTCGGGAAGGGAGGGTTACGGTTCTTCTGCACTGCACATATACACAGTGAATTATATACCTACAAAGTTTCAAAATTCAAAGTGAAAAAACGAAAAAGGGCAATTACTCAAAAATCGGAAAAGTGGGTGTACGGTTCTTCTGCACTGCATTTGTACTCATTCAGATGTTTCTACCTACAAAGTTTCAAGTTGATACCCTTGATAGTTCTCTGGACGGTAACGTCTCTGGACGGTAATGTCCAAGACAAAATTAAAGTGTAAAAATGAACACAGGAAAATAACCCCAACATTATGGCAGGGAGTGTTACATTTCTAAAACAATCAATTCTACTCAGTGAGATCTATCTACCTACAAAGTTTTAAGTGGATATATCTCAAGTTATGTTCCATCTATCTACCTACATAGGTTTAAGTCGATGTCCTTTTATAGGTCTCAAGTTATGTCAAAGTTAAATGTAAAATTGTACAAAGAGCAATAACTCCAAAATAAGGGAAAGGAAGGTTAAGTTTCTTATGCACAGCACTTCTACGCATTCAGATTTATCCACCTACAAAATTGATATATCTTGTTCAATCTGAGTTATGTCCCGGAAAAGAAATCCATCCAACCGACTGGCCACCATCTGACTGCAGTATACCAACACAAACTTATAATAATACATAATTCTATTTCAGAATACTGGCGGTGGTACAAATTTCCAGTCAGCTTTGACAAAAGTGATCGGAACACAATATATTGATATTATTTCTAAAGATGTACGGCGAGCGACCGGTGCTACGCGTGCAATTTTCCTCTTCACGGATGCCGAGGAGACAAGTGATACGGATATAACCCGTATATCTAAAATCAGAAAAGCAGCACACAGCTTAAAAACAGGTAATTGATAGTACATGTAGAAACAATCATAGAATTGTTCTCGTCGCCATGGCATTTCAATCTCTCTATAGGTAACGTAATTTTATCTCATAAAAATTTCATTTAGATAGTATAGCATAACTATTGATTACAATATGTCACTTGCGATAGAACGAATAGTTCAACCAAGACAAGTGATGTCTATCGGGGAGATAATTTCGGAAATTATTACATGTATCTTGTCAAAGGTGAACATTTTATTATACCACATACATTGATACTTAACATACAGCAAACTCCACGAATAACGAATAATCTTTTGAATAAGTGAGTATATTGTGCTAAAGACGATTGAATCTGTTGGAGGAAATACCATTGCTAATAACTGACTGTATAATGAGTTCTAAATTTGGCGGGAAAAGGTTTAAGCTGAAAGGCGGGTGAAACAGTAGAGAAGTGTATTGGAAGGTATACCGAGTTTCAGCATATACGGAACAAAAGTACAACTAGAGTAATTTTCGAATAGATACAGTTCATTATAAGAAGCGTTGCTCGGATTTTGTGAGAATATGGGTGACTCTGATAGGGAATATGCTAACTTTATTATGTCTGCATCACAGCCAGTAGCGACTTCTACAGGGTCGGGTCTCAGGCTAATAATACAAAATTGACACGGACAGTGAAAATATGGTTTCCTTACAGAAGTCGAGAGGGGATTCTGAAGCCCAGTCAGCGAACACGCTATCACAGACTAGGCGGACACTATATGGCTCAACACCAGTTAAACAAGAGCTGTCGGAGGACAGCAATGCTCGACTATTAGATACAGTTGTCAAAAGGATGTTCCATTAAGTATAAAAAGGGGCATAAATATGTAAATAAGAGTTATGGGACCTGTGCCAATAATGTTAAAAAACCACAGTGAAAATGTATGTTAAGTTTCATTTCATTCCCTCCAGTAGTTAGGCAAGCAAATCAGAGCTGTCCGATGACAGCATGCTCGACAATTAGAACAGTTATCAAAATAATGGCTAATGGAAAGGACAGGGATTGAATGCAGGTCTACCTTTGACAGACCAGCACTCTACCTGTGCGCTAGCCCGGCTGGTTTAGTGGAAATGCATTTCATTTTTATCAGAATATTATTATGAACATGACTTTTGAAAAGAAGTTTGAAGTACTGCAAAGTGAAAATTGAAATATTTATTTAAAAAGATGCAGTTAAATATGAAACAACTGGTACTTTTTATTAGTATTTATGAATATGCAAAATGGAAGATGCCGTCATAAGCTTAAGTTACCAATAAAAAATGAATATCATAAAAGAAAATAAACATTTGAACAAAGCAAAAACACTTTTGAACAAAGTGCACTTTCGGTCAAATTGCAATGTGTTAAGGTGTCTTAATAAATGTGAATAATTATGATAACAAAAGTAATTCTGTACACAAGAGTACATATTAATTATAAAAAAGGCCTCTACTGTGAACAAAAATGTCATGTGAATAAGGAATTGGAAAGTGTTAAAGTTAGCTAAATCAACGAATTGATAAGATAGAAAAATAGCTAGAATCAACTAAAACTCCGCGAGTCGGATGTGTCGCCTTGTGAACAATATAGCTGTCGCTTAGGCATTTTCTTCTTAAATATAGGTTATTTATGAACACTGCTCTTAAAATGAACATGTACATTGAACTTCAGTGACATTTGAACTTATTGTAACAATGTTACATCAGGATTCATAAAACTGTTATACATGTATTATCAACAAGAGGGCCATGATGGCCCTGAAGTCGCTCACCTGCAGATAGGCCCCCGTAGCGGGGCCAGTTTAAACCCCAGTGCTTTTATTTGAACAAACTTGGTAGACACCCATTAGAAGATGTTTCATGCTAAACATCTAAGATCTAGCTGGTCAGGTTTTTTCTTTACACACATAGTTAAAAACAACGACACACCTGGGACAGGGCCAGTTTTGACCCAAGGGCTTTTATTTGAACAATTTTTGTAGACACTTACTAGAAGATGCTTCGTGCTTAATATCTAAACTCTAGCTATTTGAGTTTTTTCAAAGAAGATTTTTTAAGTTTTTGTTATACACATATAAGGAAAATGAATGACCCCCGGGCTTTTATTTGAACAAACTTGGTAGACACTCACTATAAGATGTTTCATGCTTAGTATCTAAACTCTAGCTATTTGGTTTTTTTCAAAGAAGATTTATTAAGTTTTTGCTATACACATATAAGGAAAATCAATGACCCCCGGGGCGGGGCCAATTTTGACCCCAGGGCTCTTATTTGAACAAACTCGGTAGACATCCATTAGAACATGATTCATGCTAAATATCTTAGCTCTAGCTCTTTGGGTTCTTTAAAAGAAGATTTTTAAAGTTTTTACTATATGCATAAAGGGAAAATCAATGACCCCCTGGGGCGGGGCCAATTTTGACCCCAGGGCTTTTATTTGAACAAACTTGGTAGACACCCATTACAAGATGTTTCATGCTAAACATCTGAGCTCTAGCTCTTTGGGTTCTTTAAAAGAAGATTTTTTAAGTTTTTACTATATGTATATATGGAAAATCAATGACCCCCCTGGGAGGGGCCAATTTTGACCCAGAGCTTTTATTTGAACAAACTTTGTTGACACTCACTAGAAGATGTTTCATGCCAAATATCTAGCTCTTCGGGTTTTTTAGAAGAACACATTTAAAGTTTTTTCTTTTGGTTGCCATGGCAACCTCTTTTGGTTGCCATGGCAACCAGAGTTCTGCATGGAATTAAATTCTTTGAACAACTTTCAAAGGTGACCACCAAAGGAACATTCCTGTGTAGTTTGAATGAAATTGGCTTAGTGGTTTATGAGGAGATGTCATTTAAAGTAAAAGTTTACGGACGACGGACGGACGCTGGACGAAAAGCGATCACAAAAGCTCACCATGGAAAAGATTTACACTAACAGATCAAATGGAGGACCCTGTGATGGATTCTTAAGCAATGTACTTCAGGTCAATGAAAAGCTTACATACCAAATTTGGAGTCAATCAAACTTATAGAGACCTAATTATGCTCTGAAGAGGCCTTTTAAATAAGAACATTAACAGAGGGCAATGACTCAAAAATCATGGAGTACAGAATACCGATTTGTTTTGTGCACTGCACTTTATCTCAATGAGATCTATCATCCTATGAAGTTTCATGTCCATAGCTTTTATAGTTAAGGAGAGATGGACCGAACAAAAATGAAATATGAAAAATAACAAAGGGCAATAACTAAAAAAAAAAGAAGTGCATAGTACGTGTGTACCAGTTTTTGTGCACTGCACTTTATCTTATTAAAATCTATCATCATGTGAAGTTTCAAGTCCATAGCTTTTTTAATTTAGGAATAATGACGTGGACAAAAATAAAGTATGAAAATGAACAAAGGGCAATAGCTCAAAAATCATATAGAGTACCAGTTTTTAAACACTGCACTTTATCTCAATGACATCTATCATCCCATGAAGTTTAAAATCCACAGCTTTTATTATGCCTCCGCCATGAAATACCTGGGGCATATAGTGTTACCATGCTCCGTCACAGATATGGGGTAATCGTAATCGGTAATTTAATTTAATTTAATCGATTACAATTTTTTGAGTAATCACAGTAATCAGTAATCATAATTTTTTTCCTGTAAGTTAATCATAATTTAATCAATTACATGACCAATTAATCAGTAATCACAATGATTACATGTATGATTACAATACATGTTAAGCTAAAAAAAATATTGCTGAACAAACATACATATAAAGGTTAAAAAAGTACCAGTGTCAATGCCTCCGTGGCCGAGTGGTTAAGGTCGCTGACTTGAGATCACAGGTCCCTCACCGCTGTAGGTTCGATCCTCACTCGGGTCGAAATCTTTCATGTGAGGAAGCCATCCAGCTGGCTTACGGAAGGTCGGTGGTTCTTCCCAGGTGCCCGCTCGTGTCTGAAATAATGCCCGAAGGGGCACCTGGGGTCTTCCTCCACCAATAAAGCTGGAAAAAAATCGACGAAAAAATCTCGGCGGGACGCTCTAGGATGGCCCGACTGGAGTGTACGGTCGCCCATATGGGCTTTCCGGCGGCGACCTTAAATAAACGCATTAAAAAAAAGTGTCAATGCATACTAATTGTCTTAGGAAGTGCAGGTGAATTAAATGCAGTCACCCAGGTCAGATTTGATGACACCTGTGTTTTAATAAGGTGATGAAAAGATCAGTGACAGATTGACCCAATACATTAATGATTGTCACAATTGAGTGTAGGACAAAAGCCCCCCCCCCGGACGAAAGCCCCCCCCATCTAAAAATGACAAGGTGGACAAAAGCCCCCCCCATGAAATGTTCACATAGGACAAAATCCCCCCCCCCCCATCAAAAATACAGGTAGGACAAAATCCCCCCATGTTTTTTCACACGCTCAGGTGCTCAAATTCATCAAATTTCACACAAACTTTTAAATAAAAATGAAAAGAATTTGTTTTAATGTTTATTTATATTGTATATATTGAAGTGATAACAAAGTTTATGATAACAGATTAAATAATGCATGCATGGGATACCGAATTCATAGCTTTTCATATACACAACAAGGGTCAGAAGAGTAGTAATGTTTAATTACTTTTGTAAAGGGATCAAATTAATATCCTTAGCACTATGTCACCTACATGTGATGTCCATACATATCTTCTAAACACATAAAAAACACAACTTTAATACACTATATGTAGATTTGATTGACTAGGGGGGGGGGCTTTTGTCCTACCTTTACTTTTTTATGGGGGGGGGGGGCTTTTGTCCTATGTGTAATTTCATGTGGGGGGGGGGCTTTGTCCACCTTGTCATTTTTAGACGGGGGGCTTTCGTCCGGGGGGGCTTTTGTCCGTATCCCGTCACAATTATACCACTTAAATTTACCTGTGAAATTATAACAATGGCCTGGATAGGTATATTATCACTTATTGAGAAGACTTTACAGGTTCAGTAAT